TTTTTATAATAAAAATAACTATTCTTCTTATAATTAGAATTAAAGAATTTAATTTTATACTTTATATTATTATCTTAAATACGCGCTATATAAATACTATCATTTAAAGCTAATTTAAACTTCGAAATTTAATTCTTTAAAAACTTATTCTTAGCGAATTTCTTTAAAGACTTTAAATAAAAATCGTTATTAAAGCGTATATATTTTAAAATCTTTTTCTATATAATAGTCTAGATAAGAATTTCTTTTTATTATTTTAATATATTATTAATATTTAAAATCTTATTCTTAAGCTCTAATTTAAATTTAGCTAAGAAGAAATTAATTTAATATTTTTTAGAAAATAGAATTATATAGATCTCTAGCTTCTTTAAATAAATCTTAAAAATAAATATCTTCTAATCGAAGCGTTATTTAATCTTCTTTTACTTTTCGTATATAAGAAGATAACGATTTATTAAATTCGCTATTAAATTAAGTAGAAACTATTTAAAAAATTTAAAAGTTATATTTCTTAGATTATAAATTTAATAATATCTATATTATTAAATATTAAAATTATTTTTTAAGAATTATATATAATAAATAATTCTTAATTAATTAATAATAAAATATTTAAAACTTATAAGAAACTTAATTTCGACTTCGCGAAATTAGCGTAGATACTCTCTCTTATTAATACTCTTATAAGAATATATTCTTTTAGAGCGAAGTATTTTTATTTTAATTAATATATTTATTAGAGATATAATAATAATTAATATAGATAAGTCTTCGCTAATTATAGATAATAAGCTAGCGTTATAAAGTTCGCGATTATAAGCCTTTAACGCAGCTAATTCTTATTCTTATTTTAGATAATAATTTTTAATCTTAATAATTATAAGATATTATTTTATAGTAAAATCTTTTATTAATAAGAAATTCTTAAACTTATTATCGACGCTATAATAACTCTTAATATTATCTTTATTTTCTACTATATAATTTAGAGATAAACTCGATATTATAATAATAATAAGTCTTTTTCTTTAAAAGATAGAGAGATTAGAATTATAAGAGTATAGTTTATTAATAATTAGTTAGTAAATATAGACTATAAAAGATATAATATTATTATAAAGTTTAATAATATATTTAATAATAAAACTAATCTCTAAGAAATATTAAAACTTCGAGATATATAAAGTAAATCTATATTCGTTAAGTCTCTAGATATATAAGATATATTATTAAAATTAGACCCTAAAAGAAACTCTAACGTAGTATATATAATATCGACGCCTTAACGTAAGTAGTATTAAGGCCTATAACGTATTAGATCTAATACTTAGAATTCTACGCTAACGCTACTATTAAAAAAAGATTATTATTTAAATATTCTTCGCTATCTTAATATTAAATCTCGAATTAAGTTTATTAATTTAATTCTCTAATAAGAAAATAGTTAAAGTATAGTCTTTAAATTAATATTTATTAATATTCGTTATATATCGATAAAGGCTCTCGAGCTTCTTCTCTAATAACTCGTTTATTTTCTTTAATTTCTCTATACGCTTATATATCGCTATAAGCTAGCCTTAAAGATCTATAATTATAATAAAGACGGCCGAAGTCGTTATTATTATATATTTCTATAATTTATATTATTAAATAATCTTCTTACTAAGCTTAACTCGTCGATAAAATAACTTTTAAGATTATTTAGCGCGACGATAGCGTTATATTAATTTTCTTATCTACGTTTAAAGATATAGAAGAATTTTAATATAGCGACTAATATCGCGTCTTTCGATCTTATAATTATTATAGAGAAGAGACTTATCTTAAATATATAAATCGTTATCTTAATAAAAGTAAGTTCTATATAATAAATTAGATATTAAAACTTATTAGTAATTATATATACGAAGCGATAATAATAGAAATAGTTAAGAGTTAATAGTTACGCCTATAAGACGACTATATACTTACTATTAAAGTTATTATTATTATTAAAAAAGAGTATTATAAAATTATTAGTTTATATATTAACGCGATTAATAATAATAAGATACTTATAATAAAGAGAAGTAGATTACTAGTATAATAAGATATACTATATTTATATTAGTATTAATATTAATATTATAATATTAAAATAAGTACTTATAAGAAAGGCGTTAGAAGTTATAAAGAATAAAAATAAATAATTTAAAAGAAGTTTTTATATTCTCTATCGTAGCGCTATTACTAGTAGATAGTACTTAGTAATATAAGTAATAGCGACGCGATAATATTTATTACTACCTATAAGATCGCGTCGTCTAGCTATTATTATTATTTCTACTATTATTAATTAATAATCGAGAATATTATCGTAAACGCGTCGCTCTATTAATTACTCCCTTCGAATTTCTATAATAAAGATTATTACTACGTTACTTCGCTATAAACGTAATACGCTATAGAAATAACGTTATCTATAGAGAAACTCTTCTCCCTTCTTTATTTATTAGGTTTTTAAGATTTTATTATAAGTTTTTAAATCTAATATTATTCGCTATAGAGGCTATTAACTAGCGCTACGAAAACGTTAATATTAAGCGTATCGACTTATTATAGATTATTATTAATTAATACTATAATAGTAATATTATTCTCGAAGATAGTATTAATATTATTATATAATATATTAGTTACGCGCTTACGACGCGTAAGAGTTAATTCTATTATATTATTAAAACGATATTATAACCTTAACGAATCGACTCTTTTCTCTTATTTTCTTATTAGAGTTTAAAGATTTTTTAATAAGCGTTCTATTTTTATTTAGATATCTAGAAATTAAGATCTAGAAGAGAAGATAATTATTAGATCTAATACGTTATAAGTCTTAACGCTATTTACGTTAAGGCGCCGATATCGTATATTCTATATTAAAGTCTCTTTTAGAATTTAGTTTTAATAACGTATTCTATATATTTAAGAGCTTAGCGAATATAGATCTACTTCGTATATCTCGAAGTTTTAATATTTCTTAGAGATTAATTCTACTATTAAATATACTATTAAATTTCATAACGATATTACGTCTTTTATAGTTTATATCCGCTAGCTAATCGTTAGTAAACTACGCTCTTATATCTATTAAGCCGTTATATATATTAATAAAGAGTTTATTCTTTATAATCTATAAGCGCGTAAGAGTAATTATCTTTAAAAGAGATCTTATTATAACGATTTAGAAGTTAATTATAGAATATATTAAATTTAATAATTAATTAAGTAACTTTAAACTTTATTTCGAAGATAATAATAGCTAAGATCTTCTAAATATATTTCTAAATAACGATATATAAGTTAAATATAATTATAATTATAGTAGATAGATAAGAAATAAATAATTTAAATTATTAAAAAAATTGATATTAAGATAGTCTTAGCGTTAGAGTAGCTTATATTAAGTATAACGTATTCTTATATAATTAAGTAGTAAAAAGACGATACTTCTTATATATATCTAGTTATGTCTTAACTTATAGAACGTATTTATCTAAAGTCTAAGATATCTTATTCTTAAACTCCTCTATACTCTCCTTATTAAGCCTTCATTTCAACTTCTAAATATTAGCCTCAAATATATATCCTCCTTAAGTACTATAAGTATACTTGAAATACTCTCTCGTAAATCTATGACAGCGACTTCTTCTTACTAAATACCGTAGAAAAGTATTAAAATCGCCCTGAAACTGAGGTCACATCTTATGAAAATGATTTACAAAGGCTTCAAGTAGTACTATCTATTTGCAAATGCGATTTAAAGCAGGAGAAGAATACCTAGAGGTCTTTGCTGGTATTTTGCGCGCGCATTTTTCTCCGCGCCAAGAATTTGTAAATACACTTGCACACGCTAATGGGTGCTTCTAAACCTCAGCCAACGCTAGTATACAGTACCGGAGAGCCATTAGGTCGACCCAGCCACATTCCCCTAATTAGTAAGAGATTGCAGTAGTAAATAGGGGATACGTCCTGGCTGATCTTACCGTCTTCCACACTCTACCCTCCCACCCCTCCCACACCTCGCTATCGTCAAATCTTCGCGTATACCATTCCCAATAGCCTCAATATCGTACCCCCGCCTCGTGCGCCAGCCCCCACAGTATAGAGGCTTTAAGGATATCTAGGAGGAGCTCGATTGGTATGGTAGTAACCCCGAGGGCATTAATCGAGACCGCACCCCGGAGGCAGAGTACTCGAACGAGTTTTTGTCACTTAAGGAAGAAGATAGTGGCCCCAGCGATAGCGAGTAAAGCAGGTCTATCTATTCTAACGCGTCCAGGTCACCGTCGCCCCCCTCGAAGCCCTCTACCTCCCCCTCCTCCCACAAACGCAAGGCGTCTACCTCCCTAGACGAGCGGAAAAAACACCCCCGAAAGGGTAGCAAGGGTAGCAAGCCCGCCCCAGTGATACCCCCGGAGCTGGCGTCAACAATGCTGAAGTTACCCCCTCATACCCCAGAGACGCGTCAAGCTACTTTCTCGTTAGGCACACCTATTTACTAAACAGTTAAAGAATTCGACGCGTACTGGCCTTTGATAGACAATTTCTAGATATGCAATAAGCCCAAGGATGCGGAGTAGATAGCCCCCCAGTGGAACCCCTCTATGGCGACAGCGAGGTGTCCCTGAACCCCCCATAGTAGACTGCCAACTCCGCTGTATCCCTTATACAAATTCCGCCCTGACAGGTAGTAATGTAGGCGGACTGCGATGGCTAGCCTAAAAGCTTTCCCCGCCCCATTACAAGTGACAGCGAGGTCGCTGACGACGACAACGATGTCTCGGCGACGTCGCGCCTTATTTTGGTGTGGCGCCCATCAGGTCCATACAAATATGGCGCAGCCACCCTGAAACTATGCTAACGGTATTTTATTTAGCACCCCCGCTAATTCCGGGAACAAATTGTAGGAGTTTCAACTCTACCATTGGACCTTGAAATTCTGCGACTTCCTTCTAGAGATGGGAAGGAAAAGAAAGCAGCTTTCACAAGCGGAAGTTTGGGACGACACTGCTCTACTACAATCCTGGGATGATGCTCTCGCGGAATACAAGGTACTTCCTACTTCTAATCACGTCCCTTTTCTTGCTAAGTCTCAATATAGCTCTATCACAGTATACATGCGCGCGGCGAGCGTGTCGAAGATGTGATTAAGGAGGCTGAAGTTGAAATGCAAGACGCGCATATGACTGAAGACGACCTCCGCAAAGCGGCGACAGACATGCAAACCAACGGTATACCATCAGAGGAGCTGGAAGACGGAGAGCTGGAGGAGGATAAGAGCGCTCAGACATACTCCAACGGAGAGTCGACAGAGAATTTTCACGTAAGGGCGCAACGAAAGCAGCTTCATTTAGCATGGCTCATGTGTCGTTAGGGGCCCTCAACTATCGAGTCTGAGCAAAAGGAACGCCTAGCCAATGTAAGCACTGCGGTGGACCAACAAGAAAAGCCTAGGATGCCTAATGCAGTTACCAATGGTGGTGAGATTTCAATTCCCATTCTGCTATCAGCGTACAGGAGAATCTGACTGACTTCTGTTTAGTCAAAGATGAAGCCCTCAAGAATCTCATGATGTCTTGGTATTATGCAGGGTATTATACTGGATTGTGTGAAGGACAGCAACAAGTTCAGAATACTCCGTCCAAGTAAGGGAGGCAGGGGCTTTCAGGCATCACTTGCAGAATTCGACGCAACAAAAAAAGGAAAGGCTTGTTTCTGGGTGAAACAAGAAAGCTATTTCCCTGCGAGCCTCAAAGGAAAAAAAGTTCAGACACGTGTTGGGCTGCAAGGTAGGCACGCCGCCATTGTTCTTTATTTCTGTACTCACGTGTGCTCAAGTAGGAGCGTCCACTGGGACGAGTCCAGCGGACCTATGAGCAGTCTCAAGCTACTTAATGTTCGTCATTAGCAAACACCGTCGCTGGTAATGCACCCTATGCTATCGAGGCCACCAGTGGAAGTCGCTCAAAGCAAGTCGCTCAAAGCAAGTCGCCAAATCCCTTCTCTGAGTCAGCCTTGATCAAATCCACCATTCCCTGTACGAGTCAAAAATTTGCCTGGTGTTCCAGCTTGAATCTTTTGCAACTCACTTCTGGCATGCAAGGTGAGCCGTCCGCGTCCTTGACGTAGCGGAATGGCATCTCCGTGCTTTCATTTTCATCGATGTGTAGCTCGGGATAATCAACGTATGGTATGTCCTTAAGGGGTACTACAATAGCTACTCAGCTTCTAGAGCACAGATCATAGGCGCGATGTTTCAGTGACCTTTCTGCTCCACCACCATCCGAGTCACACGTACTGCCGTGTCTGTGGTCATTTGTATCGGGCCTAGCCTCCTCCCACTGAAGCCCTTCTTCCGCAGCTCAGATGTCCTGTCTGTACTTGACTTAGTGCCTACGTGATACCCTGGCGGATCCTTCTTCCTTACCGCGAGGCGGGTCATCGCCTGATTCCACAGATCAACCCAAAAACACTCATCTCGATTGCTCCATGGGTATTATACCTAAGATTCCTCCAAACAAAAAGACATCGAATTTAGTCCCGTCCTCCGGACTCAGCTCAACAGTGGCTGCTGGATCAAGCAAGCATACTCGTCCCTTATCCTCTTGAAAAAGCTTCTCTACACTCCGATGCTCTATTGTCAAGGATTCAAGATCTCGAAGCTCTGGTGGCAATGACATTACTGTTGGGACAGAGCTCAAGAAGAATCTCACGCCGGCTTTGGCAGAGTCTTGAGCGATTGATCGATACTCGAGCGTCGACCATGGCCCAAGTTCGGGATCTAAATGCTCGACGATATAGCTTGTTATTTTTTTGCCTGAGATGCTTCCCATCGTTGACAGTACTTGACGTGAGTCCGGAGAAAGCGAGCTTCTCAAGATGTAAAGGCCCCAACTGCTTCCGGCGGCCAAATCAAGATTGTTGTCCCGTGAAATCGATTTAGACTCATAAATGGTTAAGGAAACATGGATACAAAAGGCGGTAGGATGATGACCTGGAGTGTAAAGAGAGGCAAGAATAAAGGACAGGAAATATTTGGTGGGCATGTGACTTGGAAGCCCATAGAATTGACCAATAGGAAGAATGTCTCGGGAGCTTACAAAGACTTCTAAGCCGCAATAGTCAGCTATGAGGTCGATCACAAAAACAAATGTTCTCCCCTCACAGCTCACTTCCGCCAACAATACCTTACCTTTCTCCAACCTACCACTTTTCTCAACCTCCATCCATAGACTCCATTCCCTTCTTTTACTCTCATTGCCAGCCACTCCGCCGCTCGCTACCTTAGATTTACTCCCCCACCTCTATCCTTGTCCTGGTTTTCTCCCACTAGCTACCTACAATCTGCAAACGGTGGTATTGCTAAAAAAGGGCCAATTCGTGTTCGAAGCAAATCTCGAACTTTCTCCTTGCTGTCAACCCTAAGCTGGCATAGCCAATTCGGAGGTGAAATCCGAGGTAGTACCTCTATTAGGACCTTCGACAGATTACCAAGCTCGGTTTGCTTGCCTATCCAGAGCAGGTCATCCCGCTAGCGCTACTGCTAGACTTGGATTGCTGTTCCTCATATCTCAGGTTTCCTCAGTCGTCCCACTGTGGGTCTCTCATTATGAACCCTCACCAGAAGAATAAGGTGGACGTTAGCGTGAGCGACAATCCACCAACACCCAACCAAACCAAACGAAGTAGTTGGCCTTTACTAATATTCCACAGTCTCTCAATGAGGAGGAGCAAAAGCTTTTCCGTCTCTACGGGAAGTTGCCCAACAAGAAGGACCTCCTACAGAACAAGCTCAAAGTCAGTCCCTACCTCCCCTTGCCCCCAATTCCTGACGTTGACATTATGACTCGACCAGGAGCGCAAGTACTTCGACTCGGGCGACTACGCACTTTCGAAAGCCGGCAAGGCATCTGAAGGCGGCGTCACTTCCATTGGAAGCCAGCATCCACTACCAGAGAACATACCCCACCTGACCTCACCGGGCCCCAACAGTGGAAGTAATGGTAACAGCAACGGTCCTAGCAATGGGTCAATTCCCGGTGCATCAAGCGGCAGCCCTGTGAAAGAGAGCAGCTTCTTACAGAGGGAAACAAGCGTGGACGAGGGAAGCGTGCTCAGTCCGAAGAGCCCAGAGCGGGGAAGTGCAAGTAGTCCGCCATCAAAGGAGGGGGTGCCCATCCGGTCGCAGCACTGACTTTCGAGGACTTCACCAAAGCTTGGGGATTGTTTTGTGGCGAATGAAAAGCCAAATGAGCGTGGGTTTAGCGCTGGCAACGAGTTACGATCTTCGCTATTGCAAAAATAGCTCTAGGGAGGGTGAAGTGCTGGGGCCGGTGTTCATGGAGTCGTTGGACTGCGGAGTACCCACATACAAGGCGGTGGCTGGCAACTTTGTTCTATGCTTTGGCAGTTACTTGACCAATCGAGATAGCTGTGATAAATGGTGAGATTCTACACCTCTTTAAAGCTTTCCACCATCAAACGCCGCGTTATGCCTTGCTATTTGGCCTTTTGTTTCTTCACAGCTCAATAGCTTTCTCTGCCATCTCCAGCGCCCCTTCTCTCGTTTTGTTGCCCCCAATGAAGCCGCTTGCGTGAGCGAAGATACAACCTTCGATCCCGCTGACCTCGCTCAATTGATCATCCCTCACCCCTCTCCAATTATCTGGTAACGGCTTCCTGCTCTCGAAGCTATCTTTGCTCACACTTACGGCCTGCACACGCCACTTTGCACCTTCATGCTCACTTTCGGGATATACAACATACAGCACTTTCTCTTCACCCGGCTTTTCCGCTTCGAGTGTGTACAAATGATCTTTCCAAGGACAACCTCGAGGGAATAGCATTACTCTCCCTTTCGCATCGTAGTCTTTGCGAGCGACATATGTCTGACGCACGAGCGTGCGTGCGGGCAGCCAAGCACGGTGATAGTATTGCAATTTTCGTAAGAAACTCGATCCCATTAGGGAGCTCGCTTGCAGGAACCGGGCATCTTCAAATTCTTGCGCCTCCTCCGGCTTTATGGTGGGGGAAGGATCTTCGAAGTTGGCATTTAGATCTCCAACCAAGCTGCCCAAGCCTATGCCCCCATCATAGAATCGTTTTTGAAGGGTTTTTGTCTCGGAGGGATCGTAGACTGAGATGCCATTGTCGTGCGCGTCCAGTGCTTCGATGAAGTCTTCGTAGACCTTTTTCCACAGAATATCTACCTCTTCGCTACCTTCATCCAAACCCGTTTGTAAAGCTATTATCGGCTTTCCGAAGTGCATGTAGACCAAGCCGGCGGAAGACAACTTGGTTGGGCGCGAGGGAAATGTGGTAGTGAAGGTACGTTGGTGATGGTCATAGCGATTTTGAGCAGGGTGATATTCGCCACCAACATCGACGACAGTGTGACAGGTGGAGAGAAGGGCTGGGTCACGGGTGCGGATGAGGGCTGATGGATTGTAGGTGGGGAGCATGCGGAGAAGGTGAACGGCGAGGGCCTCATCGGCGTGGAAGTGACCACTGGAGATGTTAGCTAGAATTTAGTCGATGAGTCAAGATCAGACATACTTGTGGGTGCCAATCAATGGACCCGGATCCATTCTCAGTCTCTTTGCTTCTGTCATTTTGAAGATGTTGCGCAGCATCCAATCTTCATCAACGCTCATCAAACCACACACAGCGAAAAAAGTAGCGTATCTACGAGTAGATGGACTTGATATATCAACACAGCGTTACCATTTGTGGTTGAGACGGTGTGTACAGGGCTCAGATTGGCCGGTAGCAATTACCTCTCTAACCCCAAGTACTTAATACTATCTGCGTATGGAGTATCTATCTGACTATCTTCCATCAGTCATCACTCATCAGTCTTCTATACAGAAAACCACAGGGATGATAATTATGGTAATGCTCGAAACCTGCTTTAATCACGACTTGACGACTACCTTAAGTAGGATTTTAGGCTGCTTCCGCCCAGCGTCTAAGGTACACTATCGAGACTATCTTCCGACCCTGCTGCCTTAGGTACTTGACCCGTAAGGTTAAAACAGGGACCGCACGCGACACTGTGCAATCTATTGGTGTCTACAAACCTGCTTCCAAGTTCCAACCTTTGGAACCAGGCAGTCGGAGCCACAGAATCCTCCTCTACCCTCTTGACGCCATTTAGATATTCACCAACTTTCCAGACGTACTTTATGTTGATATTAAGGATAAGTCGACCGCATCTTCCCCTCAAGCGCAAGAAAAGATCCCAGATTTCTTCCTCTCATCAGGCCCAGCAGTCTGTTTTGACTCCACCGCTGAACTTTCTTCACAGCGTCTTGTGCGCGGCTTGAGCGCTGTTAGAGCTCATGTGGATCTTGAGGGTTTTCTCGTCCGTCGTCTTTTTAACGTCAATCATCCTTAGCATACCACTGGCATTCGACGTCGGCGGGCGGGCTTGCGGCCTTGCATTCTCCCTCTCAATCGCCTCCTTTTACTTCTCATACTCCATCCTACGATTAGCGACTCCAGAGAAGTCACGACATCGCTATATCTTGGTCCAACTCGTCGCTTGGACACAATGGGCGGTGTTGCCCACTCTCTTGATATGGTCATTGAACCGATTCTCAGTCGAGCCCGTCGATAACAGTAGTTGGGTCGAGAGGACGTTCAGCGGGAAAAGAGCACAAGATACGTCAGTATGGGAATGGATTTTCGGGCCCGATGGCCTGGCAGAGACAGCGACTGTGGGAAGCTGGGATAAGATGCTCAGATGGTCAACCCCGGTGTTCCAGCTATGCGAGGGATTCTGCAGCCTTTTGGTCATTCAAGCGGCAGGCCAGATTACCAGGTGGCTTGTCAATAGGGGAGGGAGGAGCGACAGCTGGATGGTATGTTCTCCCCCAAACTATTTGAGCGTATTTAACGACCGTTGTGTAGATCGGCTTGCTTGTCATGTCTGCATCGGTGATCTCGAGCTCAGTATACTTCCTCTGGAGGGTCACTCGTTTTCCGGAGATCGGTAACGTCGATGCCACTCTTATCGGCATAACAGTCACCTGCGCAGTTTTCCTCTGTACTTGGGGTATCGGCAGCGGGAAAGGAAATCCTGTCGAAAGTTCGCTACTATTCGCATATATCGTTCTGTGTCTCTACCAGATCTTCACCGACTACCAACCCACTCATCCTGTCGAGCCACTACCCCCTCCAGCTCAAGCAGCGGATTTTCCTCCATTCCCGCCAATAATCATGGCTTCGTACACCACGCTATTACAGGCTCTATCAGTTTTGCCTTCTGCAATACCTGCAGCCTTCAATTTCATCATTGCAGCCCTGAGTACCATCACTCCGTCCGTGATCATCTCACTTGCTTATCGCCTTTTCGTTCTCTACGCCTCCACTCGTATAATACCGGCTGTCCGTGAATCTGGAGCGCGCGCACTGTCCCAAGAAGCGTCCCTTGAGGACTCAGATGGCGCAGGCCAGATCCTCGGATTGCTAAGCTGGTTTAGTCCCAGCATCCTGATTGCTGTCTACACTAGCCTGCTAATGCAACACTTTGCATCGACAAGCGGAGATGGCGGCGACGGTGACTGGTGGACCAGCCAAGGAGGTGATGCTGGAGGCAGCTTTTGGAGATGGGTCAATGTCGCAGCGACTATGGGGATGTATGCCCTGGAATTGTACCTTGGGAAAGAGGATCTTGACGGAGGATTGACCACGCACTGGAAATCCGACTGAATAATTGCAAGGACTAACGAGCTGAGACCTTCTGAGTTCACAGAGCTAAAGAGCCGAAGGAGAATGGCCTTCGTGGCAAGTTCTGGTGCCGGATCGGAGCTATCCAGGCACAGTATCCACAGCCCAGACACTGTTCGCTCTTCTGGTCCCTCGCCAGGGTTTTTGAGTGTACCAAGGAATTTTGAACCACAAGCCGCAAAATCAATTCGCCGTCTTGATCACAATCTTCGCAGATTAGAGTTCTTGGATTTCCTTCTTCCGTTGCCCATACGATGACACGACCATACTCGAAACCCTCTCGCGCGGCAAAGGCTCGGAGTGATTTGGTAGTGCTCTTCTTTGGTGTGAGACACGGCTGTGTGTGGAGGCGCAAAGTTCCAAAGAGCACATGAAGATCGTCCAAGCTTCTAGCATAAAGTAAATAGGTGAACAATATCTGTACCAAAAGATAATTACGTTCGAGAACAGTCAAAAATTTGGTCTACTCACCTCTGCCTTTTGAATCTCTCGCCTCGTGTGCTCCTAATATCAGTGAATGCCAGTGGTGTCTTTGCTAAGACTCGTCTGAGCTTTGATTCATAAAAGATGCTATGCATGAAACATGGCCTTACCACATACTCTACATGTTAAGCACATTTGTCCAAACCAAGCGCACCTAGAGCATTGTGGAAGTTTGGCGTTGCGTCTTTCTGTACATTTTCTTCATCTTTAATTGATACCCTATGTTGAGCGTTCATCTATAATAACCGCCATCCATTGGGAGTATCTCGCCGAGCAATCCCATCACAAACTCCATATCCCCATCGCTGGGCTTCCCTCTCTGTCTTAATTCGCTCCAGATCTCCAACGTCCTTTGCCGTCCAGCACAGCGCTTAAAGGCTTTGACGGCCCAGATAACCATCCACTTCATCATGCGTACATCATCTAACCCTTGATCAAGTGCTCCCAGCATCGATTCCCATACGATCTCCAGGCGAGCCCGGGTCCAAGAGGTGTATCGTACACCACCATGGTACGTGAAGCCTTTAAAGAGCTTGGTAAATATACGCCCATGCATGGGTAATCCCTGATGTTGCATTTCAGCCAGAAGAGCGGCTATGCGTCGGAGTTCGCCAGTCTGGCTGACATGATATTCAACGAAATGGGCGTAGGTTTGTACATCTGGGGCGATGGATTGTTCTTTTTGCAATTGCCGTATCTTCCAGGGTTCTTCTCTGAAGCGCTGCGTTGCTCGGTTGAGCAGACGGCCTAGGTCGCGATTGTCTCTCCAATTGCTGGGGGGTATATGCTGACTGGAGTGTTTTGTGTGCATTCGCTTCATGCGTTCAAAGACCTGCTCTGCAGCTGCGGGCTCGCCAGCTCGGATCAAAGATGTGATCACGCAATTCATGACTACTGTGTCCACAATCTCACCCGCTTCGACGTATTCACGATAGGCCCTTCGGACGGCATCGCCATCTCCCCTGAGGCCGTGGTAGAAAATGAAGGCATTGCGAGAATAGCGGTTATACTCTAGTTTCCTGACCCCCATTTCTTTCAAAATCATTTCGGCGAGCACAAACTTTTCTGCTTTGGCGGCCATATCGAAAAGAATGTTGAAGGTTACGCTTCCACCTTTGACATTTGCTTCTTGCTCCATTTCCTTCCACATTCTCAGCGCGTTTTCAACATCTACAGCTGTGATACGCGTAAAACATTGCCCGCAAAAGGCTATTGCGCTAGTCCACTCGCCGCGGGTCATGGGTAGATTTGTGGACTTCATGTCTTCTACTACAGAAAGAAAGCGTACTTTTGAAGTTTTATTCTTCTTTTCCAAGACGGAGAGTCGATAAAAAAGCAAGCGACGCGTATGGTCTGAGAGGTAGGAAACTCCAGGGAATGGTAAAGCAGAGTAGGCTTCAAAGGCTTCTTCGTGTGTACAATCGCCCCTGTCCAGTACCTCCAGCAGGTGAACCAAAGATGGTAAAGTCTTGTCTGTTGCTTGTTCACGTGCTGGTGGCGGCGGCTCTTCGATGTCTGTATGCACTTCTGGAGGCGGGATCATGGTATTTTCACTCTTGAACGTAAATGACATCGGAGTTGCTGGTGGTAGCTCGGCCAAAACACCGGCCCGGGTGCTGTAAGATTCGCTATAGTAATCCAGCATGCTGAGGTATTCATCTCGAGAGAGAGGTCGTGGTTTAGCAGGAGGACATGGGGATATAGCAGCGCGATGGACATGTCGTAACTGCCTCGCTGCGTCATAGGCATTTCTCCGTCTGACCTTGTGATATAGGTAACCAGGGTTTGAGACGATCGCTTGGGCCATGGTATGCTGCCGGCATAAACATGCCTTGGCTAAGGCGTCAATGAATATATTGTCGAGCTGGCGTGGAGGAGGGGGAGGAGTTGAAGGCGTAGGTCGATGCTTCCTGGTAGCGGTTTTGATCGGTTGCTCTTTCAGGGTACTCAGCAACAAGAAGGTAGCAGGTTGTAGGAAGGTGAAGACAAAAGTGAGAAGCTGAGGTCCCAAAGGTCTCTTGACAGGTTTGACTCGGCTCGAGGAGTTCCTCTCCACCGAAGCGTTGAGGGTGGCCATGAAGCGTAAAGCATAGCGTCAAACTGGCATTGGCCGCGATATCAAGTTATTTGATAGTCCTTTTGTAACCAAGGATCAAGTCCAACGTCGACAGAGTCGTCAAGGGGAAGCTTGGCTATTGATGCTACCAAAATCGAGGTCTCCTACCCTACTATAGCGGGAACGGCCGCCTTCGCGCCTCTGCGGTGAGTGCGCCTCATGGATGAATGTTACTCCGAACCAAAGCCCATTCGTTCATCTCGAGCCATTTCCTTTAGAGGTCACGGCGATGGGTCGGTACGATTTTCGTCCTTTGCGCGTGCACCAAACCGCGACTCAGCTTCTCAATACAGAACGAATATCCAGAACTCCTCCTTGGTACAATGTCGTCGGTTCCATAACGCCTGCTCAGACTCTCGTGCGGACGCAGCCTCTTCCACATCGGCATCGCAAAGGTAGATCAAGAACGAAGAAATCGAGTAAGCTGTTCCAACCGCAGATGATACACTACGAGGAGGATGCTTTAAGGAAAGAATTCTTCAAAGATCATCCGTGGGAGTTGGCGAGGCCACGGCTGGTAATCGAAGATGATGGGAAAGACTCTCAGAAGACGGATTGGAGTCGCATTGAACAACCGGAAAAGGCATTGAGTGGAGAGAGGTGATATCTCCATGCCGGTCGCTCTGGTCCAGTACTGAATTTGACAGCGTTGTCCGGCGACAACTATGGCTACGGCATAATGTGCCAGGGATCACATCCGCCCAAGCCTACGACCAGGCACGGAAAGAGTTCTACAGTCTACGCCTGGAAGAAGACGTGGAGCGAAGGGTAGCAAAAGAGGAAGCACTGTCCACAGGAGCATATTTTGGAAAGTCTACGCTAGACATTGGGATGGAACTGGAAGACAAAGAGTACGAGAGATGGAAGGAATGGGCAACGAAAGAGGTTACCCTGGCCGAGCAAAAACAGGCGGCGATGTATACGGGTGGTGGGGAAAGCGAGGAGATGGTGGTGGATTCTAATCCTGCCGAGTACGAAGCTGCAGTTGAGGAAGTCTCAGATCAGATACCTGCTCAAGGTCAGAGCGCATTAGGTGGCGCTATGATTCGGCCATGATTTAGGATGTCAGACAATTGAACGTTGCTTTTCAAGCCAATGTTGATTCTGCAGGAAGATGTGCCGGGCGGCTTACCCAAGGTCAACGGGATCATCAAGATGAAAACAGAGCGGGAGAGCATGATACGAGGGCGGATTGCCACGACATCCTCATCCTCCATTATGCGTTCGTTCTCTGTTTGCCTGTTTGCCTGTTTGCCATTCTCATAGAGCTTCGATACCCAGACACTCACAATTCAAAGGCATATCGAGTCTATCCCTGCGACGTTTACAAGTGCTTATCGATGTTGCCGCTATAAATAAACATTAATCTAGGTACGGAGTAAGCACTCCTTTGAGACCATTTTCTGGACTCCACTTCATTCATTGATGCAGAATGAAGGGATTGGCATCAGCAGCCGAACTATCCTTGTCTAGCGGCGGCTATTCCGCATGGCATACTAGTAAGTACCTAAGGTAAGTACTTTAAAGTAGGTAAGGTAATCTGCGTAATCTTCCCCCGGTTCCCACATGCTCTTCATCACTCATTAACATCCCCTTCATTCACATTGCACTCTGGAATGCCCGAGGCATACTCTCAGAGCGTCACTCCTATTCTTCGTTTCTTCGCCTCTTTTGCATCTCTCTTCTCCATCGAGCGACTCAACTTGGGCTCGACCCTCCATCATTTCGTGTAACGAAGCCACCAGGAGAGGTATCCCACTTTCATTTTTGATGACCATCCGCTTGTACTGAGGGCAACATCCAATGCTTCTCGCAATATGCCTGAATCTTCCTACACTGGGTGAGCTTCCTCTTGCGCGCCCTGCATACGCTCAGCCTCGAGCTTACCGTTGGGAAAGGTACCCCTCGGATTACGATTTCCCCCAGGTATCCATGGGTCCTTCCCAAGAATCTTTCCGGGAGAGAACCGACAAGGTGTCAGGCTTGACAACGCGTGAAAGCGTTGAGCTTTTCCAAGAAGCTCATGACAAGGCGGTCGACGAAGCACACAGTACCCTCCAGCAATCCTTGACGGGGGGAGAAAATGCTGGCGAAACAGTGAAGCCCAAATTGACCCTTGATTTGAGGAAAAGGAATCTATCACAGATACCAAAGGAGGTCGTTGCCATCATCGGACAAGATGTCGAGAGGTATGAGCCCTCCTCCCTTGCCACTACACCTTCGCGCGTTTTTTTCCCCTTCCTTTCTTTTATCTCTTCTTTTCATTCAGCGCGTTGGTGGTCCGTACCAACGTGAGCTGATCTTTACAAAAAACTTCATGCTGAGTCTCGATTGATGTAGGCTACAGCTGGCCCATAATCAGCTATCCCATATCGCGTACGAGTTTATTGGTTGCTCCGCCTTGAGATACCTTAATCTGCGCGACAACCGTTTCAGACAGGTGCCCAAGGCCGTAAGCTGACAGTCCATCGGATGATTTGAGAGAAAAGCTAACAGAGAAAAGCTTTTCGGCCTGCCACAGTTGGAGATACTTGATCTCAGCAGAAACAAGATTAGCGAAGTTCCGGACGAAATTGAACAGATGAAAGCGTTGCGAGTTTTTTCAATACAACACAACAATATTGGAGATCTCCCTTTATGCCTCGGAAGTATCAACACGCTTAGGATGTTGAAATTGACTGGCAATCCTTTAACTCCGAGGCTTAAACGTATTGTAGAGGGCAGCGATCTTTCCCCGGGTCCATCGCCAGCATTTGTTGACAACGAGATCGAGAAGGATACAATGTCAACCAAGAAGGTGCTAGAATATCTGAGAACGGTAGCTGCCGCGAAAGATTCTGAAGGCGACTCCAGGTTCGTAAGATTGGGAAGGTCTTCACATCCTTGCTTACCGCTAGTGTGGCAGTGATGGACCTTTGGAGACGCCGCGTGCCTTATTACGCTTTCCGCTGCAAACTAGGAAATACGGACACAACACAAGCGAGTCCGAATCGGCATCTGAACTGAGGTCCCCAGGCTTTGTAAAGCCACCTCTACCAGCCCGCTCACATTACAGAGTTCCTTCCAGTCAGAACAACGTCTTATCACAGAACGCGGCACTTCGCCGCCCCGGCCTTGCACCTTTGTCATTGGGCAACGAGCGAAACCGGAGCAACAGCGAAAGCATTCTACAAGCCACGCAAAACACCCGAAACAAGCGCATGGGCATCGTACCCAAAAAGCAGACTGAACTTACAGTACTGGATGAGACGCGCGCCAACAGAAACAGCCATCATTTGCGTGGGCAAAGCCACGGGTCTGCTTTACGTCAAGGAATTCGTGCAGGTGATATCAGTCCTTCAAATGTGACCTCTTCACATGGCAGTGAGGATCAGCGCGGCATGCTTGGGCGTCCTTTGTCAAGTTTACCACGACAAAGACAACAAAATCTTCCCGGAGCCAGGATTATCGAAGCTGCAAAAGGGATATTGTACTCACTAAATCTAGTACACCATCATCTTGGTATATTGTTTCCTGTGATTAAAGAGGGAAAGTCGAAACGATCGAGCTTGGAAAGGGTTTTCCACAACGCTGCCATCCACGTTGAGCATTTGGATCAAGAATTGAGCAAATGCATGCGCGATGCGGCCCAAGGCTTAGGACTCACAGACGCGTCAAGGAAGTCTGTGCGGCAGGCTACCCACGCTTGCATTCTGACCCACGAACCTATTGCACAGCTGACAACTCGCTCCGTTGGACAGCTTGCCCAAGATGCCGACCCGAGATACATTCGAACTTTGATGCTCCTTTTTTACGGAAGCCTCAACGAGGTATACAATTCTAATCTGACCTCTGGAAGGAAACGGCTGGTAAAGAAGGCTCGGAAGGTCAACGTAAGTCAAGTCCCTCAAATCACAGCAAATGCTAGTGAAGGACAAAGCTCAAAAAATCGCGACGACTCTGTGACGCCAACTCGAGATCGACCAAAGCCCGAGAGACGTTGGAGGAACGGAGGCAGTGTTCAGCAATTCAGCAGTCACATTGATCTCCATGCAGCGCTCGGTACTCAGACTGCTGTACCGCTGTATCTCAATGGTCGAAGCCGCTCAAACAGCCGCGCTGGAATGTTCCAAGGCTCGACCTCCAGCTCCGTGGTCAGCACACCTCGTTCAGGAGAGTCGTTCAGTTCCTCAAAGCTTGCTCCTCGTTCTCGTAGCGGAAGTGTCACAATGATGCCGGACCAAGCCCGCATTGAAAAGGAGCAAAGAGTCCAATTCGAGCAGATATTTGTCATCCTAAGGAAATCCGCTGATCAAGGTCTTCAAATCATTCCGCAGCTGCAACCATCCTTTAACGAGGCTGCAGAAGCTTCCCAAAGACAGTACACCCATGAGAAGATCCGTGAGCTGTGGTTGACACTTGTGAACCGCAACAGAACTTGCCTGAGCATGAGTGAAAAGCTCAAAAAGCGACTTTCGACTATCAAGCTCAACGACCCCGAGGCACGCAACGCCAGGGACTTCTGGCGGCTTGTCAAGGACTTCGTCGACTCCTACAGCAGCCTTCTGGCGTCTCTTAGAGAAGCGAGGCTGCTCAATCTTGTGCCAAGCGATATGAGACATCAAGTCCGTCCGGTTCACAAGTCTGCAACCGAAGCAGCTACTTTGATCACGAACTCACCGTGGAATCGCCTTACTTTTGAGGTCGAGCCTCTAACTCAGCCTCCGTCGCGAGCCCAGACACCGGCTCCGAACGGATATCAGGCTCATCAGCAGCATCGCACGCTTGGGTCTGGGGGTTTGAATGCAGGTTCGAGCTCCAGCCCGTTCACGCCGAGTGTGCCTGCTACCCCCCTGTCAGCTGCGCTGGGTCCAGCTGCTCAAGCCACGGTGCCTGCGACGCCTGCGAGTGCTTCTTTGAATCGATCTTTTGAGGGGGATGTGTTTCAGCGGGCTGATTCGCTGCTCAATCTGCAGAACACTATGTACCATCGCCGATAAGGCCTTGTGAAAGTTCCTTGCGGGTCCATGACATCTGAGTATGGGTATCGTATGGGGGTAGCAGCGGGCGAGCTGACTCCATTGGTGCATGGTAGTCTTCTTAAATTCAGACTTTGCTTTATTTTGCATGGATAAGCGTTGGAGCTGGAGCGTTGGGATCTCTGGAAAGATACCCCGTTCAGCGCTTGGAACGTCTCTGACATATTTGCCACCATGAATACTCTAGATACTCGTTCTATGATTGAGATGTATGTATGTAACTCAGCATCAGCCGCAAGTTTCGATTTCAGAGGGCACCAGCAATCGAGTTCAGATCTTGAAGTGGCCGAGTTCTCTTGCTTCACCTGATTTTGAGCAGAGTTCACTCTCCTTAACTTCAATTCTCAATCCTAATTTCTCAACTTCAATCATACATCCATCACGCACCCATTCCGTTCGGCTTGGATCCCTTCCAATTACATTAACAATGATGAGAGTCATGAAGCCATACATGATCAGCCGCACCATCTCATGCTACATCCTTTGATTTGATGACAGCACTCGTTTTCCAATTTTTCCAATTTCATCTCAATTTCTTCCCGACTCTATTTACATCTAGCACAACGCTCACGAGGACAATGGCAATACTCAATAGATTACCGGTTTCGATCGAAGTGAACGGAAACAGCTTGCATGAATACCGTGATCATGATAATCAGGAAGTCCGCCCGGATTCAACATCAAAATACGTCGAGTCCTTTTCTAGCGCTGCATTCGCAATCAGACTTTCTATACCAAAGATTTTCTCGTTCACTTCTGATGCTCTGGGCGTTTTTCTCTATCTGGACGGTACTAGTACATACGTCGAGAGCGGAATATTTGAAAAAGGATTACACGACTACAGGTTCAAAGGCACATACGGGGTCGGCGAAGGAGGCCTTGGATACAAGGAGTTCACTCTCAATGAAATAAAACGTCCGTTAATTGATTGCCATCTGCAACAAAACTCTAACCAGCTGATGTTTGCAATACAGTGGAAGATTCCTCCAGCTCAAAAGCAAAGGGTCCAGCGACATCCGTTCTCGCCGATCTGGGAACTATCGCTGTCCAAGTCTTTCGCATGCGTATCGTTGGTCCTCGGATCAGAGAGGGAGCAAACCGATCTGTGGCACTAGATCTCCGGGATGAGCTGCAAGTGTCTGAGGGGGAGCTCAGAGGCAGGAGTGTCACGCACAGTGCCAAGTTGGGATACCAAGGTCCTGCTGACTCTGGGCCTATACTTACTGTATACTACAGATTAGGAGGCTTCAGACCCTCGGCAGGACGAGACGCCATGCGGACAGAATATGTGGATGGAGAGACTTCTCCTCTCGCGGTCCTCGAACTCAAGTACCGCTCCAGGAGTGGGTGAATGGATTGATGTTTCATTTCAAGGGCGCAGGTCCTAACGTCTTACAGCCCCCCTGCAAGGTTTGCTCCTCGTAGCTCGGACGCCAACTTCTTCTAGATCTTCCACCTACGTTGCGCTGAAAGGAAGACCATTCGAAGAGCTAAATGCGGCGGAGAAAGATGAGCTTGTGAAAAGGCAACAGGTATTCCCTCACGATCGTGACAACACCCAAGGGCTATCGCTAGGGAATACTCTAAGGCAAGGTATCGGATTGAGCACGAGAGTCGTGTCAATGCGGAAAGTGGCGTCAAAATAGAGCGAGGCATCAAATGAGAGCGCTGTGAAGAGTATGGAGAATTGATGGCATCAGCGTCGGCGAAGAAAGTCAAAGGTCCCATTGCGAACGGAGAGACTGTGGAGACTTCAGACGAGGACTGAAACACAGGGGCTAGAGAAGACCAGCAGGGACGGAGCTAGAGCAGGCTCATCCTGACTCGCAAAGAGAGATAGGCGGGCGGTGGAGTATATCCATCATATTGGCAGGGAAAGGCTTGAAATCCACCATCGTAAGAGATGTAGGAAAGGAGGCTAATCGTATCTTCTTCACTTTCGCCATCCAGGTCTCGGCACCAATCTATCGCTGCTGTACTCAAAGTGCTTGGCTACTTGCCAGCGTTTCTTGTCCAAGCTCTCCTGGCTATTTGCCGCTATTGTGATCGAGCTCTCTGATTAGTCGCCACTACCGTTGTTCGTATCCTGGGTAATCTACCAGGGCAGTGATCATAATCTTTCCTCGTTCTCCAGTGATTGGGTGCGCACCCTATCATTCAACACGCATCAGAGCAAGCGACCTAGGCAGTAAATCATTGATATGGCAATGTCAACACCAAGAAGGCTCCTTGACTCACTACCACGCCATATCACCACCAAGGAACGCTGGTGCAGATGGTGCACCGTGCTAGACATGCAATAAGGTAAACCCAAACATATCGCTATCAGATGCAACGCCCGCTATGAAAAGAAAAGTCCAATGTCTTGTATACTGCGCCTATACCTCGCTATGCATTATGTTCCAAGGACCCTTTGACCGCAACTCGAACTTGCATAACCAACGGTTAGCTTTCCCAAATGGTATATCGATTCAATCCTTCCCCCACTTGTTACCACGATCCAACACGTACAGGCAAATTTATACCGTAGGTTCCAGCCAAGAGCTCTTGCCTCACAGAATTTAAGTCTTCCCCCCGGTTGCCGTGCTGCTGTGCTTGAGGCTGGCCACCCATCCACCCGATATTTGCACTGAGCTCATTCACAGCATCCTGAAGCTTCCCGTTCGCTTGCTGGTTATGCTTGGCCAGCTTCTGATCCCATCCTCCATATTGTAGTTGCATGCCTCCGGCCCTCTTGGCTGCTTCCCTTATGGCTAATGCCCAAGCTCCAGAGATTTCTTCGTAGGCGTTTTGCTTGTGTAGGCTGTTCTGGAAGGAGGACCAGTCCGGTAGTCTATGGATGATATCTGTTGCTCCATCGAGAAAGGTGAGAGACTGGAATGCCTGGGTTTCATTCGGTGGCAGGAAGTGTGGCGTGAAGTCGGCGAGAGCGTCGAGGAGGGCCATAAGGGATTCCCGTACCCGATTGTACGCATAGTCTGACGATGAGTCACCACCAAAGGGAAACGAGGCTTGTAAAGCGGATTCGTAGTCCTTGAGGACGTTAAGGGCTGATGGAACGCTAGGCCTTGGTGCTGTGTGTTCAACTTCGGAACCTATCCCAGGATGCCTCGTGCAAATAGATTGTAGAACACCTCGTAGCGAGTCGGCGTCTAAGGTCTCTAGAAGCCTGGGCAGAGCGAGTGGTCTGCCCACAGGACCTGATCTGGGTCTCTTGGCGTGTCGATAGGCGGGTAGTGAGCGCGTAGCTGGGGCTGGAGAGTTGGAAGGGGAGGAGGACATTCTGTCTTCCGCTTGAGGCTCGTCGTCTTCTGCTTTTCGTTTCCGGCTGGCAGAAGCGGTGGGAGTGTAAGAAGACACTGTCAGGTCAGTCAGCAGGAATTCCATGACAGGAAGGCATGGAAAAGGCGGACTTGAGTGGGAGGGTGAGAGACGTGGATTCGAAAGGTGGTGCGGAGGTGGCGGTGTAGCAAGAAGATTCATAGCTGCAATAGTAATCTATCAATTTTCAGTCGGAAGATTCTCCAAGGGTGAAGTGATTGAGTTGAGAAGGAGGAAGACGAGGAAGAGGAGGAGGAAGATGTGGGGGTTTATACTATTAAACGCTCCGAGTGTCGAATGTCCATCATTAAAGTACGGGTACCAAATGCTTGGCTTGGCTTGGCACTTATTCCAGACATAATACAGTAACACATTCCTTGTCACAAAGCCAATGTTCGAACACAAGAGAAGAACATTCATTCGATTACACACTCACTCTTGTCCACATTTCTCATCTGAATCATCTCACCTATTATCATCTCACGCATGATCCTCAGGTTGGTATTGTACCCAAAGCCAAGAGTCTGTCCGGGGCTGCTGTCTTCATATTCACCTGCCAAAACGCATTTTCCGCTTTGCTAAATCGCTTACAATTACGTCTGGTCTATCAACTCAAGTGCCCTACTCAGCACCATGGTCTCATCATCAAAACTCACAAACACTCTTCAATTAGCTTGAGACTTTCCAACACTTTAGAGATATAGCGACTGTGCTGCAACTATATCTCTCCTAACTTTGGTCAATGATTCTTCGAATTTCTTCTCCAAGTCATCACTACCCATCACCTTGGCAGCTTGGGCCATTTGTCTCAAGAGCTCCTCAAGTCTTCTGAAAAGACGAATGAGGCTGCCTTCATACACATCGGTCATCTTACATATCTCTGCAAATGACTTTCCATGTGCCCATGCAAAAACGACTTCCATGAGCTGCCACTTGAATGAAGCCAAGTATTCATCCTCAACTACTCGCATTTTGCTCTCGACAGATACTTTTGCTATTGTCCGTGCTTTGGCTTGTATTTCACGGAATGGCTTGGCAAGCTCTTCTTTCAACGCAGGCGCTTCGGACTTTTCTTCAAAGATGAAGCAGCTCAATACCGCTGCACACATTTCAGGCGAGAGTTCGTTGAAGAAGCGATCAAAGAGGAGTTCACTGAGTAGAAGCTCATCGCCGGTACTAATCTCGCAGGCGACGCGAGCTTTGAGCTGGACAACTTCGGTCTCGTTGATGAATCCGAAGCGGCGGAGGACACGCTTCCGGCATTTCAGCTCATCAAGCTGCATGATGGAAAGAGCAGCAGTGATTTGCTTCTTGACGTCCTTGATCTTGTCCGACATGCCGACTTTTTCGGCATATTGATTGTAGAGATCTGGTAGACGAGGAGAATTGTGTAGCGGGTTAGTGAGCAGGTGAGACTCAAGCACTTCAATTTTCTGTCGACCATTAGCATAATACGACTATTCCATCCGAGTAAAACGCACCCTAAGCGTGTTCTTGAACGAAATATCTGTGATGCCCATGTTCTCGATAGGGTCAAGCACAGCTATCCCGTCCGGGAACCTTCGCTTCACCTCATCAATGGACTTTCTCGCAGTGTTCCGCTGATCAGCTGATTTCAGATCCGCAGGCAAGAAGATTCGAACATGACCAATCGACTCAACGCATGACAACAAGATCGGCACGACTTCCATCTTTGACTTCTCCCCGTCGATTGCTGGTTGGACCCCTTGCGGCAGATCCTGATGAGTTCGTGTGCCATTTGATGAGATGTCCGCTACTTGTAAGAGTACGTCTATGACATAGGATTGCTGCGGTGTAATGTCTTCGGCTTTTGGGTCCTTGCCAGGTTTTCTTGGAGTAAAATTGACAACGGCGCCCCAGCCAAAGTCGTTGTCGTTGTGCTTAATTCTTACGAGGCGGCCGGATTGCATGAACTGCAAGCAGTAGTTTGGGTGGTTGATGACATCGCGCATGTCTTTGGAATGACCATCCAACTGTTTTCGCAAGTCGTAATATTCCCGAATTGTCCCCTCATCAGCAATTTGCATGTTTGACCACTGCGTCTCTAGACCGTGCAGCTCTTTCTCAAGCCCTGATACACTTGCGGTGTTTTGAAATTGATAAAAGCATCGCTCGAGCATGAATTCGGGAGATATACCTTCAACCCTCATCAGATTCAGGATCATGTTGTATCCGAGATAGAATGCCGAATTCAGCTTATCTTGCTCGCCGCGAACGATTTCTTTGGCAATGGCAGGTTCCATCTTCTCGTCGATCATCATGATAACAATGCCTCGATCATCAAGACCACGTCGACCAGCTCGCCCTGACATTTGAACAAATTCGGAGGGGCTTACCCATCGCTGTGAGACCCCATCAAATTTGCGAACACTCGTGAAGACCACAGTCTTTGCAGGCATGTTCAGGCCGATTGAAAAGGTTTCTGTTGCAAAGAGTACCTTAATGAGTCCTTCCTGGAAAAGAATTTCGATAGTCTCCTTTAAAATTGGCAGTAGCCCAGAATGATGAATTCCAATTCCGCGCTTCAGCAACGGAAGGATGTTTTGGATCTGTGGTAGTTGCTTGTCTTCTTCGGTCAGCATCTCCAGAGCGCTGTTGAAGACTTTCTCGACCATATCCTTCTCTGATTTCTCGTTGAAAGTAAGATTGCTCATCTGAAGAGCGTACGCTTCGCACAAATTCTTACTAAAGCTGAAGACGATGACGGGATTGTAGCTCTTCATCATGATCATCTTTATGATTTTGTAGATGTCAGAAGGGCCTTTCGTCCCGCCCTTGTTCAGCCTCTTGTCCTTGCCTCTGCCCTTTCGCTTTGCCATTGCGTCTGCAGGGTCATCACCTTGCTTGTCCGATATAGTCGTCATAGCTTTGTTGAAATTGTCTTCGCGAAAAACACCCTTCTCGTCAACGATCAAGTGTATTCCATCGGCTCCAGCTGGGAAGAAGTAATGCTGTAAAGGGGTGGGTCGAAAGTCGGTATAGACGACATGCACGGGCTGACCGTGTGTTTTGGTAATCCATTCTGCAAATTGCATTGCATTCGGTATTGTAGCCGATAGAAAGACGTAGCGGACTTTATCGGGTAGGAGTATGATGGTCTCCTCCCACACTACACCACGGGCCTTGTCGCGCAGGTAGTGAATCTCGTCAAATACCACCCACGCCACTTCTCGCATGATTTCAGAGCCTCTGTAGAGCATGGACCGAAGAATCTCCGTTGTCATGACCAGACATGTTGCCGTTGGGTTGATAGTCACATCCCCAGTCATCAAGCCGACATCTCCGAATTCTGCAGCAAACTCTCGATACTTTTGATTGCTCAAGGCTTTGATCGGACTTGTATAGATGACTCTTTGATTGTTCTTCAAGCTCTGGGCAATTGCATACTCTGCAACCACGGTTTTCCCAGCACTGGTGTGGGCAGATACCAACACACTCTCCCCTCGTTCAATTGACGCTATAGACACCTGCTGGAAAGGATCCAGTGTGAAAGGCCATGTACGTGCTGGTGTCTCTGGAGCTTTATGTTCTGAAATAGGCACATAGCGGTATTCTGGGGGTAGAGCGACTTGATGTCTGACCTGATGGGACAAGACGACCGCAGTGCCCTCTTTTGCTGCTTGGAGCCCAGCAGATGCAGCCACTTCTCTTGATTGCTCTGTCTCGAACGTGTCTGTAACTAGGGGCTCTGCTTCGACATCCCTCCGCTGTCGCTTGGCCTCAGGTTGGCTATCTCCATTGGTTTCTTTTGTGGGCTTGTTATACCCTCCAGTCTCGAGCAAAGAGACTTCCTCGCCGCCATTAATGTTTCCGTTGGTGTCTTTAGCCTCTCCACTGGCCAGTCTCTTCTTGCTCTTGTCTTTGCGGGGCTTTTGCTTGCTGCTTTGGGGCTTTCCACCAGGCGACTGATCGTCGAAAACATCAAAGAGCTCATCCATCCCCGCAGTTAGATAGCGGTCGTAAATTAAAGAACCGTCAATTAGTTTGCCGCTGCAGTGTGGTATGATCGCAGTGTGAAATAAATCTTCATGTTTACGAAACTATCTACTAGCGTACAGTGTGGTACAATGGTGTAATGGTTTTATTCTCACCCGGTGTGTTACGTAACGGTGCATAGTTCTTCCTTCCGGCCTTGGCATACTTCCTAATAGTAGGACTTTCTTTACTTCTTAGCTAGCCATCAATCCATCACAATAGAAGAATTACATTCGTGTGCCTTGTCTTCGTTTTGTCTTTCTTTCTTGCTGAGCCTGAATTATACTGAGGAACGGATCCTCATTATTTCTTGATAATATCAAGAAGAATCCACTATCGCGAATACGTTTTCTTTCATGCTTTTATACGACTGTTTTCCCTTATCTAAAATATGCATACTTCTTTCTTTCGATATTTACCTAATAGTAATATCAAGAATCTTTCGATACTTGATTTTTTTTCGAGGAGCTTATAATTACTCCGTATGAGGGCGCTGTAGGATTTTTTTTAACGGGTTTCTTACGTTATGAGTAAATATTTTATACTTTTATTAGTTACGAAAAAAAGAAACTAATATTCTAAAAGAATCTATCGCACGCGAGAGAAATAATAGTTAAATCTAGTATTCTAATAAGATATCTATCGCTACGCGTAGAGTGAATTAAATAATACGTCAAATTTAGATAATACTATCTCTTCAAAGTGAACGACTTGATGGTTTTAAGCTCAGACGCTTTCCAGCCCGAGTGCGGACTTACTCCGCCCCTAGCCTAATAGGTGATAGGGTAGTTCGGGCGCAAGAATAGGTAGCGTCTAGAGGCAATTCACCCGAGGGACCTGTGCATCCTAAAAGTCCCAGTTCACAACCTTCACAACCAATAGCAAATTTGTGTTGAACTCTCACCATAGCCTCTCTTCATAGCCTCTCAAAATGGCAGATGAGGAACGAAAAGTGTCGAAACGCTCTAGATTTGACCAGACAGAGCCTGATGTGAAACGTACCTCACGCTTTGACCGACGCTCGCGTTCCCCTACCAGCAGAAACTCGGAGACACAACGGAGCCGCAGTCCTTTAGCTCCAAAGACACCTTTTAGCCCTGGAGCAGAAGACAGAAAAACTCCCCTCGACCCAGCTGCTGCAGCCGGTAAGCTTGACCGTCTAGGTTGGTCAATGGTCGAAAACTAATACTTCACTTAGCGGCCGCCGCAGCTCGAATAAATGCCTCGATACAAGCCAAGAAAGGCATACAGCATGTCGATGTTCCTCCCATCCGTGCAGTGAGCTACCCTTCGTCTCGAGAAAATCCACATTTTCTAAAATTGTCTCAGACAGAAAGCCCAGTGGCGAAAGCATCCTCGCCCAACCCAAACGCTGGCTCAAGCACCAGCAATATCAATGGCGACATGTATATTGCAGATGGAGATTACATCAAGGACATTGAGGTCAATGATCTACGAAACAGATACACGCTGACCAAGGGTTCAACACAGAAGATGGTAATTATTCTTGTCATATCCACTGATACTCCCAGGTGCCGGCGTTCAAAAAGTCATGTCACATTCATGCGGTTCTATATTCCTATCTATTATCTTTTGTGGGAGACTGCTCGAAGCTTACAATGGGCTGATCTAGCACTCTGTAACCCCTCTTTGGCATCTGCTGACCTCCACTGCGTGACATCTAGATTAAAGAAGAGACTGGCGCCGGTACGCTTTACCTGACATTTACAGATTTTGAAGTACAGAAGCTCATAGTGTAAAGATGTCACCACCCGAGGAAACTATTATCCCGACAAAAGCATGGCCACTGCAGCGGTAAGTCTCTATCCTTTGGTGACGAAATCTAAATACTGATTCCTACAGAATCCGCCTCTCTACCTTCACATTACCAGCACTTCGAAAGACGGTCTTGAGTTAGCGGTGGAGAAGGTTAATGAGCTTATGAAGCAAGAGTTGCCAAACCTTGTCGATGAGAGACGTTTCAGACGTAGAGAGCCGGATCAAGTTGAGCGTGATGAGTTTGGACGAGTAAGCCCATATCCACAAATGCCCGGGCAAGCTAACGACTTGCAGCGCAAATGGCCTGAAGAGCGCATTCCCATTGATCTTGAGCCAATCCCTGGCTTCAACCTTAGGGCACAGGTGGTAGGTCACGGTGGTGCTTACGTCAAGCATATCCAGCAAGAAACTCGCTGCCGTGTGCAAATCAAAGGCCGCAACTCTGGTTTTATGGAGCACGGCACAAACCGAGAGAGCGATGAACCGATGTATCTCCATGTAGCGTAGGTGCTCTCTATCAGCTGATCCAAACAAAGGTCTCATACTGATGATGATAGTGGACCTGATCCCGCAGAAGTCCAGCACGCGAAAGATCTTTGCGAATCACTACTCGAGAACGTCAAAGAGCAGTACGCTCGCTTTAAGGAGAATCCGCCCCAACAACGCGGTTACGGCTACCAGCAAGGAGGCGATCGTCAGAGCTATGGAGGTGGCTATGGGTCGTATGGAGGAGCGCAGTCTCCAGTGGCCACTGCGACCCCGGCGACGCCCGGCCCGCCAGGAGCTAGCAGTCCGACAGATTACGCTGCTAACTACGCCCAATATTACGGCGGCCAAGATCCTTATGCCGCTTATGGTGGTTATCAGAATTATATGGCATACTATCAGTACTACCAGCAACAAGCCGCACAACAGTCAGGTGCTCCGGGTTCGGCTCCACCTGCTCCTCCAAACGATGATGCGCCACCACCGCCACCGCCCAGTGGGTCTCCTCCCGCTGCAAATGGAGGCTATAATTCGGTAAGCTGAATATGCCCTTGCGAATTTGCGTAAATGAGCCTGGAGAAAAATTGCTGCTGACGAAGAACGAAACAGGTCCCGCCACCACCAGGCATGTGAGTTGAGGTGGGCGTGTAGGTGGAGGAGAAGAAGCACGTAGAGTCTTATCGCTATCCCCAGTGGCTCCAGTTCTTTGTCTGCACTTGGTAGATCGGGTCGCTTGGTGGCGAACCGTAAAGAACACGAGAAAGCTATTCTTCCGACACCATTTGCGGAGTCGAGAGGTTTGGTCAGATCCAGAGTTTCGAAAAACGTGAGCTCATTTGTATTCTAGTAGGCACGCAATGCAATGCGATACAATACAGTAGAATGCAGTACATATCCGCTCAAATGTGCAAAAGCCAGCTTCGTAGTGGAGCACGCGGTGACCATCTTCCATCCGGCGGGGAAAACATTTACTCATACCCATCTTCGTAGAAATCTTCACGCTGCCTCTGTGTAGAGACCCATTCCTCGCTCGCGAGGCCCTCTCTCTTCCTTTTCTTTAGACCCTGTCCTTCAATGCAACAGTCACATCCCTGTTTGCAGGGCTCAACGCCCTTCTCTCCGAAGAACTCGCCAATGGTGACATGTCGACACCGATCTGTTTGTTCGCAATACTTGACTAGCGCTTGGAACGATTCGGCGCGAGACTTGAGCTGGATTTCTTTGGTCTTGGCTGCGCCGTCTCCGCTGCCATAGCGTTGCCCATCGCCGCCATTGCCATTGTCTCGTGCGATGCGATACCCTATTCGATCGCGGTCCTCTCTCGAGTAGAATACCATACACCTAGCAGCTCGTCCGTCTCTGCCTGCCCGTCCAGCTTCTTGGTAGTACCCCTCAAAACTCTTCGGCAAGGTCCAATGCACTACGAACCTCACATCCTGCTTGTCAATGCCCATTCCGAATGCTGTGGTAGCTACTATGATGTCGTAGCCAGGAGCACTGGCGATCCATTTGCTCTGACATTCGTTGCGCTCAAGGGTAGAGAGCCCCGCATGATAGGGAGCGGCGCCGATCTTGTGTTCACGCAAGCGGGCAGAAAGCGCATCGCAGTCGGAGCGGTAGGAAACATATATTATACCAGAGATGGCGTCAGAGCGCTGGTTGTTAGTCGAGCTTTCTTTGGATATCTCCTGGGAGCGTGTAGGGTCGTTGGCGCGACGGGCGTAGATTTTCTGGAGCCAGGAAAGCAGCCAACAGAACCGATTGTCAGACCCGTCAGATGTGAAGCGGACCTCGTAGACAAGGTTGCGGCGAGTGGTTGAGGCGACAAAAGTCTTGGTATTTGCAGGATTGAGTCCAAGGGTTTTAATGATGTCCGCCACAACAGACGGCGGGGCGGTCGCTGTAACGCAGGTAATTGCCACGGTAGGGTAGGCGAGACGAAAATGTGACAGATGGCAATACGCTGGGCGAAAGTCGTGGCCCCACTCGGAGATACAGTGGGCTTCATCTATAGCGATACGAGAAAGCTCTCCTTGACTGTAGATTGTTTCAAGAGTTCGACGAAATGTCTCCGTAAGTACGAGCTCTGGTGTGACGTATAAGAGACGGGTCATTGGGTGGCCTGCGTTGTTTGGTATTTAGCTGGGAATACTGAATGGAACTGATTCTGCATACCGCAGCAGAGGTCTTTCGTAATGTCCCTACGATCTGCGGTAAGCGTGCTGGAGTTGATAGTCGCTACTGGTATATCCGCTGCACGTAACGCCGCGACTTGGTTATTCATTAGAGCAAGCAGGGGTGAAACGACGACAGTGATCCCATGGTCAATCATTGCAGGCAACTGGAAGCATAGACTCTTCCTAATGACTACGTCAATAGGCACTTTGGAAACAAGCCGAGGAAGCAATTACCCAAACGAAGTAGCTGTTTTTGACCGGTAAGATGGTTGTATGCTTGTCTAGGTCTCGATGAAGAATGCTCACCAGCCTGAACAAAGACATCATGCCCTTCTAATGCCGCTGTGATAATCTCACGCTGATATGGTCTGATGTTCTGTCAAAGAGAGGCAACGAGCCTAGGTAAGAAAAGGAGCACATATACCTAAAGTTGGCTTTCCCAAAGACTCTTCGCAAAGTGAAGTCGAGGTCGATAGGGGTGTTCTTGCCCGTATGCTTAGACATGCTGAAAAGAAAAGGCCTTACGATTCTCGACACAAGAAGTCGCCTGGGCACAGAGAGTGGAAATGTCTAGGAAAATGATCAAAGGAAGATTACGGGCTCGAACTCGCATTCCAGACAAATGAGTGGTTGTAGGAACCAATTTAAGGCGTACGGTATTCTTGACAAGTCAAGCGAAGTAGAACTCACAACATTTTCAGAAGAAAAGGGGATATCCAAGACGGTTTGAACCCATGACGTACACAGTCCAGAAAAACACGCTGCTACTCGTACTCTACGCGATATGGGGTCAGAATTGACCTGAATTTGAGGGACACAATGGAAGGTGCAAGGGACTAGATAATGCGGAGACAAATATCGAAAATAAGCGGCGCTTGCGGTTGCCGCGGTTGCCAGCCGGAAAGAAAAGCTCGTACTCTAAGTTGCATGACAATTGTCACCTTGTGAATTCATTCGGTTCTCTACCACACGTAAGTCAGGTCCCGAGCTCAAGCACGAATTCATAGCGGACGACTCGGCACTCATCCTCTGGGTGTCCCGATTCCCCTTCATTGCGGACACTTCAACCCGCGCCATGGCTCGTGGCAACCAGCGTGACAAAGCTCGTGTAAGTTGTGCGGGACCAAAAAACGCCCCTCTGAATATGATGCTCATACTCCGCAGGAGAAAAACCAAAAAGAAGCAGGTGCCCAGAAAAAGAAGAACACTGTCAGTCAATTCCCATCTAAAACCTACCAGATGCGCTTTCCTTGGCGCCTGCCTTCCCAGGAAACACAGACTGACATAGCCACGGCGTCCTTTAGCAATCGGGTACCGAATTCCAACGTACCAAAGAGCAGCAGGCAGCCATAATGCGCCAGAAACAAGCCGAAGGTACGTGGAAGTGATAGCGAGAGATCTATGCACCCTCTTGCCAATACCGCAAAAGCTGGAGGGAGAAGTGACTATGCTTATGCCCGTGTAGCTTTTGCCAAGAAGGACGGTGCTGCTGGTGGTGACGGGAAGAAATAGAGAGCGACAAGAAGAGTTTACACAGGGTTGTGAGAGTTAGGAAAAGGAGGACGATCGTTGATGGATCATGAGATTGCTTGCGGCTAGAGACGGCTTGTGTGTTCTCACGAGACAAAGCTTAGATGATTGATGAAGGGAAGGTTTATTTTAGAGGAGTTCCGAAGAATTCCTGCACATTTGCTTCCACGTCCAAAGAAGAGGTGGCCGGTAAGCATGATAGTGATTTGTTAAATTCAGTAAGACGTCCCGAGTTCTGATATCTAACCCGTATGATATCTTACAAGATCTCTCAAGATATGATGCAAACTTATATTCGCCTGCGATCTTCATTTTCTCTGTACATGTACAAGATTTCTCAAGCCTTTCCACCGCCGTGCGCCTATCAGCTCAGACCGGTGTTCCTCGGCAACTCTCCAAACTCGTCGGTCCTGCGGGAAGGCGAGCTTCCCTGGCCATGTAGAGCGTCTTCGACGAGAGACGTATGGTCCAAGGAGCTGTTTCCAACGCGCATAGGCTGCTCGTAAAGTATGGGTCCCCAAATCCGCCAGTGAAGCTCGGCAATGTGCGATATACGCTTAGCAATATGGACCAAGCCCTCATTCTCACTCTGAACGGCAAAGCCCGGTTTCTGGGGGACTAGGCGCCTCATGAGCTGTACAGGGGTGAGATCGTCTATCGCGCACACTTCGTCGTCGACTTTGTCTTTCAGTGCTCGAGCGAGAGAACTCCGCAGGGCTCCGAAGACAGGCTTTTTCGGGTCGCAACAATGGCGTAGACAGGTCTCTGCAAACTCCAGGTGTTCGGACGCAGGCAGCTCGCGATTGCCGCAAACCTCGTATGCCGCTCTGACAACCTCCAGAGCTACAGGACCCCTCTTTTGCCAGTAATCATAGTGCAGTCCTTGGTCCGATATCAAGTCGGCCACCCTGAGGAACAATTCGGCATATGACCTTGGTAATATCTTACCCGTCCAGCCGAGGAACTGTAGTGTTTCATCCAAGGTCCGTCGGCATGCCGCTTGGTAAACCAAAGCTTGAAAATTCAACTGCACTGTCCGAAGGCGGTTGTAGTCGAGACTTAAGGTGGAAGGGAAATTCTTGTGATAGAAAACAACAGCGTCTGTAAGGGCCTTCACAAGAACCCACAATCCTGAACCGGATTCTTCATCTGCTTCTTGAAGATTCTTGAACCAAGTCCAGGCCCCTATAACATCCCATCCATCTGCTATTCGTCCAAGGAAGGCGTTCTGCTCGAACGCGATTGTGTCTTCTACCCAAGCCAAGCGCAACCTTCTTATTGAATGATTGGTAGCGTCCTGGAACAAAAGTTAGCGGTCAGATCCATTGATTCTAGAATGAGAACTGTAGGCCAGCTCACCAGATTCATTCCTTGCAAGAGTTCGAGTATGGTAATAAGACCGTGGATGATGCTGTCTGTCTCTGCGTTCTCTACGCCCAAGCGTATTGCTGAGGTCATTGTATGCAGTAGACGATCTCGCGTTGGTGAACAAAAGTGCCTCAAGAAGTTGCCAAGCCAATCACTGAGGGCCGTGAAATCGCATATTCCACGCTCTAGTTGCTGCATCAGGAACTTGACATCGAGACGTGCATCTATTGCGGGCCACTCTCTAGAAGGAAATGAATGCTTCAATATGTCTCGTACAGCTCCAAACAATCGAGGAAGCCTTAGAGCCGTCCCTTGAGGAAAGCTTCTGGGTCTCGGCCGAGGCAACGATGTGCACGAAGTTCGACTTAAAGGGCAAGCAGCAATGCTCTGGCCATGCGCTGACCACAATGCGATCTCTGTTGCTATAGCGCGCCAATATTCGACTGCCCGCTCTCGTCTTCCTTCAGCTTGCGGCCCTTGTGTATTAAGTCGGAATGCAATTTTAGGGTCAAAGTTGAGGTGGTGCCTAAAGACCAAATCGTGTTTGAGTCGTGGAATGTCTATTTCGCTCAGGACTGCTTGGGTGATAGGAGGGTCAAGACTGATAAGGCTGAAATCTGTGGAATGGTCTGTGCTGATAGTCAATAGACGGGGCGACTCCTGTGCCCGGTGTTCCCAATTGGCTCCGCTAGATAAGAGGTACGATGCTGAGGGTGTGGAGGGTAGCGCAGGCATAGAGTGCCTTGCTTTGGTCTTCTTTTCCGCCATCACATGCTTAGATGATGCCTCCGTAGAGCATGTGTCCACCGAACTTCGTCTACTACCATGCATCTTCCTTTTCCTAGTGCACACGTAAGGGCTGGTTTGTAACGGCGATTTCGACGGTCGCAAATTTCCACTCATGATCTTTGGGATCTATTCACCGATTGCGATTACCGTTTTTAGGTTGATAAAATTTGAGAATACTCTCGGTCAAAGCATTTGTAGTATTCGATTATCTGAAGATGGAAATTGCATTACACGCTTCGCTGGGAACATCGTATGATCTTTGTTGCGCGTTTGCTAGAGTTTGCTGGCACTCACAGGATAAAGCAAAACTTCATTCGTTGGCTTTGACGCAACGTCTTTGATGTGAAAGAAACAGTTTGCCACGCTTGAAGCAAAGGTGGAAAGAGTGGAAACTTTTTGGTACAGTGCAATCAATGTATCCGTAAAGAGACTACACACCATCATCGCGGGAAAGCAGAGAATGAAATGAGAGTTCATTATTTTAGCATCACACCCACGAACACGAAGACTACTCAGAACAGGGCGTGCTTTTCAGCTGGATTTCGCGCGAAACATAACTTGTAAATAGTGAGGCTCAACGAAGAGGGGGATCTGGCATATTATATCAGCGCGGCAATTACCTTATTTGATCAAAGCAACGGACCCGCGAGCAGTGCGCCCAATCAGCATCGCACAAATCAACATCCTGGTTTGCAGACAAGTCAGAATCAAGTCATGCGGATGAAGGAGGCCTACAGAAGACACAGCAGAGCGGTAGCTTTCCGGGCAAGCGACTCTTCCAACTCGACAAGTCGGGACACGATGCGTTGACTATTGCAGAGAATTGGAAGACTTGCCACTCAGTGCCAATAAGATTAGTAGCAAGAGTCAGGCCGTGCCCAGAAACCAACTTTGGAGAGTTACTACCATGTCCGAGCGATCATGTAGAATCAAGTCCCTCAACCGAGAGCCCGGGTCGGAGCAAGAGGTTCACTTCAATCCAATCGGAGTACCGCTAGACAGCTTGTCCAATGAATGAGGGCCTTGACCTTATGCACGTTCACCATTACGGAAGCCTCGCGCAGGGTTGGTTGGACTCTATCGTGCCCTTGAATCTCGTGGGAGGGGTGTGGGGGGGTGGATTCGTGGCAGAAAGTCCGAGCATGAGCGACACGTCGTCAACTTGGAGGTATAATAATAATCGTTACAATAGCAGGGATATAGCGAAAGGAGGAAGCAATCAACCCCGCAGTAGAGCTTTTTGACATTTTAACATTTAGATTTTTTGACCATTTAGATGTTTTGATATTTTGACACTTTGACACTTTGACACCGGGTTTTGCTAACAAGTGATTACTACTTAAGGTGGTGGTGGTGGTGCACATATGCCGTGATGATTCGATGAAGAGTTGGTTTTACTTTGTAGATTACAACATAGGAGAAGTGTTTACGCGGTACGGATCGAGGGGTATACTAAGTACGGTAATGTACCTATGTACGGGATACGGGTAGACTTAAGGTAGAGAAGAAAAGAAGCGGGCCAATGCAAATACCAATGCGAATGCAAATGCTACTGCAAATGCTACTGCAAATGCAACTGCACATGCAAAAGCAATGCAAGGACCCTTCTGACATGCGTGAGGTGAGGTATCCGAGTAGTACCCAAGTGCGTACAGTAAATAGGTAAATCACATCTGTTCAGTACCTAAGTTATACATTAGCTATAATTATCACAAGTACATTTACAACGATGAAGTACTAAGGTATCCGTAAGTACTTCGTATTCATGCACAAGCACGCCCCGTGGCCCCACAGTCGGGTGAGGCTACTCCTCCTCAGCCTCCTCGGCTCTCGCCTTGTCGCCTCATCGAATTTCCCTTACTCGTAGGGCTGAGTGTGAGTTGGAGTGTGAGTGGAGTCCGAGGCCTTACCTTAACCTAGCAAGCTTTCATTACGATAAGGTAGGTACTTTATTATTACGATTACTGATTACTCTACTCGTAATAGTAGGTAGCAGCAGCACCGAATTCATTGCTCGAACACATTGTCAAACCAGAGCAATTAAGGAAGGCAATGAGTGTTGGGGTAACCTCTTCTACTGCGCTTGCCTTTATCGTCACATGAGACCTCCAAAATGCTCCGCATTGGACGTACTAGTACATGAATCATGCCAGGGCAACGAAACAAAAATGCTCGTTTTCCGTCACCTCATCTGCAACTCCCTCAACTCCGCGCTCCGGAACGAGGGTTTTCCTCCTTCACAAAAAGGCACGGTTTGATATCCTTTGCTTTCCAAATAGACTTCGCGCTTGACGGTGATCAAAAATGGACGCATCCGCTGGCGCTTTGAAAGCCTCCGCCTAAAATGGTAACGACAAGACAGACTTCCATGATGCTTCGTATGGCCTCTTAATGCTAGTCTTGCAGGGCCAAACCCTCAAGACAAATACCTTCCGATCCTCAAATGACACACGGAGCGGCTGCTGGCGGAGGTAAAGATTATGGGCCTGCACCTACTCTGCTTCTCGTTGTAACACCTCGCTTTCGGCATCTCCAACCATTTCACATACTACTTTGTTAAGTCATCTACTTATCTCTCACATACTAGACACGACTTTATCTACTCCATGGCTTTCTCTATCTCATGGTTGTTGATCTGTGCTACTTTTGCTCACAGTGCTGACGACAACTGCCCTACAAATCTTGACTTGGGCTTCAATGCCAATAAATACATTGTAGGAACTCTTCCCGATGTCAGCTTCGACTTGCCAACAAGTTGTGCTGGCATCCTTCCCATTCCCAATACCACCACCAATGGACTGTTTCCCTCGCTGTTCGAAGCAGAGGCACGAGCCCAGAGAGAGGACCTCATAAGTAAGGCTTCCTGGGTGCTGGCCATGCTGTGTTATACGACCAACTCACCGCAACGTTAGCATGCGTCAGAAACTTTGTGGTTGGAAATGCTAGGTATCAGTAGCATGGAAAAGTAGCAGGGAATACGAGAGGCTCTAGAAAAGGGTTCTTGAACAAGCTATGCACGAACCGAAAGTGTTTGCAAGACTGCCTGTCATGAGCAGAAAGCGGCTTTGTCGTAAATTGAAAGAAGAATTTCCGATATATTTGAGGCCGACAGAGGTTAAAGTCCTTCTTTTGCATTAGCCAATCGTCGCAGGGGCCCGAACGGACAGAAGCTGAAGACCATTTTGAGGGAAAACATAACAGATCGTAGCCATAGGACGCAACAACCTATAGTCTCAACTTCCTGGGGTAAGGCGGAACGTCTCATTTCTTCTTCGTTGTTAGCCAACCAGTGCTCAAAAACCCCCTGTCTCCCATGACAGTCATCCACTGAATATCCAAATTCCCGAGCAGAGTCCTGCCATCCTTTGTTACTTCTTTACCTGGACCATCCTTTTGCTGCTCGACTTGGAAGGCGATCTGCAACACGTCCCGGGGCGCCATACTGGGCTTGTCACTATGGCGCATGCCTAATCCCTTCGCGTCCCAATTGAGAGATGTGGATATGAACGCCGGTTTTGGATTGAGAGTAGCTGTCTCGAGCGTAATTGTCCCATCCGCAAAATTCTCTAATTGGGCCTCGAGGGCATATCTCGCTGCCCGTGATTGAGAGTCACCAGAGTCCGCAGATGGTAGGATTGACACCTTCGTCCGCACACCAAGGCAAGGCCGTGCAACAAATTGGTACAATTTGCGGAAAGTCCTGACACGCCCACTGGACGCAGACTGGTCTTTGGAGACCGTAGTTTCAGAGTAGCTCACGTTCACGGCAAGAGTATGGTTACCCTCTTCTCTAAGCTCAAAACGGACGATTTTTTGCAAGGATTCCCCAGGGTCCACTTTTACAGCTTCCTGGTCAGCCGGGGACACTTCAAGGGTGTTGATACCGGACGGCGCATGCATTTCGGCGTCTACCCTTACGGACGTGACTTGACGCTCAGAGTCTGCTGAAAGTTCGTTGTTTGCACATAATGTGCATGAGAAAGTCTCTCCGACGTATGCAGAACCAAAAGCCGGAGGTAAAGTGAGCTGTAGTACAAGTAAGTAAGAACGGGATTGCTTGGATCAATCATCAACATACAACGGAATTGAGTAAGAAGTGGTCGTCAGTCTCGCTAGGTTCACGGTCAAGTGCTGCGTGGTGATCGATATATAATGCGGATTGTTTTGGTGGGAGCGGAAGAGGAAAATGTTGCGATAGAGACGGTCTCGACAGTCTTCCAAACCCTTAGAAATCGCCAGTACAAGGATCTATGGTGACTTACCGCAAAACTGATGTTATCAGTCATTATTCAATGTGGATCTGGAAAAGATGCACGCACCTTTCAAGGACACTGAGTGTGGCTCTCGAGGCGCTTCCATAATTGAAACAGACAACCTCACATCATTATTGGACACGCAAGATCAGCCATTTCCGAGGCAAAAGTAGTCCGACGTCAGATTTATAGTAAGCTCTTGATAAACGGGTTGGTACGTCGTATCCTGAGGTATGCTTTAGTCGCTTTTGGAGCTAGTCGAGTATCTAGGGTTGGGGCTTTTATGACATCATACAACTCTGTTTACTTTCCACTCCCTCACCAAATAATTACCGACATTGTTGGAGTGCTTCTACAAATCCCATGATATCGTCTCCGCGTTCATCTCGGTTTTGGGGTTGATATGCCTAGCTGGCCGTTCTAATTGTCGAGCATATAAAATCTTCGACCTCCGGATCTCCTACAAATCGGCAACCTAATGCCCTGCGAGTCACCGTCACACCGCATAGACACCTCCTGTATCCATTCAGAAGGTATAATAGAAGATCATGCGACATCGCCAGTGGATAAGGCAGCATGCTTTGTACCCACCGCCTCGAAGAAGCGAAAGAGAGCCGCCACACCCACTCCTAAGAGCAAAGGACAGGTCATGGACCTGACACAGGAAGACGAAAATCAGGCTCACTCCCCACCGGCCAAGAAAAATAAGGGTGCATCCGCTCGCAAAGCACAAAATGAAGAGAAGCGATCGAGGAGGTTTCGACCACATGCCTCGTCAAGCTACCTTGAGAGGCTGAATCGAGCAACTACTCAGAGGTGAGAGCCGCAAAACACTGGGTACAACATCAGGACAAACCATGGCTTGCAGGATGTTTGTCATTGATCGAACGCGCGGGGGCACCATAGAGATTCCCGAAGAGACAATTGTACGTATTTTCGGAGCCCATATTTTCCCTTTTGGAGCAAACCTTGAGTCTTGAGACATGCCTCAGGAGACTTCACTCTCGATATATGTTCCAAGGCTCGATATATCTCTACAAATAGGCAATACTGACTGCGAATTTGTAATCCAGGATCTTGCAGGCACTACGGGCAACGTCTACAGGATTACTATCTGCCAGCTACCCAGTTGCACATGTCCAGATAGCAGGCAGGGCAATCAGTGTAAGCACATTGTATATGTATAGCTGTCCAGCAACCTGTGATTTTAGATAAATCGCTAATCGCCTACCGAAGGTTTTGCACAACGTCCTCAGAGCCCCTGAACATCTACAATACCAACTCGCCTTTCTCTCCTCTGTATGTCCGATTTAGGTCCGAGAAATTCATCTAGCCACTAATTGTGGTCTAATTCTCAAGGAATTGCGTGAGATATTCGCCGCTGCACCCGCAACCGCGTCGACGTCTGCCTCTTCCGATGCACCTTCCAATCGTAAAGAAGTCTCCGGTGATTGCCCAATTTGCTTCACCGAACTTGAGGCGGAAACAGAGGACTCCATTGTCTGGTGCCGTGCTGCATGCGGAAATAACTTGCACAAGGACTGCTTTGAGCAGTGGGCAAGGAGCCAAGCTGGGAAAGAGATTCGATGTGTGTATTGGTAAGTCGGTCCTCGATGCTGCGAAAATGAAAAAAAAAACTTATCTGATGCCCTCTCAGCCGTACACCATGGAAGAGAGACGAGGAATCGCTCGAGCGAGTTAAGAACGCCGGAGAAGTCAACGGCGAGGGATACGTAAATGTAGCTGGAGAGTTGGGCTTATCAGGAGCACGAGATTATTCGACCTATCACCAGCACTGGGTACGACGTCGTGGACTAGGCTACTTCTGAAGATCGCCTCAGGATCGAGACTTGGTCGCTTCCTGTCGACTTTCGAGCGGTCAAGAGTCCAGGACAATCTCTGGCTATAGTCGCTATGTGCTGAAGGCCGACACTGGTGCTTGCTGAGGCTCGATCATTTGCTCTAAGATACCTAGCTCATGCTTTTCACTAGATGCTGTCGTTGCATCCGGTCATATCGGCTAAGGCGACCTGCAAATTGTCCGACGTTGAAAGTCGTAGCAGCGTTCAGAGACATTGCAGAAGGCAGGTACTGCCGAAAGCTAGATCCTCGGCAACCCCACTCTGTAAAGTAGATAGTGGGCATCCATCTCGAAAGCGCACTCATCACGACTGCTCAAAGGTGCAAGCATGTCTCACTTGTAGCTGCAACTATCCAATTACCTACCTACCTATATTCGCAGAGCTCAACGCTGAGATGCACGAGACTGGAAACGACCAAGCCTTTGCTAGCCCCTGAAGGCCACGCGTTTCCCCTTTTCGAAATCATATTCCTTGGATCTGGTGGGGGTATGAAAGTTGTGGAAGGCTTCCACGTTGCGGGTTGTGACATTATTTCACTTTTGAAGAATGATACTTTACGCATGCGTTAGAAAATGATGGGACCAAGCAGAGTTGCTCGGGACAATAAAGTAAATAAGAAAATCTATAGATAGATGGAACTTGTAAAGTAATGTACTTTTAGCTCAGAAGTGCTCGGACAAGCTTAAAACGCTAGGGTAGCAGGCGTAAGGTAGGTACGGTACACGTATTGACTTCTGTCCAATAGAATAATCTCTCAGTCTTTAACTCTTTTATCCCTGTCCTCCACCTACTCATCCCCGCTTGTACTGGTAGATAACCGCGTAGAGCCTCTCCTATTCCGATCTGTCGGATTCGAATAATACGGGTAACTCACATAATACATATCATTATTATGCAACCTGTCATAAAAATTAAGCCTTAACGGAAAGCTCCGTGACCTCCCCAACGCTCCTTTAGCTGCTCGATCAGCACTCGTGGCAGGCAATTGGCAGGGCAAAGATTGCTCCCCGGTGCCCGTCAGAAGATCGTCCTGATGATCCCTGGAAATTAAAGTAAAGTACGAATATTGATTGCGGGGAAGTTGATGATAGATATGCTTTGCCTGATGACTGATAAAATATGGCACAATTCCCTCGAGACGAGTACCATAGTACCGTACTGTAAGGTACCTACATAAGCGCTGCAGTACAAACTAAAGGACACAAATGAGGTAGGCCAAGCTCCAAAGGGCCGTTTTGAAGCAGCGCGCGGCAGGCTTGGCTCCCCTATCGACTCGTCCCTATCAATATCAGTACCACTATCACGACCACCACGGTTGTGGGTGCATTGTCCGCCGTCAAGACATATGCAACTTCTCATGCTTGCATATGGGGCCCACTCATCATCCTTGATTTGCAAAAGTCGCGCCAATCTACCACAGTCATTACGAGCACAACCATAGGCCTGACGGACCATCCAACAGAGAGAGGGTATCTATGACATGAAGCCCGGGCAAAAACCCTCTCACTTTGCAGTTGCTTCCCCCACACTCGTTAACCCTTGACAGCATCGAGCCCACTCCAATGGCTCCGACGCAGATCATAGACACCTCCAATTTCCCCCTCAGTGACTGGTTCTTCATAGCAGGTACGTGACCCTTCTTGCCTATTGCATCTCTCCCTAACACCTTTACAGGTGTTGAGAGTTATCAACTTCGTTGGGGGAAGGATGAAGAGCCCACGGACCTTGCCCCTACAGCGCCTGTCGAGCCTACAATTGAGGAGGACAGGGCTGCCGAAGCCGAAGGGGACCTAAAAGGTGCAACAAACAAGAAGGCCAAGAGAAATTCGTACCAGCGCCTGTCAAACCTCTCGGACGAAGCACGCTTGTCAATATCATCCTTATCCCTTTCCCCGGAGAGGAAGGGCACAGACAGCAACCGAAGTAGTACTACAATCAAGGGGTCCCAGGTCAACGGCAACGGCCGCCTGCTTAGCGACACGGACTTTGAAAATGCCTTGAAGAAATTTGCTTCCCAACGAGACTCCTTTCTGTCGGATTTGACCCTCAGCGCAGGGGCGGTGGTGCCCAACAGGCCTAGGGCTCGGCCCAAAACACAGAAAATTGTCAATGAAGATGCAGCCGGTCTTAAGTCGGGAGTTGGGAGCATACGGAGGCGGATCTCCTTTCGGGATATGAACAGTATGAAGAGGCAGTCATCTGTCAAGAGACAATGTCGGTAAACCCCCTGTCCTATCATCTGCAATTACAGCATCCCTAGCGAATCGATGTGAATTGTCCCAAAGGGTACTGATCCTCGTTTGTATGCAGCCTCGGTTCGAACGTCCAAACGATTGAGCAACTACAACTCTGTCATACCCAGCCCTCAGCCTTTGAATGACGAGGTCAACACCCATCCTTTGAAGCGAAGGTTCGAACCAGTGCTTCTAGACCGGTATCCCCCCAGAAGCATGGTGGAGGAGACCAAGCGAAGAGGGACTTTCCCAGACTACGTCCCAATGTTTGCATTTGCGAATGATATCCACATCGTCTCGGCAGATGAGCGACCGCGTGCGACATGGCATGGCTTCGCAATGACCTCTAGCGACAATTCACGGCTCTACGGCATTTGCATAATTGTGTGGATTCCTCTCAATGAGCGGGCGTCTGGAGAGCTGGAACGAGAATGTGAGAAGTGGAGGCGAGACAACATGACGGACGAGGAGCGAGAGCTAGCAAGCAGTCTAGGAGAGCGGCTCGCCGTTGAGAGGATCAGACTATCAAGGTTACTCGCACGCTTGCCAACAGTGGACTCTGGATCTTCAGCAAGAGAGGAACTTGAAGACGACATTAGTGCTGTGGAGGAGAAGATAGGTCTGATGGCGGATCTGCTTCGACCGGTGAGGCACGGTGCTGCAGCAAAGATCGAAGGCCTAACCAATGGCGAAACCGGCCTTTGGATACCGCGATCATATGGCATTCTTGGGCGCGATCCGTACCTAACGAGCTTTTGGAAAGAATGGCTCAAAGCGGTAGTGGTACCAATGGCTGATGGAAGTATTGTACGAGTTCCCCCAAGCTCACCGAGAATTGGGATGTGGCAACCTTTGGAGAGATATGTTGTAAATCTCTGCGCTGAGGCGTTGAGTCCGATTTCCTCTAAAACTCAAGTGGAGGTATCGATCAGGGAGCTTCGCTTGTTTGCCAGGAAGGAAGCCGTCAATGAGATTCCAGGCTCCAGAAATGTACAGAATTGGGTGCCAATTGAGAGATTCAATACTGACTGTGGATAGACTGATCTCTATGCGCTCTTTCGAGCATTGTCTATTCCAAACATAGTGGTTCTTCTTGAGGTATGTGCTATCACCTTTGGGGGATCTTCTGCTGACGTTGAATCGAGTTCGCTTTGGCCGAGTCTCGCATTATCCTCCTATCTTCTCATACTTCCATGCTTCATCTTGCATCCAAGGCCCTCGTCGAGCTTCTATATCCTCTGACTTGGTGTGGTATCTTCATTCCAGTGCTTCCAGCAAGACTTATCCAAGCTCTCGAAGCCCCTTGCCCTTACATTGTCGGTATTGAACGTGGGTATGAAAAAGTCGAGCTTCCAGAAGACGACTTCATACTCGTTGATCTAGACCAGGACGAGATCGAGTCGACTACAAGACCAACACCTATGCCAAAGCAACAGCGACGGAAATTGACGTCTTTGCTTCAGCTGGCCGCGCCACATCATAATAGATTTGGGGTTCCGAAAGGACCACCGGCTTATGCGATCGAGGCTTTTCCGTTTGATAACTTCTCATCTGAGAATCCTCAAGTCTTTACCGGCATGCCACAATCAACTTTCTTGGCAAAGTATGTTGGCCTTGACTCAACTTCGTTTGGAGACAGTGGTTCCAATCTCTCAGCGAAGTCTCTCGTCTTCAACGCTTTCCAACCCCCAAAGAGTGACAAGATAGAAAGTCAACGGCCATCGACGAGTTCTACAGCAAAAGGCAGTACGCCTCCTTCCCCAAAGCTTTCACCGACCTCGACCTCGTTCCCACCTCTACCACTCACACCAACCTCCCGGAGCGACTCTGGCTTTGCCATTCAAGCCAGCCTTCGCGGAAAACGATCCGGGCATTTCGAGACCGCTTCTAAAAGGAGCTCAACGTATGCTCCTGATCGAAACCCCATCAACAGACGGCCCAGCGTACCATTCAGTAACCACTCTTCGAGCCATTCGACAACAACTATAGGTACAGGAAATTACGCCATGTCAAGCTATGCCCCATCCATTTATGCTCAGTCCACGCTGGCAGCCTCAACGGTAATGCCGAACATGCTGATGCAGCCCGTGCGGAACTCCGATGGTACCAATTGGGTTGAAGGTCACTGCCTCCAGTGGAGATATCATGACGACCGCTCTGTGTGCACCATCTGCGATGACAAGGCTGAGGATGGCATCTATAGATGTACTGGATGCGGCATCAACGCTCATGGTAGGTGTGCTCAGCAGGTCTGCATTGTTTGCCCTGCGGCTTTCCACCCAGAGCAAGTGCGCGCGGCCTTTGCACGATGCTTTGCAGCTCTGTTCTATACGTACAGGAAGTTCCTGTCGCCTCCAAATAAGGAGCAAAAGAAGGCTGGCTTGCTTTATGGCTTCAATATGACTGGGTTCTTGAAGAGTCTGCCCCATGAGAATGCTGAGTACATGCAGGTGTTGCAGCAGACGCAAGGTAAGTATCCGATCGTAGAGCGGATGTGTGTCTGCTAATATCTGCATAGGCTTCAACGAGTTCATTCACGAACGTGAATCGAAGCCAGCCAGTGACCCGTCGATCATGCTCTTTGATCAGATGATCCTTTCAAAGAGGAACCGGGGCCGGGCATCTATGTTTAGCAAATCGAAGACGGACTTTCTCTCTGACACATATGATCATCTTTGGAGAACAGCAGCCGCCACACCACCCAAAGGTCGAATTCCTGGGGATGTGAGAGCAATCATTACGAGAGGTAGGCCTCTCCTATCAAATACTGCTTTGGGTGTCAAGGTTCTCAAAGGCTGCTCGCTAATCTTTTACCTTTCAGTCCCTGCGAAACTCGATCCTACTTTGATGAAAGAACCCCGTGTCCTCCAAGGTGTACCGCGAATAAATACCGTCAAGGCCACGAGAAAGCCGATACCAAGCATGTTAGGACCCAACGGGGCAATGAACGGGCTCGCACAGTCACCGCCATCATAGCACACAGTACACAGGGATGCTACATTTTGAATGATGATGAAATAATGTCCGAATTTGAAGGCGGCTCTTGGATGCATAGAGTCTATCGTTAGATTTCTCTTGGACAGAGAGCGATACTAATGGCATTCACTGAAGAGCGATGTACTCTTAATATGGAGCATTTGGAAAAGCGAGCTGTCGATTACACATCGAACAGGCCTGAGAAGCTAGATATCCTAGGTTAGGGACACAACTGAGATTTAAAGAGCACGACTTTAACCACAAGACCTGGGGGTTTCCGGCAATATCTCCGTACTTCAATCGTCGATATCCAGCGTTTTCATGGCCTTCAGGAACCACTCGATACTCTCTCCCTTCCACTCATATTTTTTTGCAAATTCTTTGGTCTCCGATGCAGATATCAATATTTCATCTTCAGATACCTTTGTCTTGTCCCCTTCGTCGCAACCTTCATCGCGCAGCTGCTCAAGCAGGAAGACCAAGAAAGCCCATCCCGAGATATCCCTCGGATGCATCAAGCACCACCCATGCACTAGCCCAATACTGTCATACAGCAATACCCTAACCCCGTGTCTTCTATCCTTAAATCCAGGATGTTCAAACCGGATGGAAGTGAAGAGCTGTCTCGCATACTGCCAGGCGTAGTAATTACTCGGATGCCTCTCTCCAGCCTTCATCACAATTACCAATTCCTCGTCCCAGAAGCTTTTTATACCATTTCCCGTGATCATCACCTGAATCGCCTCGTCAGCTGCATGCTCTTGCAGATCTAACGGGAAGAAATTCTGCCCAGTCCACAGGCGTTGCGCCCAAAGCGTAGAAGATTTGGCATGTTTGCTCAACGGACTCGTGACCAGAATTTCCAGAAAGTTTAACTCATGTCGTACGGCGTCTGCCAAGTTTCCAAGATCCCGGTCATTGTAGTCGTTCTCGCTCCGTTCGCCGGAGAAGCGCTGGATATGCCGCTTCCTGAAGTTGGCTGCCGTAAGGTGGTTGGGATCGAAGAGCAGTATCACGGCCGTCGCTTGCAGCGCTGCGGGATAGGAGTCCGAGTCACGGGACGAGACATGATCGAAGAAGGTCTTGCGAGCTGTGAGGTAGAGTGGTACCAGGAGCGACTTTGGGACGCCGACGGCCGCGGACTCGTGCAAGAGTTGGGGCGGGAAGCTCGAGGGTAGGATCTCGACTTCCAGCACTACCGGGGGCGACGGATGGAGGGCGGCGATGAGCTGGGCGTAGACGGAGTCGTGGGGAGGAGAGGGAGGTGATGGCATGGGGAAGAAGAGGAGACGAGAGGTGAAGCTAGCGATTTTGATAGGGCTGGGGGGGGTTAGGGTGGGATTATTTCGGTGTTCTACCTTACTCTACAGTGTCTACCAAGCTTCTCTTCAAAGCCCCATTGTCTGCTCTTGCAGAACCCCACAGAGAGAATCATGCCTTCTCTCCTCCTCATTGTATTCTGTTTGCAACTCTTCATCCACCTCGTCAACACCGTTGGCGCGCCTGTCATCAATGAATTCGTATAAGCCCCCTCCCCCCCATCGCGGCCTGCTCTTTGCTGACGGCATTTGTAGCTATGGAGCCTCTACAACCGACTTCCCACGTCTACCTCTGCTGATGCCAAGTCTCAAATCAAGCTCCAGAGGGAAGTGATACGCCTGAAGCGGGAGATGAATGCTACGAGTTCTCAGGATGAGTTTGCCAAATGGGCAAAGATACGGAGGAGCCATGACAAGATTCTGGCACAGTATGATGAGAAGAGTAAGACACCTAGGAACGATGAAAGAGCATCTGTAGTGCGAGTTTGAACAGCCTGGCTGATCGATACGTTTCCCCAGCCAACAACCTCAAATCCTTCAAATCGACCTTCGACCGCACTGTCAACGCTCTCCGCTGGGTCGGCACCAATGGCCTCCGCTTCTTCCTACAATTCTGGTTCTCCAAACGACCGCTCTTCTGGATACCAAGGAATTGGGTGCCGGGCTATGTGGAGTGGTTGCTTGCATTCCCTAGAGCACCGACGGGGAGTGTGAGTATACAGCTGTGGTGGATCGCTTGCGCGACTATAGTGCGGCTTGTTGGAGCCGCAGTTGTGGCAGCGCTGGTCTTGGTAAGGGAACAAGAGCAGGGAGGGCAGAAGATGAAGATCGGTGCAGGAGCCAGAGGTGGGAAGGGGGAAGGGAAGAAAGAGCTTTAGGCGTTGGAGGGTATCACGCTGTGAATGGCTTCGATTGGCAGCTTGAAGATATCCCGACGTTCGATTGTGGGAGACGGGAGGATGTGTCTCACGAATATTGACGCAGTGATCTTTCATGGCTTTCGCTCGACACTGCAACACGAAGTGAGATACCCCTTGGCAGAGGCTTTGGATTCGGTCTAGGCATTCTTTTTGACTCTGAGTGATCATGGTAGAGAGGATCGCTAAAGCTTCGAAAGTGCCCGTCATCAATGCACATAGAGTATTGTGGGCTCTGCTGGCACGCCATCCTTGAAGACGTGTTCCTTGCATTTGAATATCTCATTCTCCACAGACAGCAATCTTCCAGCTTGCAAACCAAAGGAAAGCGTATAGCTCAAAGGTGCATGCCACCATGGCCATAGCCATCGAGCAGGGCGGGAAAACCCCAATCGAGTTCGCAATTTGACTCTCAGGAAATCCTTTTAGACCGCATACTTATTAGAGGACAGAGCCATCGCTGCTAATGGACTTCGAGATTTGATTGACCATGTTCGGATACAACTCCCCGGGGTAGGAATAGAATAAAGCGTGGGAGAAAATGTTTCAAGCGGCACATGCGGTTGGTTCAATTTTGCGGCGGGAGGTTTAGCGGATGCAAAATCGTTGCGAATGCTTGGCATCAGACATTCCTATGCACCCCAGAGATTCAAATTGTTGACTTCACAGCCATGATGTGAATTGTAAAATTTTCTAGACGTAAGTTAGACTCCTTATCGCGGCGGGTCAACGCTGCTAAAATAAGTAAAATCTATAAGGAAACGATGAATTCATAGAGTTAAAGAAGAAAATAAAGTTATTTTCGAGCAGCAGTCGGTTGTTTTTCTCTTTTCTTAATTTCTAGAAGTAAATGAGTAGTTCGAAAAGAAATCTTTTATGTTTAAGACTTCCATCTAATACTCTTGCGACTCTATTTCCGCCAAAAGTTCTTACATCCGACTTATAATTATGAAGTTAATAATTTGAATCCATGGGATGCGTAGGAATTTCTGATGCCAAGCATTCGCAACGATTTCGAATACGCTAAATCAGCGCATGGATGACCTGCAGCCGTTGTGGTTTTGCAGCCGATAGGAACGTGTCCCAACACCCCCCGCAACATCTCACCCATGTTCTCTCAATAACAAAGCTTTCATATACTCGCCATCATCATGGTATCCCTCTCTACGTTCGTATTTACTTTCTTCGAATTGCACTGACCAATCATGCCTGTACTGACATCCCAACAGCCTCAAAACCCTCCTCTTCACTGTGGGGCCCCTCCTCATTCCCAGGCTCATAACCTGGTATCGCACCCAAAAAGTCAAGGCAGTCACTGCCCCTGCCCCTGTGCAGCCGGTGCCTGGGCCAGTCTCCAAGTCCCTCACCATCCTCTTCCTCTCCGCCGTCCTCGCCCTCGTTTCCACCATTCCCTATTTCGCTCCAGAAAATATCTTCACCACAACATCCTCGCGCTTGCAAACCTCCAATGATGTCCTCTTCACCCGCCTCAATCTCGCCCGCGGAGTCTCGGGGCTCACCGAGGCTGACAGCGTTCTGCGGCCAAAGATCGCTTCCTTGGACGCTCGGCTTCTCTACTTCACATACGGTCCCGATGTCTTGACGAACTGTCCTTTCTGCAACTCCGACCAGCCATCCACATACTTCTACTATGCTCTCCCCTCGATCGCCCTTCCTCACCTCCTCCACACCTTCGCCCTCGGTCTCGCGACTTCCTCGGCCATGTCTGGCGCTTACGGGAAGAGATGGCGTAACGTCGTGACGATTATAGGCATGGGACTGGCGGTGGTGGAGTGTTATCTCTTCGGCAGCTATGAGTGGAAAGCCAACGCGCGTGCTGTTCGACCGGAGCAGTACATCCATTTCTTCTGGCGGATGCGTGTGGTCCGTGGCATCGTCATAGCTCTAGCAGACGTCCTCGTCGCCGGGCTCCTCTGGCTGTCTTCCACGAACCGCATGTTCGTAGTACCCCCGAGTGCGGCGGAGAGGATGGAGACGGCGATGCGGGTGCTGGAAAGTGCGAGGGCGAAGCTGCAGGCTGTGGGCATCATGAGGAACGTCGTCGTGAGGGATGAGGGGTTGAGAAGGAAGACGGAGGCATATTGGAGGAAGGAAGGGCAGGTGATGGGAGAGGTGATGGATGAGAGGGAGGTTGTGGAAGGGATGAGGAATGCGCTGAGTGGCAGGATTCAAGTGGCCAAGGTAGAAGAGGACGCGAGGAGATATGCGGAGGGCATCACGAGTTTTCAGGAGTTGCAGCAGCAGCAGCAGCAGGTTGGATAGACGCGGGACAAATCAACGCCTGGGCGCATTTGAGCAGACAATACCGGAGAATTTAGAAATCTTGACACATGCAACGAAATGTACAGTATTCTTGGAAGAGGAAGCGTATGAGATGATGAAGATTGCATCCGTCTTGAATAAGAATGCATGCTAATAGAGGATAGCTCTCCCTTTCCCTCCGTCCCTGTTCCTCGCGCCGTACTAAATCGAAAGAAAAATTGGTCACTGGCTTGTAACATTCGCACTCCCTCCTTTCCCCCACCCCTATCCACTCTGCTGCGCCCAGACGAGAAAAGAAAAGGTCATCCGATTCATGATATTCGTGACCCCGGACCGAACCGTTGGGGCGTCCGTCTCAGAAAGCCTGACCCTGCAGGGCGGGATGGAAGGCCAAATCCGGTCTCTGCACACCGTTCACGACCGGCGGCGCGCTCGAATTTCTCTTGGCCTGGGCCAACTGCGGGGTCCCCGCGATCGGCGCGGAGATGTTCCGGACGGGCTCCTGCTCGTGCGAGGAGTGGTCCTTCGTGTAGTACGATGGCAGGGTGTCGGAGCGGCCGAGGTGGAACGAGCGCCGGGCGTGCACCGACCTCGAGGGCGAGGGGCTGACGTAGACCTTCTGGGGGGCGACGGCGCCGTGGTCCCGGACCTGCCGCGCGGTGATACCGAGGGATTTTTGGCGGAACATGTAGTTCTGTGTTTTGACATTAGCCACTGGATTCGGTCCGCGGTGGGGCTTGCGGGTCATGACTTACGGCGAAGATGTTGGCCACACCGAGGATGCTGACGACGATGCCCGAGGCGATGACCAGACGCCAGAAGGTCGCACCGAGGGAACCCTCGGAGGTGGCCTGTTTGTTCAGGTTGCCGAGGATGGAGACGCCGATGATGATCATGATGATGCCGAGGGTGACGAATCCGTGGCTGGGGGAGAGGAGCGGCCAGTTGTTGGCGGTGTAGCGCTTGAAGAGCGAGATTTCGGTGAGTATGAGGAGTACTGCTCACTTCCGTCAGCTGCTGGCCCTTGAGATGAAGGGTCGGAATAGGAAGAGGTGAGGACTTACTGCTCACACAACCTGTGATTAGATGGCTGACACCGTCGAAGAAGAAGAATTTGGAGACGATGAAGGTCTTGACCAGCATGACGAAGCTGGCCGCGACGACGGCTAAAAGGGCGACTACGTTCATCACGCGGATGACGTTGAGGACGACGTAGCCTGGACCAGCCAGGGATCTCTTGAAGAAAGGCATATCTGCGTGTTTTTGGATCGGTCTCGTGATTTGGAGATGGTGTGTTTGTAGCTTTCGAAGAGCGAAGAGAATTTGGACTGCACAGCAGTAGATTAAGACGATGTATCAGGGCAAGGATGTTTGAAGAAACGGAGTCGACACTTTCACGGAGGGAAAAGTAGTATTAGTAGAGATGGGTGACAAGAAGAGAACAATGACGAGTCCGCAGACAAGGCGCTGGCCGTTGAAGGACAATGGAAGAATGAACAGGTATGAATGAAGAGAAAAGAGAGTTGGAAGATGAATGGAAAAACGAAAAAATGGCTCTCAAAGACACGCCTGAACAATCGCGATTCACTGCCTTTCTATTCACAGCAACAAAGAACCCCACAGTATGTGAATCGGGGACCCAAACCACGGAGAGACTGGCCCAACCCAGCGCCAGATTGCATGGAAGCGCTGGGCTCAAGCCATCCTGCGACCATGATGTATATCTGCGACATCTTAGAGATGCAGGTTGGTGAGGTCTCGAAGAAAATCAGTGGCTGTCGTTGTCCCTTTCTTTTGGAAGACGGAAGCGTTTCATGTCATTATGCTGGGCGGCTACGAGTCCTCTACGCGTTGCCTTGAAACAGAGCGCGCTGTTCGAGTCATAGATGGTGAGGGTCAGTTTGAGCGACGAGGGTGCGTCACATTCAGCACATGAGTATAAGCGTTTCTACTGGATGAGCTTAGTAGTATGGGTTAGAGCGATGGCTTCCCATGCAACAAAGGAGACGTTTGACACTGGAGAACTCGAGAAAGATCGCCATCCGATAGGCTAATCCATTTCCGGCAAAGTGCAGCCCTAAGTCGAGAAATGCTCGTCCACTTGAAGGCACTCAGATCAACTACCTTAATTACATAGGTACATACTGGTGAGAATTAAAGCTATTCGAGTACCAATTCATGCATGACGGCCTACTCAAATCTAGCAATATATAGAGGTCTCGTTGTTCCCAGCGCGATAGCCTTCCATCGCTGACGAGCCAAGAGCCAATCGCCGAACAAAGTAAAATGCCGAGCTATTTGGCCCAAAAAGCATACGGCCGGAAACAAGTTTCCAACGTCGTCTGAGTATAGTCATCATCCTATGCATTTGGACCAGACAAGTACGACACGTTCCACCACTGTCGCCGCAAGACCTGGAATCCCAGTACTCGCAATTTTGGCATCAGCTCCTCATTCTCACACTTCAACGATGAGGTTCCCTGTCATACAAGCCATTTCATATGCCATTTGACTCTAATCTAATGATGACAATAAAATCGACCCTCGCCGTGGCTTCCACGAACCTTGTTGTCTTTTTTGATTTGTCATTGGCATTCTCGGATTCATATTCGGGCAAAGTCTTGTCCGGTGACTTGGATGACGACTTCAACGTTTTGTATGATAGCCATGGCTGAACAGCAAGAAGTGAATGAGAAGGAATGGAGGGATGGGGGGATGGAGGAGGGAAGGAAGGAAGGAAAGAAGGAAGAAAATGACGGGCATCGATGCACCTTGCTATCGGACTTCTGTCGCTTGCTATACCCGTTAACTGGAAGGAATCATCTCGTCAAGAGAAATGTCTGCAATAAACGAAGAGGGATGTTCCAAGGCGTAGTTCCGTAGTCACCCTTAGTAGGACGTTCCCAGATACCACTCGGTCACGACGAGAAGGCGAGGCTCTACGTCATAGAAGTAGAATGTGGACACTCTGTTATACTGGACGGCTTGCCGAGGTTGTTGCTCGCATTTGATGCTTGCGCAGTCAGTTTCCTTGTGCAACTCGCCCTCGACATGTACCCCTCAAGGCATGTCGGGCGTAGACGGCGAAGACTGGTAGGTTGGGGGAATCTGCAAGGTGGGGCCCCGAGCTGAGAGAAACAGATCGGGGTTTCCTTCGGACTCTGGACGTCGTTAATGTTTGTAGCAGATCTTGCGGCGGCTATTCATACTCTCTTCTTTGGGGGGCCTCTCCTGGCTTCTGGATCAGCTTTTGGACCTAGAATTTGCGAGCCGGCATGGCTCAAGCCAATGGAGTCTGAAGGAATCGGTTGGGAAGGAAAGCCAAGTTTGTTCATGCTGATAATTGTCCGACGCGGAAACAGGCATGTCGGCAGACATTGCCGCCGAGTCACTAGCGTGAAACCCCTGCTCGAAGTGTCCCTAATGCTTCAACCTCGTCTTTGTCATTGTCCCAAATATCGACTATCCTTGGATATGCGGTCAATGGGGACTGCAAGAAGGACTCGAGGAACAAGAAAAGGACTCAGAGCCCTGAAAGTCGTGCGACAGTGCGGACTCTACCATTCTACAAGCATTGCCGAGGCCCTTTCACAACAAGATCTCAATGCGGTATCAAACGTGTTACTCCGCTATCCTGCTTCGCAAAGCCTGCTTTTCTGATTATTGGTGCAGCGTTATTACCTGCTTCCTTTTTTCGGATGCGGCCCTGTTGAGCGCCGGCAGTCAGATTTCAACGTCCTTTCCACCCGCTTTTTTTTCCTGCTTCCTTGTCCAATCCTTTCTTCACCGCTCTCTTCTTTGGAATGCTCCTTACGCTTATGGAGTGGCAGCCCGGCAATGATGATGTTATCGTGATGCTGCTCAGCCTATGACTTGCATTGTCTTCCACGATAGCCGTTAATGTAAGCAGAGTCCTCAAAACTTTGATCGACTTGGGTACAGGTGTCGAGGAAGTATTGCAGAATACGAAGTTGCCAATCTGACTTAGCGCACACGAAGGCCATTCTGTTGAAGGCTTGTCTAGTTAGACGTGACAATGTTGCTCCGGCCGAAGAACAATTTGCCTTTATTTCGTGTAACCTCGCTGCCGCCCAGTTGTTGGCGCCACGAAAGAGGGGCAGAGGTCCAAAGCCATAGGTGGTATTTACTTGGTTGAGCTTCGGAATGATGAACGATGGCTTTGGTATAGGTTGAGGATTGCCGCTGATAGTGTCGAACTGTTGCTCATGTACGACCCTCACTGTTCGATTGCAAATATCATCCTCCATCACACACAATGCCTTCAAACTGTGTTATGCGCTCGATCTGTTTGATCATTCGTTTATACTTCTGACGGGTAGTTGTCAATCGAAGAGACACTGCAGGCTATTATCGAGGTCGAGAACTGACCGGGCAACCCCTCGAACCTCAGTCGCCTGTAGTCTCGAGGATTATCGACATGCAGAGAAGACATTGAAGCATTGACCTTTTGTGCACGGGTCCAGCAATGTCATCTCATATTCATTGCAAGCCCACCCTGTATCTACAGCAAAGAGCGGACTTTCTCTCTTCCTACCAGCCTCAAATCATGAGTAACGACACAGTTCAACATGTCAACGACTCTTATACATTCAGAGTCGCCCCTGACATAGATCTCTCGGTGGAGTCTTACTTACCCTGCAATTACACTCCCAGTCACAAAATCTCGCCCAGCCCTCGACCTCGTCAAGCTGCGGTCATCTTTCTCCACGACTTTGGGGGCTCCTCGTACACATTCAAGCGTATTATAGAGGGTTGCCGATGTCACTGCATCACCGTGGATTTCCGAGGCTGTGGCGAATCATCCCGTGCTCATGTAAGCAGGTTGTATTCCGTGGAACGAATGGCCGAAGATGTTGAGAAGATTCTCCCGGCGCTGGAAAATGTCACAGATTTCATACGTACGTTATGGTTCCTGAGGCAACTCTTCCCCGTTCATGCTGTCTCATGAGTCGTCAGGCATGTCTAAAGAGTTCTCCGCTCCTAAGACATGTCTCGCGACGAAGAATACCTCCCGAAAGAGTAATGCTGACTCCGAGATCATCAAGTCGCAGGCCATGGTATGGGTGCGAAGATTGCCCAAATCGTTGCCAGTGGTGAGCCTAAAGGTCTGATAGGCCTGGCTCTTATCAACCCTGTGCCAGCATCACCCTGGATCTTGTCCAGCCCGAAGATGGAAAGGCTATATGGATCCTGCGAAGCCAAGACTGAAGCCCTTGACTTTGCGAATGGTGTCCTCAGTGCCCATCCGGGTTCACTCACGGTGTCCGACCTGGACAAAATCAGTGCCCACGCAATAAAACAAGATACTGCATTAACGATAGCCTGGCTGAGAGAAGGCTCTGAAGGAAAAGAGGGCGACTGGTCGGGGGCAGTCGACAAGATCAAAGTGCCCGCAATGGCAATTGCTGGAAAATCCGACAGATTGATAAGCGTACAAACCATCAAGGACGAGGTGTATGGCAAGATCTACGGGTGTATCATGGTGGAAGTTGAAGACGCTGGACATCTGTTGCCGCTAGAGAGACCGAAGAAGCTGCTCGAGGAGCTTCAGGCTTTTGTCGATGCATGTGTTGACGTACGCAAAAATGATGGTTTGAGGTCAGGGTCACTCCTCTACCAGGGCTTCTGTGTGGCAAGAGAGTCAAATTACAATAATTTCATGAGGACGCAAGGGTTAGAATCACGGTAGAAATATTCTTGTGAAGGGCGCTTTTCATGGAGATGTCGTTGACTTGGAGCTGCTAGAGTGCAAACACACTACGAAAAGAAAACATGTATTTCCCAGATATGGCGAGGATCAAGGAATCTTTTCAGAAGATCCGATCTTGGAAAGTGACTTGAATTTCGGATGACGTGGAGTTCTATTGCCAATGATAATGAGTTGCCAGTCAGACATCAGGAGAAAGGCAGGAACGCTGCTGGCTCTTTGTATAAATTGTGGACAGCCTTGAAGATGACATGGCTTTCAGATGTTAAGAGACTTACTGAGAAAGCTTGCGAGTGAGACAAGCCCACCTGAATATGCAAGACCTAAGCAATTTGAAAGCAAGGTATTAACGCTTCGTGATTTCCGTTGTACCGTAATATTGAGTGCTAGCGAGCCCAAAACCTAGATCTCCACCAGGGTTCGCGCCCAAACGCCAAAATAGATTACATAAAATACGTACCCGCAGCAACCAGGATTTGTGTAAACATCTCGATAATTTGGGCCAAACGACACAATTTGGTACGCAGGCGCTGATGGGCTGACGATGAAGCCATAGAAAGCCTTCTTCTGCTCATTGGGAAACATGGCGTCTCTCCGCCCGCCTCTCTATAGACAGTTCTTGACACCGGCCCTGCACAGAAGATTTACAAGTGCCGCTCTCATCACCCTCGTGGTCTGCTATGCCGAGGCTGTACTGATCGCAGACAAGTCTTCAAGTAAGTTCGATCCCTGAGTGAGAAGCCGCTTGACCGTCTGATGTAGTGGCAGTATTCTGGTTCTGGTTTCCAATTGGCCCAGCAGGCATACGAACACTCCTCCTCTTCGTATCAGCACTCTCTATCTTCGTACTACGTGTGGCTCAACTGCATTTGGGTATGGCCGAGAAAATGCCTAGACAAGATTCGAGTACTGAAAATGCATCAGGGTCTCGGACAACAGCATCACCCTTTGAGACCTTCACACGGTATCTGTTCCGCTTGAACACTGTCCAGACATTGGCATGGTACCTTTTCTCGGCATGGTGGTTCAGTGAGGTCTACATGTGGTCGGTACCAGAGTCGGCGAATCTAGGCTGGGTAGCTGCAGGAAAGTGAGCGAGGTTCTGCCCTGGTGGTGCTGCTGTGGCTAATGGATAGCAGAGCATGGGAACGCAAACGACTCAATGAGCGACCAATATACCTCCGAAGCGTCTTTTTTATGCTTGCAGTCCTTCAATCTGGCTTGCACCTCTACTATAACTACGACAGCGTTGCCTTGCCAGTCATGCAGGCAAAGACAGACGCCAGCTCTGGACAACCTCCAAAGCAGGAGCATCCCGTTCTCCAGCTGAAGGTTCTGCTACCAAGCCTATCACGAGAGATAGGAACCCGCGCAACAGGCATGGCCATCTTGGGACCCGTAGTCTATGCTCTCTTCATTCGACGGGCGGCGTGGAGCTGCTCTCTGTACTTCGCTGCATTGCTGTGGGATGTGCCTGCCTCACAGCTATCGTACATACCACCGTACCACTACTCCCTTATCCTTCGCTCCTTGACCTCCGGCGCCCTCTTGATCACACTATGGGAGTTCTCAAATGCGATCTTCAGTGCCTATCTTACGTTGGAGCCAATGAAGCGAGAGCAGCCCCTGACAGGTGCATCCAAAGATCCCAACGCAAGCTTACTGACCGGGCTCAAGGCAAAACGGGAGGTCATCAGGGTGAGCAGCATAGCCACTTTCGAGTCTGTAAAAAGCTAATACTGCTTAGACCTTTGCGTTTTGCGAGCTTGCACTCATCAGCCAGCGCTTCGCAGCACGGCGCAAAGCTATCTTCGCAGATATAGACCGCCCAACCGGTTCAGCATGGACTCAGATCATGACTCTCTGCGTGGGCAACATTCTCGCCATCAGCAATCGCATCGCTGAATTCCAAAATCCAACCACCAAATCCGTAGCACCTCCGCAGCGAATTACCATCGAATCCCTGCCTTCAATCTCGTCGGCGCCCCTTAGGAAAGAAAACATCTTCAGCAACGCCCGAACTCCCGCGACTACACGCGAAAAGATCGAGTCAAGTTTCGGCACCATCGCCAAGTCGTACGGGCAATCACCACAGCCTGCGAAGCCTCTGAAATTTTTAGAAAGCCAACGCGCAGAAGGAGAGAAATATATAGGTGTTGCACGTCAAAAGCTCCTTACCCAAGGCCAACAGGAGAGCTTGAGCAGCAGCGGTCTGCTTGCTCAGTACAACGCCTACCTCATTCGCTTCTTGCGCACTCCGTTTGGACGTCTCTTCCGACGGACATTCAAGCGTCGTGTCTCTACTGTGGTGCTGGGATCGCCATTTGGCGAGCTTAATCCCATTATTGATTCTGTCAATGCGCTGACTGCTCTAGCTCTTGCAAGCTTGACAGAGGATAACTATGGCAAGGTAGCTAAAGATGTCCCACTGCTAATTCAAGTATTTGTCAGTGTCATACAGTCTGTAGAGGGGTTTGTGAGAGATTTGCCTGTTCATTGGACTGATGTAGAGTTTTCCGAATCGGACAGAAGAGCAGAGGAAGTGGACTTGGTGGTTGGGACCTTGAAGGCAGGATTGAAGGAGATGGTGGATGCTTTTGGCAAGTATGCCGCCGAGCTTGGTTTGACGGAAAGGGATATGAAAGCAGCAAGGCGAGTCGCTGGGATCGAAGGGGATGAGTGACGTTACGACGTCACGACGTTACTGGAGTAGATGATAGACGATTGATACCCAATAAAAAGCCATACCGTTCATCCAGTCGAACGCCACTGCTTTCTAGAAATCAACAACTATTGGGGACACCAAACAAAAATCAAAGACCAAAAGTTGTAGAAATCTATCAAACGGTGCTCAAGCAAAGGATCAAGAGGGACCAACACTGGCGCCGCAACGCGACTTCGACCAGCCAAAGCTCCACCTCCCACGGCCTTCCATAACCGGATCCCTACCCCGGAGGAGCTGCCAGAACGCATCGGCCCCCCTGGAGGCTGGTGATCGGAAGTCCCGACACAAGACTCTAGTCTAGACGTGTCGGTGCATGGCGGAATAGCGGACATGGTCCACTCGGGGCGTTTTACGCTCCTGGGGGCGGGAGTTTCGCGAGGGTTGGGAGGGAACGACGCTCGGTTGGTTGGGCGAAGGTGGGGGATGGGCATGAGGAGGAGGATGAGGAGGAAGGAAGATGTTGATGGAGAGGGTGATGGAGAGGGTGATGGTTGACCGTGCCCGCAGGGTGCAGTGTGTGTTTTCTGAGCCGTCCGTCGGTCCTACGATTCAAGCAGACGACATGATCACGAGCACCGGTTTTTGCAATGCGAATTCTAGTTCATTCTTCAGACCTTATCTAATCTCGGGCAATGTATGTAACAGGGTGGTCATTTGGGTATACAGTGAAAAAAGGCTTTCACGGATATGAAAGAGAAGAAAACGCCTCTCGTAAACCGTGGTGAGCATTAAGGAATATGGGGGGTATCAAGTCGACGGAGCCCATGGCCTGGTCGTTCAATGTCGCAGGAGCACCTTGCCTTTTGAGAATCGAAGATGAAGGTGGAAAAGTAGATGACGAACAATACGCAAGTTCCACTGTAATGCGACGAGCCCTACGACCCTTGGCCTTACGAGGACGCATCAACAGCCCTATCAGACCACTGATTCGAGCCCTACCCGAAGCTCCAGACGCGCCTGCGTCAACGTCAACCGTACTCTGTGATGAGTCAAATTGGTGGATAGGCGAAGTGTCCGTCGAAACCACCGAAGCCAATACATTGAGTGCAGAGGGACGAGCTCTACATCTCCTGAGGCATCTCATCGATCCGCTCACTGCGCATCTGGCCGCCTTGCATGCCCATCCCACGCGCAGGAGCTGCTCCCATGGTCCCCATGTTTGGCATCGGGCCCATGTTGCCCATTTGTTGCATGCCGATGTTCGGGTCTATGTTGCTCATGTCGAGCGGTTCATATTTTGGCTGGACCATATTCTGGCCCATGCCGCCTTGGCCCATCTCACCCTGTCCCATGCCATCTTGTCCCATGTTTACTTGCCCCATATTGGCTTGACCCATTGGTCCCTGTCCCATGTTTGCTTGGCCCATGTTCTGACCCATATCCTGGCCCATGTTTCCTTGGCCCATATTTCCTGGGCCCATGTTGGTCGGGCCCATACCCATATTTGCGACAGGAGCTCCCTGCGACTGCGGTGCGTTGTTATCCTGGGGGGTAGGGGGGGGCTCATCCCTCATGCAAGCCGTCTCCAGCATATTCGTCCATTTTCCACTTGTGCCAGCATGACTATGCTTCAGATGCTGGCGGAAATGGTCGGCACGAAAGAATTTCTTGGATTGGTTGCATTCGCCGAACTTATGTACACCATTGAGATGCGCACCACGTGCTTCCCAATCAGGTGCTGGCTCATTGGGAAACTGTTGCCCACAGTAGCCGCAAGTATCGAATGCTGTGAGAGAGGTGGGTGGGGGTGGAGGCTGAGACGGGGAAGAACTGTTGTCGGCGGGTGGTATATTAGTGGAAGGGTAGAATGCGCTATCGAAACTGTTGTTGAGGGTGGCACAAGACCAGGAGTGTTTCCGGAGGTGAAGAGAATTCTGGTGACGCTCGGCTTCGTTTTTATTCTTGAACCGATTGGGGCAGTACATGCATGAGTACTGCTTTTCAGATTCGTGTACCCTGGAGTGAGAGCAATAATCAGCCACCTGCAGGGGTTTCGGGGGGGAAGGGGGGGTCGCGACAGCTTACCTCAATTCTTCCAGTGTGTCGAACTTTTTCGGCTTCTTAGGACAGCATCCACATATGAAAGACGGCGGCTGCATGTTGGGCGGCGCGTTGTTCTTTCGTTGATTTTGAGGATTCTGTGGTTTCTGGTCGACAGGCGGAGTCGGATGAGTTTCGAGAGGAGCTTGTGGATACTGTTGCTGGGTCCGAGTGTCGCGAGTGTTTCGAGGAGCTTGATTCATTGGAAGCGAGGTAACGTAGGGTGAATCTTGACCGCTGTGTTGTTGGTAGAGGAGCTGTTGCTGTTGCTGTTGCTGTTGCTGATCGGAGGAAGGTGAAATGCCAGGTGAGTGTTGGTCGAGGGTTGTGATACTGCTCGCGACCGATAATCCTGCAGAGGACGCGTATGAGTTGTTGCGAGGACCCGCTGACGATTGTGATGAGAAGGAACCTTGATTTTGTGCAAATTGCCGTCCTAGCGGAGACACCCGATGGCTGGGATGTTGTGGTGTTGAGGTGTTGCGCTGATGAAGGTCCGTGTTATTTCCCCCCACGGCAGCGAATGAAGCATTAGCCTCATGCGCAGGGTCCGGAGGCGGGGACTGGGAAGGCTTGCGCTTCATGCCTGGACGTGAACGCGACGTATGGAGTGATGGATTTGAATGTTTGTAGTAGTATGATAGAGAGTCAGGATTGCTACTAATAAGTGGTGGACGGTCTTCAAGGCGGAGTTTGCGAACTGAATCTTCCATGGGAAAAGTAGGATCTGCCGAGTCTGGTTCGAAAAAATTAGGCTGGTCATAGCTTTCACGTTTTAACGGGCTAGGACGTTCGCTAACGGTACTAGCGGTATGATTCATAGAGTTTCCTGCTGACTCATCGTAACTTGAGAGCAGCGAGCCACTCGTTGAACGGCGAGACTTTTGCTGTCGCAGTACATTGGTCGAAGAAGGAAATCGCTGTCGGTAGTATGGCTGCTGATCAGAGTCGTGCGCCGACGATGGCGGGCTTCGCCAGTCCATGAAGCTATGTGCGCTGGTGGTGGACAAAGTCAGACCTGGAGAGACGGGTCTTGATCGAGGACTATCGCCGTATCCACTCGAAGGTTCTTTCTTGATCGGAGGATCCGAGTATGCACTGTTCGAGTATGAAGAGTGTGGAAAGGACAAAGATCGAAGCTGATTTGGATGCCTTCCACTTTGTTGTTGTTGTTGTTGATGATGGAATGAAAGATTCGAAGTTGGTGAACTTTCAATACTGCCCAGTGATGCGTTACGAGGCGGTGTCTTGGGCTTGCCAATCTTGGATAGCAATTTGTTGTCATACGCTTGGGATGAGTTTTCAAAGTTCTTTTGTTGTAGTTGTCTTTCCCCATGCAATCTGAGATCGTGTACCTATTAGCTAATGCGAATCCGGGCACAAGACGCTGAAGGCCAGGTAAACTGAGGGCAGTGCAAGCCGTGGACGAGTGAAAGTACACCCTCCAGTGATGGGCCGCTTGCCTTTCGTGATGGCACGATGGCTTGCAAAGAAAACCGAAAATGAACATGTATATACTGACTGCTGGCTCATGGCACTGGGTCTCGGTCCCGAGATACTATAGTATCCTTCATCCTGATGTCTTGCAAAATCGAATCCCCTGCTCGTTTCTGCCGGCGACCTGACGGTTGAAGTCGAGCTTTCTCGTCGCCTAAATTCTGGCGGGTCCAATGGCCTATCTTCCTCCATATTTTTACCCCAACTCTTTGGAAAATTCGAGATTGGCCTGAGAGACTCTCTCGCCTTTCCAAAATTCCCCCCCTTAGGATCGTTTCCCCAAGCCCATCCTGGATCACTGCCAGCAGTGATATCGGTATTTCTCGGAGGAGGAAGTGGAGGTGGAGCAAGGTCGAATCTCGCATTAGGTATTGCCAGTGGGACAGGGGCTCGTGAAAACGGCATCGCTCCAGACCGACTGGTTGACCGCCTCCGTCCATGGTTGGCATTATGATCATGTACTAGAATTGAAGGAGGCGACGTAACACGCGTAAAATCCATAAAGGGCGTTAATTGCCACGCTGAAAGAACAATGCTATCGTAAACGGTCGTAAGGCGCTTCAGGTCTATGGGCGATTAAGTGTGGCTCCGATATTGGTGGCAATGGCAAGCGTCAAGTGGAATGGGTACAAGTGAATGGCACAAAAAAAAGGTTTATCCAACCAGATCGCGCGGCAACACCGACCAAGTGCAAACTATGCAGGATAAAAACTTCAAGGACAACTGACGGCCAGTGAGAATGGCAGAAGACGTAGGAGATGGAGGTTGGGGAGGACTCTGGCATAAGTTGCCTTCCTTGACCTCTTGTTCCAGCAAATGCTAGCACATGTTGTTTGGTAAAGCTCTGTGCCAGAGCCGAAACCTTGGGCAAGGAAGCGGGGTGGGACATCGGTCAAATAATAAGTTTTTTGGGTCCTCGGGGTATGTCAGCCGTAGGGCTACCTAGAGTACCTTTCAGCTGTGACTTCCTGCCCTAAGGTAGAGGGCTCGGAGGGGTCGCTTGCTTTGTTCTTAGACCAAGAACTTTTTTTCCCACCTTGAGGATCGGGGTGTGCGCGACTTAGCGGTACCCTATGACCCCTAAATCCTCAAGCTTTGCATGTACCTAAAAGCTCTTCAGCAAGGGGAATCCTGGTCAAACGCTATCACGGAAAGGATCCAGGTAAAGATGAGGATGTGGGTAACGGATCGTCTCTGGGCGGAAGCCGCCTTGCGCAGCCCTACAAGGTGGCAGCTAAGGATTGCTGCATGCTACCAAAACTTCATAATGCATCCCACATGCAGAAGAGGGGACCGTTGTCAGCAATGTCTGAATCATAGATCTGCATTTCTGGGGCCTAGGTAGCATTCAGTATTAGAACTCTGCCTTAGGATAAAAGAGGGACTCTTTGCCTCGCGTGATCTACATAATACAGAGCACGGACATGACAATATACGGTGAGCATGAAGGATCTGGTGAAGCTGTGTGTGAGAAAAAGACGACTGGTGCTATTATCGCGGTACCATTCCTACGCTAGAAGAGAACAAGTGCGCTTTGTATGCACGGTCAGAAGGCAGGGGAGGGTTGAGAGGGAAGCCTTGCTTATTCCAGAAAAAGTGCTGACATCAGCCTATATCTTCTCCTGCAATCTGCATACCTAGATGATATCTCGGTCAGCCTCTCGTAACATTGCCCTACCTTAGCGATGCCCCGAAGACTACCCGGAGGCACAGTCGTTCTAGGGTCTTAAGACCAGAGTTCTTCGAGCGGAGGGGTGGGTCCTTGGTAGTATCCCGCACATATGCATAAGCATGCCCTAGCGGGTTTTCTTCAAAAGGCCTCGATCCTTAGGCTAGAGCGTAGGGAGCTGCAGTATTATTATCCTTTCGTACTCAACTGCTCTACCGTACGTTATCCAACCCCTCAATGAACATCAGGGATCGATGAAGAATAGTCATAAAGACCCCGGTCGCCTACCAACGTTGCACAGTTTGGAAACCAGGTTTCGAAGCATGCCGACGATGGAAGGTGACGACATTGAAAATCTCGTTCCCTTTGATTGCATTTCGAACAAAGCCAAGCACAAAGGGAGACAACGACACGAGCGAAATAAGTGAAGTATTGGGGTTTGTGAGAGACGTAGTGTGTCTGGGAAGTTTTCGGTCCATTGACTCTTTGTAGAAGGTGACTAGTGCGGTAGAGGATCCCCGAAGGATCCTTTGGGACGAGTCGACGTTTCTTCTAGATAGGAACAATACGACAAAACCCCCCAGGAAGCGATGAGAGCTGCCAGTCACGAACCTTGCGACATCTATACAAACCAAGACTTTAAAGTGACTACCGAGAAGCAGATACGATGTCTCTGTGGCAGGCGTAACCCGATTCTTGGTCTTTTTTTCACTCTGTCCTGTCAACGATGCATGATGTGGTGTAACCCACCAGGATCCACTAGGATCATGATGTGCTGGTTCATGCGAGCCAAATGACGGGGAAGGAAGTAATGATGCAGGATGTTGAGGTCCATTGACCAATCAATCCGACCGATCTACAAGTCGAAGTCGTCACGGGGGAGTGGAAGGGCCCTGATTATTGTGCCTTGCCATTCAAGACATGGGATGTCATTGTGTTATTTGTCCCGGACTACTCGTAGATGAGACTGCGAGCGGAGATGAAAATCCCAAAAGATTTGTGCGAACCAACATTCGATTAAAAATAATTGAATGGTTGGCGGTAATCCCGCATTGCCACCAGCCCTACTGCTGGTATCAAACGGCAAGGCTCAATTCACCAATTGAACCTCCCTCTAGACGCGGGAATCACGGTGAGACACGTTGGCCACGTTTCATGCCCCCCCGTAAGGCGCTGCCCTGGCCTTACTTGGTCTGAATCATTGGTGCTCAAAACCCCTCAAATGCTTGACAGCACCTGACAACAAGCAGATGCCACATGGGATTACCGGTAAATATTATAATTGTGTATACGTACAGGAGCGGGGTCAGAAGGATCAAGTAGTGACAAGTGAATGAAGCCCGCCACCGTAGGTAGAGTGGTGGGAGATGCATGAGGTGAAGATAGCTGAAAGAAATGCTAGTGGCAACCTTGGGCAGGAGGGCAGAAGGGAGATAATGCGTTAAAATGGACAGTAGTCTTATTGGAGTAACTGGGGGTACCTTAGGTATGAAATGTTGACGATCCCTGAGCCAGGTGGCCAAGAAGCATGAATCAAGCCTTTACTCTCCGCAGTATTCTCAAAATTGAAAATTTCCCATGCACCAACAATCGACTACAGTACTCTAAAAAGTGAAGCCAACATTTCTCATTCGCCTTCTCACCCAAAGCCTGCATTATTGCTTTATCGATGTCCTTGGACCGGATCCCGGGAGACGCACATCTCTACATAGGGGGGTGAATATATACTCTGCACAATGTACAAGAGGCGACCCGAATCCCGAGCTAACGCCCCGACAACAGAATATTCTCCTTGCGGCGCAAAGACGCCTTGAACAAGGCCAACATCACACATGTCCTATCAGTGCTGAGGTTGCCTCTCGATGATCATCTCTTCGTGGATTTCAACCACCACGTCGTCGAGGTCGACGACGTGGAAGACGAGAACATCATTGAGCATTTCCCCACCAGCAATGCCTTCATCCAGCAAGGCCTTGACGCCGGAGGAGGTGTACTGGTTCATTGGTAGGTCAGAGAGCCCTTCCGCATCGTGATATCTCGCGAGCGACGCAAGAGCCGAAAGAATATTTTTCCATCTCGTACTGTATGACCATACGCCACATACGTGCGTTGTTGGCCTTTTCGGCCATTCCGATGTCTCTCTTTCCACAAACGCTGCCGACTCCGAAGTCCATGTCCATGGTCTCAAAAAGGCCCTGTCGCCGTCCTCCGATAATCTACGGGGAGCCCCACATGTAGCGCTTTACCGAGGCACGTATGGACGATGTGTGAATGGGTCAAAGGACTGTTGGAAATCGGCGATGAAGATGCCCAGCGCCACCGCTTGACAATGGTTTTGGGGAGTATCTCTACTACCATTGTTTGCATTGGGTGGAAAGAGAAATTCGATGCTGTCTTACGTTTTCATACGTTCTGCGGAGCGTTGCTCTCCCATTGAAAATGCAGTAGTCACACATTCAGATGCTTGAGCATTTTTATGTTATCATGCCTTTCTATCCGGCATGAGCTGTTCTAACTTTACGTTCTCTACGCTTCTTTCTCACTGGTTCTGCTTCTCCCACCTTCCCCTGTCTTCCCGAAGCGAGTGTACCAATCCACTATGATCATCACTGACATGTTCCACCCGCAGCGCAATGGGCAAATCCCGCTCGACAGCCCTTCTAATCGCGTATTTGCTCTCGCAGAACCCCCAACTTAATCCTCAATCCGCCCTTGACCTCATACGGCAATCCCGAGACTTCGCAGAACCAAACTCCGGCTTCATGGAACAGCTCTCTCTCTACCACAACATGGGATGTCCTGCCACCCAAGAAGCGCTCGACAACCACCCTCTTTACCAGCGCTGGCTGTACCAGAGGACTGTGGAAGCAAGTGTGGCCGCTGGCGTTGCACCTGAAGTCAGCGAGCTCCGTTTTGGTGATGAGGGAAACGCAATGCCCATGAATTTGGCCGCTGAAGAAGGCCCTGCCAACCTAAAATCAAGCGGACATCCTTCAGAGCCAACAACATCGTATCGCTGCAGGCGCTGCCGTACTCCGCTCGCCACATCCGTCTATCTTGTCCCCCATAACCCCAAACGACCGGCTACCTCTCAACCGTGCGCCCATCTTCATCTCACTCCCCTCTCATGGATGCGGCCGGAGCTCGAGCAAGGGAAGCTGGAAGGGAGACTGGAGTGTCCGAATCAGAAATGCGGACAGAGTGTGGGGAGGTATGCGTGGCAGGGGATGAAGTGTAGCTGTGGGGAGTGGGTGGTGCCGGGGATGACGCTGGGGAGAGGGAGGATCGATGAGGTTAGGGAGAGGCCTAGGGCTGGAATAGGAGGAGGGAAGATTTAGGTGATTTTCAAGGTCCAGTTGTTGTAGATAGTTTGACTGGATGTGCGTTGACTAGAGTTCGTTAGGTAAAGTGGTAGATGAATGTTTTGAAATCCATGGTCTTTTTCTCAGACTCAACATCGAACGTTCGCGGCGCCCTTCTGCATAGTCCTCCAATAATTCGGCGAACAACCTCATTGCCCAAGTCGCTAAAAGATGGTTCCCAGTCAGAAATACCAAGCGTATTTACTCGAATTTCAGTGCAAGGCAAGACAATTCTGTCTCGCCAGAGGTTGACCGCTTCTGAAACGCCGAGTATCCGAACGGGGTTTCATTAGAGGCCATTGGCTTCATGTACAGTGGTTCAGCACAGCTAGATACGGCTGCACTGAGCAAGTGCTCAACGTGTACATGCTCCAGCGGGACTTCGGAAAACCGCTTCTGAGTAGACTAGTGCTTACGGGAGTATCGGTCCATGTGAGGTGATCTCGATCAATGTGGGCATGACCAGGATTCTCCGTATGGAAACCAGGTCTCGCACTGGCCAAGTGGCCGGATAATTGACGGGTGACCATGCAAGTAGGGCAGCATTTGAGCCTCTGGCGTTCCAATGACGCTTCGGCGGCGTCCAGAGCCTCGGAAAGGGAAAAAAAAAGGAGGTACGAGTGACGTAAAGCCTCAGTGTCTGGCTAGGTAGTTGCCGTGGTGGAAGCCAAGCACGGCACAAGAGAAAGCTGAAGCGGTAGTTCGTGGCCTTGCGCCCACTCGAGCTGTCCGAGAATCACCGAAAGGGTCCAGATGCGGACGGTATGAAGCTGATCCGGCTATGCTCGCAATATCGATAATTGGACCCACTCTGCCAAACTCGAAAAGAGCCGCCAATCATTCCCGTCGCTGTCAGGCTCAATGCCTTGTGCTGAGACGAGCTTAAGTCTCAAGTGGATCAGTGAGCCTCAAAAGTTATCGTGCATGTACCCCTCAACTAAGTTGGGGCCAAACGCTGAGGAGGCCGTTGCGGCGCCTCAATAGTACCTCACGGCAGCGGAGTAAGGCCGCCACTTGGTACCCTGGATGTAGGTTGCATCGTTGGCTGTTGATGAAGAAGAGCGTGTTCCACGATTCTAAAATTCTGTGGGGTCGGTGCTGCACGATGACGATAATGACCACAACAGACTCACCGCTATTCGTAGCGTCTCATAAATCGAGGGACAGGCTGCCGCCGCGGTCGTCGAAAGAGAAGATGTATACAAAAGGAGGCAACCCAAATTCGCAATCCGATTGGTCGGCGGGTGGCGAAATATCCGAATTTTTCGCCCACCGTCTTCTTAGCCGCATGATATATGGGCCGATGAAATGTTAGTCATTAGTACAGAGATGTTCAACGAGCTGCAATATAACTCCAGCAGAGCCGTTCGAAGCACGAAATAAAGTTGTCCTGGACCTGGTTTAGCTGGTGAGCAGGGCCGTGGCTGGCTATTGAGTAATTCCAATCACGTCAATGATTGACTCATGTCAGTTGGCTGCTATTGGTTGCGATTGGGCCCTTAGCTCTTATCAACGCATTGAGATATCATTCGCTTTAGCAAACTCAGACTAATGGAACGGGAAGAAGCAGTTCTCCTGGGCTCTTGACCGCTTCACTACACCGGCTGGTACGACAATCTCCTTTAGACTCCTTGATAGCTTCCAGAGTGGGCCAGACGCGCTGCAACAGAACAACGCCTCGTCGTGCACAGACTTGGCCCTGGCCTGTACTCTCCAAGCTGAGACGAGGCTTCACTGTCGGCCACTCATTTCAAGCAGTGCTGCACACCGCCCTAGAACATCTTTGTCACCAGCACCCAGTGATCAGAGTTCATCTATCGGACTGGAGAAGTGAGTCATCTCGTGTAAGCTGTACGCAGCGTCGGATCCCTAGTCTCTGGGCGTCATCTGCAGGGGTTCCCGGACCTAAGCTTTGATCCGCCCAGTAAATCTGAATCACGCGCCGTTCTCGTCGGGTCTTTATCCGGATGAAGGAATCGGACCGTGAAGGGGCGGTTCTCACCAGGTCTTGAAGTACGACTGACAAATCCAAAATATCTTCGTCACTCTCAACTGAGAAGTGTACGTAATGATGCATCACAGTTGTGATCGATCAGCGGGATATTGGGGAAGGACTGTGTATGAAAGTGTCATCCGAGATTGCCAGCGGGAACAGACGGAAATAAAGTAGGACTTTTAAGACGCTCTCGGTTTCTCTTGGCAAGCTCTGCGTTTCGAATACGATCAAGCCTCTTCTGATAGAATACCCTGCATCATGTCAGATTACTAGCGTGACAAAATTACCAACCTCGGCCTAGAGGCAGCAAGTAATCATACTTCTGAAGAGTGTAGATTCGAGGGATGTCATCCGCAGTTGACGATGGCTCTTTATTCGTAATTGCTTTGATCTTGAGTTGGGGTCAGCAGTGACTATTTCTAAAGATACGCCGATCTACCTTGGCATCTTTCTCTTTCTCTGCCTTCTCAACATCAACATCGTCTTTGCTCTCATCGTCCTTTCCCTTCTCTTTGTCCTTGTTCTTGTCTTCTCCTTTCTTAACTTTGCTCTTCTTCCTTTTCATCTTGTCCTCGTATTCTTTTTTGATAAGCTCAATCTCACGATCCATTTCCTCCTTCTTTCTCTTAGCAGCTAATTCTTCTTCATCAATAACAGGAGTACAAAAGCCACGGTCTTTCAGGTGTCCTGGGCAGATATAGAAGTAGTCCTACTAGCTTGTCAGTTGACCAGAAAAGAAGATGGACTAGTCATACCTTGTTGTCTGGAGTGATTAGGACGCTCGTGGTTGGCTTGTAACAGATGTCGCACGGCTTAGCTGATGCCTCTGCAACTCTTCGAAGATGCCAAACATTGACGAGAGCCATTGTGACCTTGTCAGCCTGCGCGCGGCAGAAGGGAATGGCTCCGCTTGACAAGAGGTTGAATCAAACGGCGGGAGCACTTCGGAGGATTCGAGAGCCGGAGCTCTAGCCATTTCAAGCCATGAGCCCTAAGCTGGCAACTACTGAGAGCTGATATTGAGGAAATAGCTTGGGGAGCGACTTGCAAGAGAAGCCGAGTCCTCAGTAGCTACAGAAGCAGTCGCCCAAAAAAACGCGTAGTTTGAGGCAAGAAATTGCCGACGTCCTCTGCATTGTACCGTAAAACATCACATATGTACACCCCAGAGCTCCCTTCGTGTCGGCTTTACTCAGTAACCCTCAAACTCCTCCCATCATCCGTCCCATTTCTTAACCTTCCAGGCTCTAGCCCCTCAATGCTAGCCTTTACACTCTCTGCTCTTCTCCGCGCATCAACCCAAATCATAAATTCCGAATACGTTGAAGGCATAACACGGATGTTTCTCTCTACCAAGAACGTGTAGTTGAATTGGCCCGTCGGCTTCGTTTCTCCGTGCTCCACATTCCTTACCTTGCTGTCTATGCGAATTTGCACTCTTGTATATCTCTCTCCGGGACCCTCTGCCGTATCTTCAACGCCATCGCCTGCAACATTTGTCGTCACAAGCGGCGGATCTGTATATGCTACGATCGCCGTCAAGTACAGCACGCTACCAACCGGCACTGGGTTCTCAAAAGTGCTGGGATCTAAGCTGACAAAGGTCGGCCGCGAATGAGAACATGCAGCCGCACAGCAGAAAGCGAGCTCGAAAGTCTGTTTGAGCAGGAAACCTCCGAAGATCATGAAATTGTGCCGGTTACGGTATTGAGGCTGCATGATCTGCGATGATTGCTGGCGGGTTTTGTCCATGTAGATTACGTTCTCGGGTTTTCGGGTTGAGATGTTGGGGTCTATGTAGACGAATTAGGGTGGGCGTAAAAGGCATGGTGGTGATAAAACTTGCCATGATATTCTAGCTGCTTGAGCCACATCGCATGAATTAACTCACTCTCTTCCTCGTTGGGCGCCTGTTTACGCAAAGTCCTCTTGGCGAGGGCTTTCTTTCCAGTCGAATTCTTCTGGCCCAACTCAAATAGCCGCTTCTCTTCTTCTGTCTCTAGTTTAATAGGACTTATTGCAACCGGCTTCTTAGTAGACGGATCTAATGACACCATAGTGAAGGCACACGTCATCAGGACATCTTCTTTATGGACTTTAGCACCTTTTTCTGGGGCTTTGGCCACTTGTAGAGATATTTCCATGCTACTCCTCCCTGTTGCATAGGTGACCTGACCGGACAGTTCAAGATCGCATAGCTCCTTCAAGGGATGATTAATCGTGATTCTATCAACAGCAGCTGTGACGGTTGTGACGGATTCTCCTGTGTGCTTGTATGCAATGACTCCAGAGAGGGCATCGAGATCCATGAAGATTGTTCCGAGTCTTGTATTGTCTTAGCATGAGAACCGTTTCCAACGCCCATTGAAGCACACCTGATATGGCCGTTCGAATTGAGGTAATTGTCTAGTAGCCATGGATCTTGGGCTAGTGGTATAACCTAGCCTGAATCAGTCAGCCAGTCAAAATTCCAGGTTTGATATATTGCACGTACGACTCGATGGAAGCTATCTGACATCTTCTTGGGCGTGAGATCGCGGTCTGGTGGAGTCGCGGGTGTGCTTGACGGCTTGGTCGGATCAAACCCCTTCTTTCTCTGCTTTTCCAAAGCTTCGATCCATGGCGTTCTTACACGCATGTTGGTCAAGTCCTTATATACCCCGTCGGTGCTGCAAGCCGGAGTGGCATTGAAGCGGCGGAGTGCTAGAGAGCGTAGAGGACCGAGAACCGTGGCGCTGCGCAACGCTCGCAGAGAGTGAATGGGCGGCATCATGCCTTATCAAAAAGTAAGTCCGTGTCGATTCCAGCGTTGCGTACTGGTGGAGTACCGGCGAAGCCGAGCGGAAAACTCCCCTCAGAGCCACCAGAGTTCTCGGCAAAGGCCACCAAAATCGGATGAATTTACGAGTAGGGGGTTGACCTCCGGCCTATTTCGTGTATATAGACCAGAGTATGCACGCCTGCATGCTTTTCATTATTGTCTTCATGGTCGCCTCAGTCTGTCACTGACATTCGGAATAGATAAGCTATTCCAAAATGAGCTTAGTCTGCAGGGCACTGTTTTCCCCACCAATGAGGAGGTTCTACCTATGGGCTTGAATCATAGAGAAACGAGGCCGAAATAATCATCTCGAAACCCATCGATCTGGAAAATGTACCACTCGTTCATAGCTTTGGCTTCTGCAGGTATGTGATCTTTGCGTCCCCTTCCTTTCGGCACTATTCACACGTCTTACGAGCTCTGTTAAATCGAGGACTGATCATTAAGTAGAAGGCTTTGTCGACATCGAGATTCTTGTGCTTAAGGCTCCCTGGGAAGCCATAAGAAAGGTGACAAAGATATCCTGAACACCCAGGCCTATTGGGTACTACACAATGGTAATTGGGGTAGGCTTTGATGATTAATTGAGTTTGATAACATCCAGCGCTGTTCCTTCCTCACCTTGGCAATCATCTAATCATCTAATCGACTTTGTTGTTTGATAATTCCTTTCCACTTTTAAACATGCGGAAGTACATCTTATTGATACATTTCAGATCAAACACACGTGGGAAACGCTTTGGAATACGAGTTGATGGTCAGCGACAGCCCTCAGCTGCAAGCGAGCGAATGGGTCCTTACTATCGGACTGTATTCTGTCCTTCTGTTCGTGGAAGGTCAGCCCATGGAGGGTTGCCATGAATGTAAGCGTGGCTGTGTCTCGCCTCTCGTAGGTCAACGTCTCCATCATTTGTCCCCACAAGAATCGTAGTGAAGAGAGCAAGATATTGCCAATACAATTTCAAGGCTTCTGGTATTAGGGGAGGATAGCTCTGTTGGAACTTTGTGGGGCATTTCATTAACTCTAGAACAAAGTGGGAAAATATGCACGCCAGATGAGGGGAAGAAGATTCGCATGAATTTTCAATGCCGGCTAACATTATCTCGCGGAATTCTTCGGTGGGAGGGGTGATCGCATCTACGATCCTCTGCTGCGGATTAAGGGCCATTCAAAGTTGCTGAATACTTCCAGCGACTTTCAGCGCAACGCTGATAATGTCGACACCACCTGAGCGAATTCGAGCGATGTAGTAGTAAGTCGATTCACACATCGCGTGCTATCGATCTTTAACCCCCAACATCTACCTCATTAGTCTAAGGCTCACTCTTTGGCTCGGTTGTTTGAAAAGAAAAAAGGAACAGAATACATTGCTGGGCTACGTTCAGTCTAACCGGTAGGAAGTTGGTAATGGGTCAGGAAAGGCAGCTTAATGGCCCAAACTGCTCTAATAATAATCCAAAAAGGATATTTCCGAACGCCCGCGTTCTGCATGATACAAGTAGGTAGCTGGCTGAGCCTGCTCGGAATAGAAGCGCCACTTTATCACTTTTCGCATTGGGTCCTCTCTTTCGCGGTCAACAATGTACTCCAACTTGGAAGTGCATACCTTTCAGTCCTCCCTGGTTTGATTCTAGCTATGAGACTTTCGCCGTTCGACCTCACTCGCTGCAGAGTCGGACAAATTAACGCTGAAGATGAGTCGCCGGCTACCATCAAGATGCCTGAAGTCTGTCCTGTTGTAGACAAATCTCCGAGATGATGGAGAGCGAGCAAACAAGAATGACTCATACTTATTGCACTAATCATTATCTCACTCATGGCGGCGATAGATTCCACAATCCTGGTCCCCGTACTCCCCGGGCGCATCGCTACCACCGAAGCAAAGCGTTCTCTCTGACCAACTCAACAGGCACTGGCCTCCCACCTGCACGGAACATCCACCTCCATCTTCTAGGCCGACACCGCTTTCCTCCTCGCAAATGCCGTCCTTCAGCCCTTCCCCGCGACCCTCTCAGACATCTTCGGCCGCCGTATTTCGCTTCCCTCGTGCCTACTGCTCTTCACAATTGGCAAGGTACTACGCCGTATCTCCAACGCCATCACCGAGTTGGTCGTTGGATGAACGGTTCGAGGCGTCGGTGGAGGCGGTATCGTTGTTTTGACGCTTGTGATATTGACGGATATCGTGTCTCTTCGTCAACCACCGAAATATAACACATTGATATCTCTTGCCCATGTTCTCCTTACAATTACAGGACCGTTAATCGGCGGTCTTGTTGTACGACATATGACGTGGCGGTGGATTTTTGATCTTAATTTTCCATGTTGTGGTTTTGGACTTGCGTTGATTTCCTTCAGCGTTCGTTTAAATACCGAAAATGTTTCGCTCAAACACAAGATATCTCGGGTCGATTGGCTTGGCGGCGCACGTTCCGTCAGAGGCATAACGTGCTTTCTGCTTGCTATTACCTGGGGTGGTGTGCAATTCTCCTGGAGAAGTTTGCGAACCATGGTGCCCCGTGCTCTGGGTGCAGTGGGAATACTGGCAGCGCTTTCATGGGAAGTTTGGGGCCCCCTTCTAAGGCTGGGATAAGCAGGTCCGCTGTCTTGACGTACGCCTGTGCGTTGCTACAGGGCTTATTGGTGAGTTAGACTCTGCCGCTTCGTCCATACTCTTTCCACTGATCTGGCCCAATAAGCTTTATTGGGCAATTTACTACGTCCCATCTCACTTTGAGGCAGTAAAGGGCTACTCACCCACCATCACTGGCCTCGCCCATTTCGCACTTTCCATAACAGTGTTTCTACCCACATTATAGTCGACCTTCTCATGACGAGAATAGAGAGATTCAGATTGGCGCTGTGGGCCGATTGGCTACTCCTTGTTTTGTCTAATGGACTTCTCATTACTCCTTGATGAAAACACTTCGGTCCCTGCATGGATTTGTCTCTTGATCGTCTCTTGATCGTACTTAGAATAGCACATGGTGCTGTTCTTTCACCTTTGATTTTCGGTACTCAGGCCATGGCCAGAACCGAAGACGTGGCGTACGCTGCAGCAATGTGTGCATATCTGAGAATTTTGTGATACGTCATGGCTATAGCGATTGGCGGCACAGCTTTTCAGAACACACTGGCCTTGCACTTGAGGGACGCTGGACCCCTGGCCTCGATTGCTCGTAATGCGGAGGGCTACGTGGCAGTGCTTGAGAAATTGCCGAAGGCCTCTTCGGACTATAAGCAGTTGATGCAAGCATACAACTCCGCTTTCAAAATGATCTGGGAAATCATGACTGCCTTCGCGGCTCTAGGATTGCTCCTAAGTTAAAGTGTCGCCCACTGTTCGCTAGATCGAAAGTATGAATCAAGACACAAATCAAACCGTAAGCAGAATCTCGAAGACTCGGAGACCTCAAAGCAATCTACTGCCCAACAATAACAAATGCTATCATCTCCCAAGTATACTAACGATCTCCAAAGCAGACGAGATTACAGACAAAACTGCGCCAACCCTTGTGATTAGGCTACTCCTGCTTTTGTTATTTCAAGCTCCTGCAACATATCCACGATTTTACCGGTTTCGGTTCCGCCTAACTCTGACCGAATGGTTTCTAGCGGTGAGGGGTACAGCTGATCATCCTCTTGTAGACCGGTGCCTTCACGTCCAAACACCAGAGGCCTCGCTTGCGCGCCGTGCTCGATCAGCAAAGACGTTGCTTCTGCGACCATGGTTCAAGATTCTCCGTGTCTCGTAGGTCGTCTTTATATCTGAGAAGAAGGATCAGAAAATGGCCCCAGACTGTAAGATGATCGAAGGGTTCATTGGGATTGGCTCCTTGCTTTCACAGGAGAATCAACAGCTCGGCCTCCGGGATGGTTCTCGTGTTGATCTCTCCATTTAAATCTGGACGCAAAGCGTAATCTAGCAGCGGACGTCCTTGCTGCGTCTACCAGTTGGGGATTCTCGGAGAATTTTTCTATAGCATAAGGTCGGAAACCCAGCCGGAATACGAAAGAAGGGAATGTATTCCTCCATTCTTTTCGAGGTATCCACCAGTGCGCCGCTATTCCTTCGGCGGGAATGTAATTTGTCCACCAATAATCTGGAGAAAGCGTCAAGAACCTTTCAAACAAAGATCTCGCGGATTGATCAAGCTCGTCAAGCAATGCAGTCGGAGCCTTGTTTGTATGGAGTTCAACTTCCCGAGCATGGGTGAGAAAAGAATATAATAGCATTCTGCATCATTTCTTGGGTCTTTCAGGAGTTTGACTTGAGTAAGTAGTGATGTGCAAAAGATCAGATTGACATCGAACGCTTCGTCTCTAGAGATTCCCAAGTTGTGCCGCAGGTTATCACTTCGGAGAAAATCCCTAATAGTTCCGTGCAAGAAGTCTACCCGACGACTGAAAATGAGACGGTTGCCGGGTACCTGATGAACTTCAAAAAGCCCTTTGCAGCAGCTATTGAGGCATCGTTCAAAAGATGCGTATCTGTCAGAAATCTGAACTCAGGCTCAGATATCACCTCGACACTAGCCCAGGTTGCCCAATCCAGTTCTTCCCCGTGGGCGAAGGAGTATGTCATGAGTGACGTTATAAGCTCTTTTGCTTTCAGGGCTGTCTGGAATAGCTGATCTGATTGCTCAAAGTAGAACTTATCCAGCGTACCCATCGTGTACGCAAAGTATTGTTCAAGATCACTGGGTATCTGTTTGAGCCTCCTCTGCAAGCCACCGACTCCATCCTCATTCCGGAGGCCCTCCAAGCGATCTCGTACGACCAGAACAATCCAGAGGAATACCCCGTCTGCCTTTGTCGACGATATCGGAAACAGGCTCAGCGCAGCCAATATGATTCCTGCTCTTGAGCTTCACGAATCGTGGATTATCCACCAATTCGGCTTGAACATAATTATTGATTTCTTTGTAAGTCAACTGCTGAAGGCGTAGACACGAACCAGCCTGGAAGACATCCTCAAAAACGAGCCAAGGGCGGCTCGACCTACGCATTTGGCGAATCCGAAATTTAATTGAAGAAGGTCGATGCGAGCTGCGTCATCTCCTTCAAATTCATCGAACCCATCAACAAAGAAGCATGTATGTGCAGAACATTGTGCCGTCTGAATTAGATTATGGAAAACATCCAGTAATTCCTTGTTTGTCCACGGCACAATGCTCCTAAATTGTATGACTGCCAGCGCCAGGGATTGACCGCTTCTATCAGCTCTGGGTCTTGTGTTAAGACGTCGACAAGCGGAGACTGAAGCAGGCCTGTCTGTGACTTCTGCACCTCAGTCCCATGAATCCAAAAAGAAACAGCCGGCGATGGCCAATTTTTTCTGGCCAGCGCAGTGTCGTAGGAGATGTTTGGTACGACAACCACCGTACAGGTACCTCATGAGGGTTGATTTGCCTGGCCCAGAGGCATGGTTTTCGAAAGCCCAGTTGAAGGTTGCTCTGAATGTGCTCTCGCGATCGTTGCATGACTTTCATGAAATTGCGGGAAATCTAAGCTGTGTACATAAGATTTTTGATCCTTTGATATTGGTCATCGCTTGCTGTCTCTGGAAGTTTCCCCGAACCCCTCATCAATTCACCCTGATGTTTGACTTGCCACTCTTCTAAGAGTTCGTGTCTTGCTGATCTTGGGGCTTTGTCTAGGATTGCCGACAAGTGGATGATCTGTCCCAAGACCTTTCTTTTCATTCACGTATAGCGTCAAGTATCCTTCTTTCCAAGCATTTGTTGTCCCTCTTCAACTCGCGTGTCTCCAACGACTGGTGGTTACTACGAGGAAAATTGATACAGTCATCGATCGATTATCACAAGTAGGAGGTGAAGAACGAGATCTTCTCGAGCTAATCAAAGTCTCCCCAGAGTCTCTTCAATTTTTCCTTTGCCTCATTGCGCCTTCAATGCCTGACGAAAGCTCTTCCATTTTCGGTCAGGATATGAGCACCTGAGGCGATCGAGAGCCGTTGCTAATCCAATAGCAATTGCTTCGCATTTATGAGCAGCAAGCTGAAGGCCTTTCTCTTCTTTTGAAAGCTGAAGTGCTCCCTTCTCGTCTGGTTGCTCCGCTGCTGTTTCGAGAGCAATCCGTGGACCCCGTAGACCTTTTTTCAGACGGGCAAAGTTGTCGACAATGGCTTGGAGCTCGGTTGTTCTCTGGCAGAATTCCGTCGCTGCTTTTGCAGTACTCATTGCCTTTCGAGATCACTTTGGCAGCAAAATCAACAACATTGATTACAGAGTTTGCAAGACTGAGCGCAGCCAGAGCTTGGAGGACCGTGCTGCCAGACACATTTTTGGGGGTTCAATGCGTATTGGCTAGATTAATGAATGAGTCCAGCACCAATTGATCAGGACAAGAGAACACAAGAGCAATCATCGGAGATAGACGGGACATGTCTCTAAAAGATGATGGGAGCTCGTGTGATCCCGTCTGTTGGGCCGACTATCCCACACGTTAGTCGGTTCTGCAAGGCTACGGGTTGATCATGTTGAAACCCTGACTTTCCCTTTGGGGTTAGCTTCGATTAGATCAGAAGATATCACTTTATACGCGCTTCACTCACTGCGCAACACTTCTTTACTTCCTCGTCGCAATCGCAAAGCCTGTGTGTAATGCGACGTAGTTATCTTACACAGGATTAGCTGCCCAATCTGAAAGTTGAAAATCAACATGGGCTTTGGAGCCTTGTGCTTAGGACATGTAAAGCGACAAGAAATCCAAAATCCGAGAATTAAGTGAAAGTGAACAATGGAATAACTGTTTACTTTACGGGTGCAATGAGTCAATTCAGAAATGCCGGTAATCGCTGAAATTTAAGCCATTGAAAGCGTAAGATTCGACCTAGTTAACGAGCTCTACAATCTACTTCTGACATCTGCCATGCAACTCTCCAGTAATTTCCTCAACCCTCCCAACTTCGTGGCTCAATGTCATGCCGTCGGTGGTGCATTGCCTTGAGGAGCTTGAACACATCTACGACAAACACAACCTCAAGCTCAAGACCAATGCCTGCATCACCCTCTCTTCTCCCAAATCTTCCGATTATGCTTTTCCCTCCAACGGCCAAGATTTAGATGCTTTCATCACTTCTGGCACATGGATAGTGGGAGCGAACCGGTTACGTCTTCATGTTGAGCTTCTCTTTGATGATATAGTAGTATCAGGCTCTAGTTTGTACCAAGCTACCGAGAATATTGGGGCTGTGATTTGCAACGCGGAGGTGCTATGATGCTACCATACCTTGAGGTGGATGACTGATTGTGCTACATAGCTCTGGTCACAGCTCTGCCTTGACGCTTCTCTTACTATAAATGATTCGAATAAACTTTTCATCTCCTTGTCAGCTCAGTCATCTAGCGATGCAGATATCCGACCCCCGAAATGTATCCCATCTGCGTACCTAGATTCCATCCGCATGACGTTCCATTTCTCCACCTGCAGACGGACTAGGGATGCTTCGAGGGCTCACGTTACCGTGTCTGGAAGTGGTATTCAACACACTTCCGCGTCTACAAACCCTATCCATGAACACCTTGACCGCCGCTACAACTCTCCGTTATCATCACCGGGAGGGACCCAAGGCGTTCTTGGCACCCTAACGTACGGGCATGCTCCGTGGATTTCGGGCTCTTCATCGGTCGGCACCTCGCCAGTGAGCTCTCAAGGCAGTGTCTCATCCAATATGCACAGTACATCTTCCCTCGACACTCTAACGACATGCCATAGGTACGCCATTCAGGAAGTCAAATTTGAGATCCTGGTCCAATTGATGGATTCTTCGCTACGGAGAATGATGAGTGACTACAGACCGGTCAGACCCGGAGGTATTATCGTTTCAAGCGATGCTGGCTGCCCGAAACTTGCTGCCATATCCCCTGCTTTGTTCAGCCCCGGTTATGTCAAGGTACAGTACCACCATTGAATTGAATGACGTTGCTGATGGTCTGATACCAGGCGGTTTCGCAGCGTACCGGGTTACTTCCCACGATAGCACGTACTGTGTGTCGGATGTATCGCCGCACAAACTCCAGCTGCTTAAGACACAAGCTTAGGCGATTACAAGAATTGTCACTTAGTAGCTATGTGGATCATGGCTCAACCGAAGACTCCGACTCAAGTAGCGCCATATTCTCATCTGTTGTTGAAGCGCGGCTATGGTTTTTGACGCGGAGCAAGCTGATTGATGCTTTGGCTTGCAGGAGCTTGAAGTCATTGAGCACTTCCGGTACAACGGATTTTGGATTGCACGAAATGCTAGATGAATCATTGGACGATGCGGGAGATGTAATGCTGGACGGGGGTGAGGTCCCAATCTTCGACGCATATGGCGATGCAATGGAGCTTGATGAGGCCAATCATTTGGACCTATTTCGGGAGCACTCTCTAGGTGGGATTGACGACGAGGAAGAGGAACACTTGGACGACGACCTTCTCTGGAAACATTCCCGGGATGAGGTTGTATTTGACGGGGTGGAAACCCTGGACAACAATACCGCCTCTTATGTGCATGATGACTCCAATGCCAAGCTCTGCGGGGCATTTGCATTCGGATCTGGGGACGATGTGGTATGCTGAGACTCAAGATTGAGCACGGAACGGGTCAAAGGCACTTCAGATATGGCTCACCCTAGCTGATGTATTCAAGATTATCTCAAATTCAGACGGGTCGGTAGAGCAAAAAAGGAACTCTTTGGGAGGACAATTTCGGCTCGAGCCTGTCTGTTCCCTGAGTTCTATCCATGGTCCATGAGTAATGCATTCAGCCCCCGTCGACGTATAACTTTTCATCAAGTATCCATCTCCCAACTCCTTCTGTCACCAACTTCAACAACGCCAATTCATCCCTTCGCGCACTTGACTCCCTTACCTTCGTAGAGCTGACAATTTCTTCACCCTCTTTCCTCCCCTCTACCAATTCAATCCTCCCCGCCCACTCCCTTTTACCATCTTTACCTTCCATTTCCCCTCTTTGCAGCTTCGTCATATACTCATCCTGCTCGTCTCTTCCTCCCCATGCATCACCAGTCCTCCTCGTAACTCTGACTCGGTGTTTCTCGAAAAGCTCCTCCAATGGCGCTAAAGTGTGATCGGGGGGATAATATCTGATATCCAACAATCTAACCAGCGTGTCAAACCCCGTCAGATGAACCTGCTCAACAGGCTTCTTGCCTCCCTCATCATTGATGGAAGAGTAATCCCCACATTCCTCAATCACCCTTGCTTTGTCCACGAAGCGAGCTTTCTTCGTGACACCTACATCGACCACAACACCTTCACGACCGCCATCTGCTCTCATTTCCTTTACCATTTCCTCTGCGAAGATACTCATCATGGCAAGCCTCTGCTCGAACGCCGCCGGCTTCGGCGCCTTATCCGCATTTTGCGTCGCGAGGAGCAGCAAGAGCCTTTTCGGCTCGGCTTTCGACCCGTCATGCAACAAAGCAGATGTGCATATGCGGAGATGGGCGCGCGTGGGTGGATTGAAAGAGGAATCCAGAACGTAGAGTGTCTTCGGTGCGCTTGAGTGTTTTGGACGGGCGTGGGGCAGAGTGCGGAGGATTTCTATGGTTTGTGGCGAGGAGGCGAATGCTTGGAGGGAACGCTGGATGGCGCGGAGGTCACGCATTTCATGCAGGTTATGGTTCGGGGAAGACATGCTTTAGGGATGGAGTTGGATGGTGAGGAGCCATCTCCGGTGAGTCGAAGAGAATGTGGCTGCGTCATCGATTCCAAAAAATGCTTTTTCAGCGCAGCTCAAGATTCTTGCCTGCGTCATTGTTGTTACTATATTTTGAATAGAAGCTATACAAATCGCTGATTCTCGGCAGCAGCCAGGAGCGAATCCACGTTACTCCACCTTGCCACTGGAAAAGCGCAATCTGATTCTGAAACCGCTAGCTCATCGGTGACTGATTGCTATCCTGCTCTCTCCTATTTTACATACTCGGCTAATTCTAGCGGTTTGAGACTGCAAAATTGATTTCATGAAAGAATTTGAGACTGCAAAAAGCCGCAGCATTCAGCAAGGCACCATTTTCCAGATCCAAGGCCATCTGCGGATGACACACCGCTCTTCCATCCACATGTCTATGAGCCTTCGTCTCATCGCAGTGCGAGCCCAGCACAATGCCTAGGGTCCTGAAATTAAAGTCGGCGGATATACCCTGGCCTCACTGGCCTCAGATACCTGGGATAAGAGTGTTGTGACAGTCTTGGCGTTGGCGCAGGCGCAGTCACTGCATTGAGCATACCGTTCACAAGCAAATGATCAGGAAGAGCTGGTCAGCAGGATTCGGAACCTCCTGGCATGGACAGAAGAGGCCATCAGCTTCAGCCTGCAAAGCGCTCGAATTAAAAGGTAGCGACAACGCTGAAGCTTTCAAGAGATCATTCACGACAGGAAGACGATTTTCAATACCTTGCATGCTAACTAAACCAATGCTCCAATCAAATGTTGGATATGTGTCAAGCTAATGCAGGCACCCTCAATCTCAAGGCGATACTGGAAATCCGATTTGTTCCTGCGTTTGTACCCCTGTTCCAGGGCGAATAACCCCGGGTCAACCGTCAGGGCTATGGTCCTCCTGAACTTAATTTTATCTCCCCTCAATTTCTCTTGCTGCTCTCTTCTCTTCAAAGACTTCAACTCTTTCTCACCATATTCCTTTTTTTCGCTGTCGTTTGGGTTCTTCGTCACTCTTTTTGCAGTCTCTAGTCATTCATTTGCGAATTGATTTCGCACCACGCTCCTTCAGCCCCGACGATTTGAGTCAAGAGAATACAAGAAATAGAAAGCATTCAGCCCCGAATTTTCCAGATATCCCTTCCAGAAACATCTGCAGTCAGAGGATCACAATCTGAATAAAAATTCTATCACAAGCGACCTACATCTTTGAAGATGTTCAGCAGGCTTGCCGTCGTGTGCGTTTTCGCGTTGGCTGTTGTGGCTCAAGCCGGGCATGAGAAACACCATTCTCATCGCCATAAGAATGGGACACTCACGCACAACCCCTTCCCCGTTTATGACCACAAGCCTTCAGGCCATCACGGGCCTTCTGGCTCTGCCGGTTACCCTGCTGAGGCAGGAATCAGCAGCGGTGTTGCTCCTTATCCTACAGGTACCGGCGGGTCGTCTCCTCTCAGCACTGGCGCCTCTCCTCGTCTCCTCACCACTGGCGCAGTGCCCACCTATACGACCACTGTGATAGTGACCAAACTGACTACCTACTGCCCTGGGCCCACCAGCCTCACGCAGAACGGCAAGACGTACATTGTCACCAAGGTATATAATCAATGACTTTACCATACCCTGCCCTTGCTAACAATTTTAGGAAACGACCCTCACCATTAATGACTGTCCCTGCACGTCCACCTATACGACCACTGGCTTTCCCACTCCAACTCAATCTGGAGACACCACCTTAACCTACGTTATCGGCACAGGTTCATCGACCACTACCGTAGTCACCACCATCCACCACACGTCTTACAAGACCAACTACAACGTAAGCACACTCCCTTCAATTCAATATCAAGAAATGCAACTAAAATTCGATACTCCAGACTGTGTACACGTCCGCAGGTCAACCTGGCGAGGGCGGTGAGAGTGGTGCGAGTGGCCCTCCCGTAGGTTACCAAACGGTCCGCAACACAATACAGTCCACCATTTACGTCTCTGCTGTGCCTACTGCTGGTAGCGGGCCTGGCGGCCCTGGTGAGGGAGGCGCTACTGGTTCGGCCTGTGTAGCTCCTGTCACTGTCACCGTCACTGGGCCTGAGGAAACCGTCACTGTGGTAAATTTACTCCAGCTATCACGTCTACAAGCCTCTAATCGCTGACACATCTCAGACTGCTACTTCTACTCCTGGCTCCGGCCCATTCCCATCTTCTGTAGTTGTTGGATCGCCGGCCCCCTCCGCTCCGGTTTCATCCAGTGTCCCCTACGGCATGAACAACGGTACTCAGCCCACAGGAACTGGCGCGTCCACTGGCTTCCTAACGAAACCCTCCGCCAGCTTCACTCTCAAACCCTCTTCAGGCATTGCGCCTCCTTCCGGTGTCACTTCCGCCTCTACCGTACCCTCCTCAGGCATCGCGCCGTCTTCTAGTGTCGCGACCCCCTCTGCTACAGCACCCTCCTCAAGCAGCACCGTTTGGCCGGCGGTGATGGCTACGGCAGAAGTGCACGCCTACAATTGAAGCGTAACGCATGGATCTGGCAATCCAGCGTTTGAATCATTTTAGAAAGCATCTGAATCCACACTTTGTTGCTTTCAGTTCTTGTATTTACATTCTTGATATCCGTTTAGCATCTGCAAAGACAAGCATGCAAAACATTCACACTCAACATAGTCTGATCCCACATATCTCGCTGCCGAGTTTACATGTCGAAACGTTTCCTGTTCATTCGGCCTGCTGTGAGATGTCTAGTTTCTGGCAGGCTCCAATCGTTCACTCCGGACATGCCTATTTGAATTGCTCTTTTCGATTGGTCTCTGGGGCAACGCCACCAAGATTCCACCTTATTCTAGCCATCGTAGAGCCCGCCAGCCCATGTAGTAAGATCTCGGAAAGACGATCTCTTTATTGAAGTTATGAGGTATGCGATTGAGGCACCACGAGGCTCATATGGAGGGGATGTTGCCAAGAGATATCGGTGAATCTAAGCGCCGACTTTCCGGCTCCATCGACTTACTACCAGCCTCCTCCAATCTTACAAAGCATTGCATCTTTCGGCGTCGATAAGTCTTTTGTGTTTTCTGCATAGCGACTTACGATCGTGTTAAGTTGGGGTCTTGTGATCCTTCCGCTAGACTGTATCTCGTTCTTGCGCTTCATTTCGTCACTCGTTGTTACTTGGGTCTCGTGCCAGCCGCAAACGGCCAACGTCCGTTTTCTTTCTGATAGAGAGCTCAGCAGCGCGATAGACTGGACATACTGCTCTCCCCATCTCACACTATAACGCCTAATTTGCGGGTGTGCCTTTTAACGAAATCGCAAAGACCAGTCATCATGCGCGACAACTCCTACTCGTCAGATATGGGAGGCGAGGATCCGGATTCGACTCACCACACGATATCAGAGGAAGTGCAAGATTCTATCATGTCTTCCGACGGCGAAATAACTGGCATTTATAGCCCGCCTCCCCGCATAGCATCTCGAATCTATAAATCTACCTTGACCCGCCGAAAATCATCAGCAGCATCATCTCGACTGAACTCCATGTCCTCACACCACTCCAGTCGATCCACGCGATCTGCTCACGGCGGCCCTCAGAGTACTCATGTTGCCCAACATCTCCGACGTGCTTCTATAATAGAGAGCCGTAAAGCCAAAGCAGCAGACAGAAATGCACATGCTGAGAAGGTCAGGCTACGAGCAGCTATGAATAAAGCAGCTCCACGTACTACTACGAATAGCGAAGAGCGCGCCATTGCCGCGCAACAAGCAAGAGAACGATACCTTGCTCAGGTCAAGGCCAGTTGCGCCGAAGAAGTCAAGCGATCGAAACGGGTGGCTGAAGAACAGCGAGAGAAAAGGGCTGCTGAACATCTCAAGCTTAAAGAGGATATGGAAGAAAGGCATGCGGAAGCCGAGAAGAGAAAAGCTCTCCTACAACAAAGCCAGCGGCGTACAAGGACGATTAGTTTGCCGTCTGTGGAGGAGAAACAGGTCGTTGCATACGTATGGAAACCGAAGAACCATGACCAAGCGGCACGAATCATACAGCGCACCTGGCAAAATCGGCAGCGTAAACTTACGATACAAGAATTTCTGCGACTTGGTTTGACCGTTGAAGCGGTTCAGAAAACAAGTTTTGAAGATGTTGGAGTGCTCTTAAATCAGGAAAATGTACTCTCCTGCACGACGAAGATGCTGAAGCTTTGCGGACTCAAGGATATGGGAGATGATGATGCGGCCGAGAAGGCGGCTGTTCGAACCTTTTTAAGCACGTTTCTGATCCTTGGCCATCCAGCTCAAGTGCTGAGCAAAGAAGGCGAGCAAGAACAGGATCTCGTGAACAAAGCGAAGGATCTTCTTCTTCATTTCGATCGTATCATCGACGACTCGTCAGGTCCGAGGCATTCAGTCCTATCGGCTCAGCTTGCAGAGCTCTCAGAGGCGTACGCTTCTTTTCAAGCAGCCTTTGCTGCTTGGAAAGCACATGACTCGTCCTATTTGGTGTCAAATATGCTTGCCCAATTTGTTGAGCTTGATGCTATATGGCAAACAGTCAAAGACGACAAGGACGGCGAGGTAGCGGCAGACTATAGAGAAGGCATCCAGCACAACCAGACTTTGGTGCTTGTCCGGCTCAAAAGACTCGCGGGTCCAGAAAATGCTATGAAGATGATTAAGCACGCAATTCGAGCAAGCAGAAAGATAAGATCAACCCAAAGCCCTGCTCCTGACAACAAACCAAGAGCCGCGCCGGTTGACCAAGCTTCGACCGAGTCTGTTATGCCAGAAGTACCCGCTCCAAGGCCGGCGGAATCTCCATTCACGGCTGCAAAAGGAAAGGATCCTGCGAAACAAAAACTCGAGTCTTCAACGCTGTTGCCTGACAACCGACACATACTGCATGAGCTTGCGATCAACAAAGAGTTCAAAGTCGATCTACAGCCACGTATTGACCTGCGGGACACTCTTATCGATGATGTGTCAAGAAGCATGCAACAAGGCCTCGATGCTGCAGAGGGAGAGATCTGGGTCCCTGCCATAGCGAAGGTGATATATGAGAAACTCCTCCGTTTGTTGACACCGGGAAACTCGCTTCATGTCTTGATCTCCGAAACCCTCGACCCTGCAATGGTCGCGAATCAAGTTAAGAACGGGGCTTTTTCGTACGATAAATTCTTCTCCTTCATGAACACCATCCTACCAAAGTTGTGTGCACCTGTTCGAGACTCCGATGTTAAGGACCTTGCAGAGAATCCAAGCCACGATCCTATTAAACAGCTGGCTAGACTCTATTATGTTATCGACCTACTCTTGCTCGATCACATGAACTTTATGCTGCAGAGATTGGGACCAACGCTTATCAATGGATCTGTTGACTATGAGAAAAATTGTTTCCTAACAAGGCTGGAGGATCAGTTTCCTGTAAAGACACTAAGATGGTGGAGAGCCGCAGTGGCCAAGACGAGAGAAGAGCCATTGAGACGAACAGTGGAGGGCATTTCAAGCCCAGCAGCCAGGGTTACAGCTGATAGGATATACATGTACGGACTTGTTGATCTTGCCATCACAACGAACAAAGTCGAAGATGCAGAAATTCCCGAAACCCTTGAGCTCGACACTCAGCGTCTGGCACGCATTCGCTCAGATACTCTCCGCTTGATTACAGTATCGTCTATCCTTCTCACTGCAAAGAATCTCCTCAGACGCGACGTACGGTCCCTCTGGAAACTTGAGAGCCAGCGGATGTGGGATTTGCCATTTTCGTCATCGCCGGCGGCATTCGTCGCTATCGTTGAATCTCGCTACGCCCTCCCACCGACTACCAGACAGCAACTCACCGGTACAATAGCGCGCCTGCTCACAGACGCTCGAGCAGGACAAGTAAGCCACCCTGTCATGAAAGTGCTCTTGAAGAAAATCTATGCCCACGTTCTCGCTCGACTCGCGGCGTCGAGTGCAGAAGAACGCATTCGGACGAGTACTACTGCCAGTGAGGTCTTGGGATCGAGCGGGATGCCGGAGTCCGTGGCAAAGATTGGCGACATAGTACAAGAGCTGGGCAGGGTGGCAGATGTGGATCGGGAAGCTCATGGCAAATGGTACGATGAGGTTGCCAAAACAGCTACCGAGGAGTCTAATGAGTGAGGGAAACGATTCGTGTATCTGGTGTACATTCAAAGCAAGGAAGTGTTGCATTAAGAAGCTCTAGAGTCTTCGGTATTGGTTCTCCGGCTTGGAATGTCTCAGGATGGTAAATGTAGCGATGGTGCTTTAGGTGTTTGGCTTCGGGCTTTGGCTTTGGTCGCATGGCTTCGGGTGGTACATGGTACACATCAATCCCCTTGTTTTTAGGAAAGATACCAGCACGGCTCTCTTTTGAAAGGCATTGTATTCTAGTTTAAATCAATCTTTCAAAGCTGACCTCCGTCATCATAGACTCACTCCAGACATGTCCTAGCTCTTCGGCCTCAGAAACGCTACCCAGACCTACTTTACCTTCCTTGGCCCCGCTCTCAGCACCAGCGACCCGGCAGTTCCGTTCGAACATCCAGTAACCCAACCCAGGGCCTTGTGCTCATATCTGCCCTGAAGCGGGTGGGGCTCCGAGGTGCATTGCGCCGCTCCCTTGCGTGTAGTCGTGTACCCTTCCGGGCTGACGGTATCGGTATCGGATTCCTCGTCTCCATGCTTCTCCGTGCCGGTCCAGCGGTGGATCGTTGCCTCGACTCGTCTTCGCTGATCGATCACGGCGGAGCGGCGGCGGCTCTGACGGTCCGACGCACGCACTCACTCACTCGTTGAAGAGGCTAGGCTCTGATTGTTCGAGTACCAGCGAAAGGAAGACGCACCACGTACGAGGAGCTGGCGCGTCTGAACGGCGGCTCCTGGCGTAAGGGATGGAATATTGGCGATGTGTTTGATCAGTCGTTTCTGGGAGAAGTCACGGCATTGTCGCTTGGGATGGAGAGGCCGGGTTGGATTGCGAGCGCACAGCTTCTGCTGCTGGGAGGATGGGTCACGGAAGACGGGATTTGGTTTGTTTATTGAGAGGTTTTCGTGAAGGGAGAGGGGGGCGGCGGAAAAACGGATATTAAAGGAACAGTTCAACGTAGGAACTCGAGGAGCTGATCCGGTTTTTGCCGGCGCCATGGGTGGAGCACTTACCTCAGCGTGAAGAAGAATCAACGGAGTCACGGGCTGTGTTCTTTCCGGGGACTGTAATGAAAGCTGTTTGTCCAAAAGGTGCATTATAATCTTACGACTATTTTCACATCGTCAAAAGATACGAAGGTGAACACTGCCTATGATCATGAAGCCCAAATGGCCCATTTACAGCCACTAAAAGAATCGTATAGGAAAGGTGGAGAGCACGCTAGAGTCGGATCGGCCACAGCCGTTTTACGCACCCTCGGGCCGCTGGGTCGGGCGAAAATCGTGCGATCCTATTGGCTTACTGGGTAGAAGTGCTCTATTTCATAAGCACGCTACCGCAACTGCCCGTAAAACACTCTAAGCAATATCCAGGCAATCGAAATTATGACACCAAATTGTTTATATTAATGGATATTTTATGTGACTGATGGTCAAAATAAGAGCCCTTTTGTTTTCGGGGTCAAACGCATGCCCATTTCTTTTACTTGTACCATCTTTCTGCTTCTTCCATCCTACTGCTGCCATTCCTACTTCTGCTCCTTCCTCGGCATTGTGAACTCAGGTCCTAGGAATGATGCTATAGAGGCTTCTCGATTCGACCTCCCCTCACTTCTCTCCGCGACACTTCAACACCGTTGTGACCTCTCTGTTTTTTCCTGCCTCTGTTCATCTTGCGCCAAAGCACGCAAAGAAGCAGGAATTCTCAGCATTCCTTTTCACATTAGTCAATCGCCAAACGAAAATGCGTCCAACAGGTGACGCGCTTCTGAAACGGTGGCATGGAATGCTGGGTCTATCGCGGCAATCTCCCCCATCCTGGTACCGAGATCGACTTCGGGAGGAACTACAGGAACGCCGACTCGCAAAAACACGCTGGCAGAAGCTCAGCGAGGCATCAGACGTCTTCTTTTCCAGCAGTCGAGCTCGGTACGATGGATACCCAGTTCGGAGATTGCCCCCGTTTGTTATCTCTCGCCATGGCCTCGTATACACGTATATGCTGGCAAAGTTCACTTTACGCTGGAAATTCTACCGAACAGCCGCTATCATGTGCAACGCTCCTCATTACGACTCAGTGCGCGAAGTAGTGAATCCCAGCAAAGATCAGAAGCTTGAGGAAGTCGCTTCACGTCACCAGATTGACCCGGTGGCGTTTAAAAGAGTTGGTCGCCAACTGCGACAAGTATGGCCTCTCCTCCCGTAGAGATGTGCTTCCGGCGATCGTCAGACTCAGTCGTGGAAAGGCAATCAGGAGAATACCAAATGCACAGCCTATGGCTTGACGCAAATCTCTCGGTCTCTTGTAATACTTGTTCAGTCATTGCTCCATGCTCTGCCGTTTGCCGCTTCCACACCTCAATTCTCTACCGCCCTTTACCAGAGAGGCTGGGTACATGCGTGCAGAAAAGTGGGCTGCTGTAGCAGGGTTCTGCAACACGCTGAATTGATTGATTGATATCATGATTGCTTCGGCTCTTTGAGTCACTTGATTGCCCAGAAAGAATAAGGCAGCCCAGAGATCGATCGATCGATCTAGCCAATGCGGCCAACCTTCCAATTTACCTCCATCTCACCCTACATCAGCTACATCTAATAGCGACATATCTCATCGATTATCGAATTGGGTTTCCTACCCACCCTTCGGAGAAGACCCAAGGATTTAGTATGATGTCTGCCAACTGCGAGAACGCTTCAAGCAACGTATCGGGCTCAATGGCGGATCTTCAGCTAAACCAACCCACTACCCCTAAAAATCGGTCTGCTTTCGATCACAAAGCAGTAGTTGTCGGCTTATACGGAATTCCAGGCTCTGGCAAAACGTTTCTGCTGAACAAACTGAAGCAGGAGCTCGGACAGACGCAGTTCTCGTTCTACGAAGGCTCCGAGATGATTTCTACCGTTGTGCCTGGCGGTCTTGACGCATTTCAGAGCATGGAAGAACAAGAGAAGGCGCACTGGCGCCGGCATGCTATTGACGCGATTGGAAAGAACTGCGCTGACAGCGGACAAGTTGCAGTCGTCGCTGGACATTTCATGTTCTGGTCAGAGGAGCAGGAGGCTGGACGGCCAGTGTATACCCTAAATGACTTGGAGATATTTACGCACATCGTCTATTTAGACGTCCTCGCCGAGGTTGTCGAGCGACGTCGTCTGGACGACACCGAAAGGAGTCGCCCGTCCACATCGGCAAGCCATTTGCACAAGTGGCAGCAGGAAGAAAAGACTCAGCTGCGCGATCTCTGCCGCCGTCATGGCATTTTGTTTTCGCCCGTATCGCCATCTCCGACGCTGCTGAACAAAGTCTCGAGACTGCTACGCGAGTTCAAGTACCATAACGAGGAATACAACCTATCTCAGGCCAAAATCAAGCTAGACGATGTTGTTGTTGCTAATCAACGCCAGCTGGAGACAGTGTTGGTCATGGACGCCGACAGGACGTTGGCTGCAGAGGACGCAGGCGCATTGTTCTGGAAGAGGGTCTCAGACTCGCGGCCATTGCAAGGTGCAGCATCCACATTGAATACGTTATTCAGCAGCCCTTTAGGTCACTCATATACTGCTTTTCGCCAGGCCGTATTGATATATGAAGAGACCGCTAGTGATGAAGAGTTTGATACCCTTTGCCAAGAAGTGGCGTTGGCGGTGACCATGCATCCTGAGATTGTGTCACTGTTGCAACTGGTGGCAGAGCAAAAGCATGTTGGCGCGGTGGTGGTCACCTGTGGACTGCGTCGTGTCTGGGATAAGGTGCTGGAGAGAGAACGTCTATCGGAGAAGGTAAAAGTTATTGGTGGAGGACGCATTGCAGATGGGTTCGTCGTTTCAGCGGCAGTAAAGGGCGCCTTGGTTGCCCGTTTGCGAGAGGTCCACCACATGCGTGTTTGGGCGTTCGGAGATAGTCCGCTGGACTTGGACATGTTGCGCAAGGCAGATCGAGCCATCGTCGTAGTTGGTGAGGAACAGACCAGGAGCAAGACCATGGATGCGGCCTTGACAAACGCCATCGACTATGACGGCCTTCGGGCGCACCAGGCTGTACTGCCAAGCAATGCCTCACCACGGCTAGATACTACCAAGCTTCCCGTGATCAAGCTCACCGAGCCCGCATTCGTCAAGTCTCTCCTGTGCGACCGATATACACATGATGGTCTTCAAGTTTTTTGTGCCACAGATAGGAACGCAGCGAAGCTGCTCGCAACGCGGATGCGCGATGCAGCTGTTGCCGGCCCGGACCTGAGGGAAGCGCATCGCCGCGTCGGCTGGTATCTGGCGAATGAGTTCGTGGCCGATGTGATGGGTCTCGAACAGTGTCCAATTCGGCATGTCCTGGGCAATCAAACAAGAGGCTACCAGCTTTTTCACGAGCAACAGACAACGATCGTGGCGCTAATGCGCGGCGGAGAACCCATGGCTTCTGGCGTCAACGATGCCTTCCCGCTTGCCATGTTCCTCCATGCCAGCGATGCTGACGATATCAAGCTCCATCATTTGCAAGGACAGCTCACAGTGATACTGGTAGATTCGGTAGTCAATACCGGCAAGACAATTGTTAAATTCGTGCAGCACGTTCGCAAGCTTCATGCCACTATTCGCATCGTGGTAGTCGCCGGTGTCGTTCAGGCCCAGTGCCTTTCTGGGGGCAGTCTCAACCAGACACTCGCACGTTACGCAAAACTTCATCTTATTGCGCTTCGCCTTTCTGACACCAAATTCACTGGCAGTGGCACCACCGACACCGGTAACCGTCTGTTCAGCACGACGCATTTGTCCTGAAAAAATCTCCTATGGCAAGTACAAGGGCGCATAGATAGATATCAACTGGATGATCTCAACATTGTTGCCAGGTTTTGTACTGTAGAGAAAGTGACTGGGTGATCTCAACATCATTCCCAATTCTGTATCATGGAGAAAGAAGGCACAAGCTCTGCTGCTGCGCGTTAAATGGTTGAGTAGAACAGCCAGCTAAAGAGCAGAAGATCTACGATAAATTCTTCTCTTCCAACCCCATAAAGCTCTTCAACACATATTATTATAATCATTGAAGAAATGTCCCCTACTACGATGGGGAAGCCTGATTTTATATTTTTATCATCGAACTTCGATCGTGCCGCTTCGTAGTCCGCTTCGGCGTAAATTACCGCAGTGGTCAAGGTTCCACAACCGTCCGTTCCTGCTCGCATCTCCGTTCCAGCTACAGTGCCGCAGCTCTGGAAGTCTACTCTTCACCCTCCATGTACCGCTGGACAATAGCCCCGGTTTTGATATTGATTTTTCTAGAAAAGTCATGTTTGCAACCACGTTACTTTATGACAGCAGGGGTGGTGGGAAGATAGCATGCTTGGATGCGGAGCGGAGAGAGTTTAGAGTATGCACCACCATGGCCACCCGGCGTGCCTTGAATCCAACCGGAAATTTTACCGCAGGTAATTAGGTCTCCGGACAGAGCGAAGCGAACCTGTGAGTTCCTTGTTGGCAGCCGGCTACAGGCGCCATTTGGGGGGAAAGGTGAAAAAAAAGGACACCCTCAATAGCCGGGTCGAGTGGGAAGGAGTGGTTGGACGGGTTTGAGATGGGTAGAGTAGGGGTTGGAAGGTTGCACGGCTTGCTGATGTCCGACCCGTGCTCCGCTTTGGATGTCTAATACGTTTTGATGAAAAACGTTGACGAAAGGTGGCGACGTTTGAGTTGACGCTTCGAGGGTGGTTTCTTCTTCAACGGTACATTAGGTAATCGTATGGGAACACGTTACACTTAGTATGGGCCACCCCAACGCTAAGGCCACCCCAACACCAATTTTTTCAATAATTTAAACCATCCATCCCCCACCTATCTACCACAACCACAACCATGCCTGACTCATATACCGTTATTCAGGAACGTATCCAGAAGGCTTTAGCCACTATTGCCCCCGGAACAAAACCTAAAGTCACTCGATTGGCTGCTGAATTCAACGTGCCCTACGATCAGCTCCTAAATCGCTACAATGGGATCCCCCCAAAGACAGCCACTCTTACGCGCTCACAGATCATGAAGAATAGGCTCTTCATCAGTATATATAACGGCTCGATGGATTGGGAATATCTTATCGTCGTCCGATGCTTAAAAGAGCTATAAACTCTATACTCCGCGAGCGCCCTAGCCCCATTAAGTACGTGGGTAATTATTAGCCCACGCGATTTTTAAGCCGTAATCCTTAGTATAAAATGCGTAAATAAAAAGCCTCTTGTAGCTTAACGGAAGAATACGCATAAACTAGAAGCCATCTAGAACTGGTTTCAACGTTTTTAGAGTGTCTGTTAAGAGTTTAAAGTATAAATAGAGAATACCTACAACTTTAATGAGACTAGATTTCGAATTAAGATAGGCAAGAGTCAATGGGTTATTACAGAAAAAAGAGAACTTCCACTTTATTAAACGGATACGAATAATAGAGAGTATATCACGTCAATCGAGTGTGTTGGTGGCTTAGGTTATGCGCTTCCCTCGATACTAATTTTGGCTAGAAAAATAATATCTTAGCAATTGATTTTAAGAGAGCCTTAATCCCGATACTCTATGGGGTGTTAGTGATTTCGGATACGCAAATAATAATCTATATAAGACCTGGATTAAGTATTTTAATTATTTCACGAAGAGAAAGCGTATAGAGATATATAGGTTATTACTGTTTAATGGCTATAGTAGTCATCTCATCAGAGAAGTACTCAAATATATAAAGAATAACAATATCATTTCATTCTATTTACTCTCACACTCTTTATATCTATATCAGCTATTAGATGTGGATATCTTTCAGCTATTTAAACACTGATATATCGAGGTAATTAATACCGCAATGCGCTAAGCCAGCGGTGATTATTTAAAACTCGATTTTTTGGCTAATTTTCAAGCAATTTATAATTAAACCTTTATTAGATCAACTATTATATCTGGATGACGATAAATAAGCCTTTTTTCTATAATTCTACTATTATTTTAAATTATTTAGCTAGATTTTAGTGGAGAAACTCTTTAATAAGAGATAAGACTCTAGAGTAAGAGATACTCGATCTTGAAGACTGGCTAATATTATATACTTATTATTAAGTTATATAGTATAGAAAGAACTACGGGATATATATCTAATCGATTAATAGTTTAATAGGTATATTCGAGGGGTAGAAGCGAAGATGCTTTTAGGTCTACTCGTCGAGCGAGAATTAGATATTGTTTAATAGGCTATAGTAGTCTAAGCAGCTCGTAAAGTAGAGTCTAATACGATGGTTTAGAAGGAGGTGTTATTTACTCTTATCAGGCCCGGAATAAGATTACTGCACGCAAGGAAACGGAGGTTGTAAAGGCTTTAAAGGCTTTGAAGTGGGTAAATACCTAAGAGTCTCGGGCATATAATATACTTAGGAATAAGAAGATTAAGTGGTTTAAGGCTATTGTAACGAGGGCTAGATAGTTAATTAAGATTAGAAGGGCTAGAGAGGCTAAAATAGATGATAATAGTTTATAGTATATATATATGTGGATGGGTAGGTAAAATAATTGAAAAAATCCGTATTGGGGCGGCCTTAGCGTTGGGGTGGCCCATACTAAGTGTAACGTGTTCCCATACGATTAAGAGGGAGGTACTGGTATTTAGGGGGGGGAGTCTTGGCACGATCCTAGCGTGTGCACAAAACGTTACAATTCTTGGCGTTGATTGAGGGATTCTCTAGGAAGCGGTGAGTGTGGCACTACAGAACCAGAGGGATCTGCTTCTTGAAGTACGAAGGTAAATACTGCCCAAGGTAATGAGGTCTAAATGGCCCATTGACGGGCAGTAAAAAGTTGGCCTGACCTATCTAAGGTACATTGAGCATTTTCCTTGGATCTAAACTTGCCACCTCCGCACTTCGCACCTCTCCTTCAAGTAGCATCTCACTCATGATCTTCCCTGTTGCTGGACCGTTTTGAATGCCCCACGAATCATGGCCCGCAGCCAGCCACAAAGATCGTATACCTGTTGGTCCTACAAGAGGCCCAATGTCACGATTTCTGCCCTGGACAATGGGTCGGTAACAAGCCTGGTTGATCAAGACCTCCCCGTCCCGTATCTCGTGTGATATGCTGCTGATATCTTTGTAAATGATATCACAGACTTCTTGGTTAACATGTACCAAGTCGCTGGTCTCGGGCAATGGAACGTCGTCATCACTAGGCCCACATGAATAGATCGTTCCATCTGGTCGAGAGTATATCTCTGGAGGTATGCGTTTCTGGGGAACCTTCGGATGCAGCTCGGGAAAGAGCACATATGCCGATGTAGGATTTGCCGGACGAACGACGATGCTGTGGTTCCTCGACTCTTTGATGGGAGCGGCTGGATACAAAAATTTGGTCCATGGGCCGGTAGCAATCACGATATCCGTAGCTAGGAGTGTGTGCATTCCCGAAGTATCTTTCAAATTATAGGTCACCGACTCAGCCTTTCTACCATCCCGCGAGTAATTGATCGTCTTCACCGTGCCAAGAATGATCTTGACGCCTCTCTGTTCCGCTAAAGAGGCTATGCTGGTTGTGAACAGGTATGGGTGCACCTGTCCTGTGTCTTCCGGAGTTCCCAGCTCACTGTACGACGTTATGCTTTCAGGTATGATCCAATTCAGTTCCGGCGGAAGATCGGCAGCCTTAGGCGCAGACATAGCGTGAGGGTGGAACTGAGATCCATTCTGCTCTGTTGTGACATGCCCAACAGCCTCTCCCATGGCGTCCACGTCAGCACAATGAACGCTCCGATAACCCCAACGTCTTTGGCCGTTATGCTCCTCGGACAGTTGGGTGTGAAGCTGATGACTGAGCGGTGCGATACATTGTGGATCTGCCCATGTGGCAACAAGACCTCCCGCCTTGCCTGAAGAGCCGCCAGCAAGCTGACTGGCTTCCAACAGAGTTACAGTGTGAAATTCCGGGTCATACGATGGGTGACGGGTGATATAATAGGCGATACAGCAACCTATAATGCCACCCCCTTACCACAGTCAGTGAGACAAACGCTGGTGGGTGATGCCTAAGGCTTTACCAATGATCACAGTATGCCGGTTGTCCGACACCTCGTCCATGTCTTTTCTGGTTCAGATATACTTTATACTGAGGATTCGCTTTCTTTGCTTGTAGGTTGTAATTGCGGTACTTTGCGCAGCGCTCTCATGCTTGTGCTCCACAGATGACAGGACTGATTCGGCTCCTCTTATAATTGTGTCGGAATCGGCGGGGCTGTTTCAGTGTCAGTGCCAGTGCCATTGCCAAGGGTCTTAGCAACGGATTAGTAATAATTTAGTGACATCACCGGGGAGCTTCAGCTGGCGAATGAAACATGGAAGAGGTAAGGTAGTTGACGGTAGGGGACGGGCTTTGAAATTTGATTTGGCCACAATCAATATATCAAACTTGGCGCTCACCTGCAGGGAGCTGCTTCCATGGAAGATAGACACTTTTTCCTACTGAAAGAGGCTAGTCGCTAGCTGCCGATGAAGCCACCAAACCTGCCATAAGGTACCTAACCTTAGATAGCTAGCTACTCTACTTAATTACCTTATCTAGGTTAGGTACCTGTTCGTGGGACGGCAGACTAAAGTAGTCTCGGGCGTCTTTCCCCAACCCACTAAGATAGGTCAAGTACCTTACATGTAAGTGATCAACACAATCACAACAAGACTTCAGCACGTTCAGTCAAAGTTCCTCAAACATGAGCTGTCCGCTGCGTCTTTAACACACTCCGCCGAACATTATATTCGGTTCCAGAGTGCGGGATCTGCTTACCGATTGGGAAATTTACAGGCTTTATCTTGAGTCCAATCCATACAGTGTGTGACCTTTGCAGTGAAAAGATAGCTCGATGATTGCTGCCGAAAGGAATTTGATGTAAGATTATCTACCTACTCCGTACAAGCTGCAGGGTAAAAGTACCTTCATGAAATCTGTCGCACGCAAAACGCAACCATTCTTCTTTCAGGTTCTTAAGGCATGAGCGGCTAACGTCGAGTGCTCATTGGTGGCACCGCTCGCATTGGCTATCCGGCTTGCATAATTTCAGTGGCATTGCAACCATTGTAAAAATTGCCCCATGTACGAGTACGCCATGCGGCTTGGCTCAGCTGCCTTCCGAGCCACCCCTGGTGCTCCCAATGTGTGGCTCCTATCTGACCTTCGAAAAAGAGCTCAGGTATCTTTGAGCACTCCCTACAGTATAGTGGGATTTGACGTTCCTTGCGACTCCTCGCGTGCTGTAATTATGCTTTTGAAGCTACCCTAAGGCATGAAGTGAGCATGGTAGGTCTCGCCCACGTGTGCTTCTGGCTGGTCAAAGCTCTAATGGGATCGATAGGCTCCTGAGCCTGCGATCAGACTTGGACTCGAGCTTCTGTATAGTGCCCCATGTGACGGCGGTCAGCCTGGACCTCTTGTGGAGTACGCAAATCCAGATCGTTGCTTCTAATATTGTATCAGTATACTGAGTCATGATCTCATTAGCGTGGTGGCTATCCACGGCCTGGGAGCCCATCCTGACTACACATGGACTGCTGGCGATGTCAATTGGCTGAGAGATGAACATATGCTCCCACAAGCCATCCCAAATTCAAGGATATTGCGGTTTGGCTATGAATCTCAATGGCTGGGCAAAGAGGCAATACAGCAGAGGCTGCCGTTGGTCGCGGACCAACTACTGCGGAACCTGATGGCCTCACGAAAGGTGTGGCGCAATGTCCTATTTCCCCAGACTGGGATTGAGAATTCTCTTAGGAGTGTCCGTTGCGACCAATCGTATTCATTGGGCATTGTTTTGGTGGTATAGTCATCGAAAAGGTCTGTCATGCAGACCATACCGCTCAATCCGCTAGTTATCGATGAGATACTAATCCCTACAGGCTTTGGTATCCGCAAAACTCCACGAAGAAGACTATCCATGCATCATAAGATCTGTAGCGGGTATTGTTTTTCTGGGAACGCCACACCGCGGATCAAACTCCCACTCCAAGGCATCAGTGATCGCGAACATCGCCTCAGCTGTTTCCCTGGGAGAGCAAAGCAGCCTACTGAAGGCTGTTGAAAAAGACTCTGAGATGCTGGCGGATCTCTTGCATGATTTTACACGTACCGTCAATACCATATCGATTCCTCTGTTTTGTTTTTTCGAGCAGCACAAGTCAGATGTTGCAAAGGTCATAAGATTCAAAGGCTCCAAGAACTTGATGCCGAGTGTCAAGGTACGGCAACACGTCCTAGTGCGTCGCCACAACCAAAATTGATATACTTCTTGTAGGATGCAGTGGTTGATGAGCACTCCGGCTGCCTTGATGGCTATCCTAAACTCGGCCTAGCGAGTGACCACTTTCGGCTGAACAAATTCACCAACCCGGATGATGGTAATTATCGTCTGGTGTGTGAAGAGGTTGTGAGATTTGTTGATAGCGCGCCTGAGCGGATTAGTAGTCGACGCCCGGGTAAGTACTATATCTCAGTTTCGATTCGAGAGGACCAATGCTGATACTATATTTTCCGCCCATCATGCCAAGCTCCAGCGATTTCGACTCTCCTTATGTCAGATCGGCTTCGCAAACGACGAACCAACCTCGGAATGAAATCGAAGAACGAAATTCTACGAGCGTCCAGGCTTTGTTTGCCACGGATCCTGCCAATGACATGCGCATGATTGCAAACAAGAAAGACAAGCTATTAGACACCATAGACTCCTGGATCATGAAAGATGCTACCTATATCAAATGGCTGGTGGACGATCGATCACTTGTGCTATGGCTACATGGAGATCCTGGGAAAGGCAAAACGATGTTAGCCATTGCGTTAATTGAGGAATTCTCTAGAAAGCTCCGATTGGACCAATCTGCGAATGATACCGCCTTGCTCTACTTTTTCTGCGACAATCAAGACGACAGGGGTAGGACAGCGTCCCTCATCCTTCGTGGCTTGATATATCAAACTCTCTGTCAGCGTCCAGATCTCGCCGTCTACTTGCATAACGAGTACGAGAAACAACGCGAACAATTGTTCTCCTCTCCGAACTCCCTACACACATTGTGGCGGATATTCCAGACCATCATCGAGTACTCCGGCCTCCGAGAGATCTTTATCGTGATTGATGCCCTTGATGAATGCAACAAAGAAACAATGGAGACGTTCTTGGTGCTTCTTGAGCCTTACATCACAATCGAGGATGATGAGCTCGCTCAGAGTTTCCAGAAGGATCCGAGATGTAACATCAAATGGCTCTTGACGAGTCGAAACGAATTGATGATTAAGCAGCTATTGACAGGGTCACTAGACGTTAGTCTAGAGGAAAACTCTAGTCATGTTGATGAGGCTGTTTTGAAATTCATTGACGTCAAAGTGAACCAGTTGACCAGGGTGAAAAATTACGATGAGGCGCTTAGAGCAGTCGTGGGAGATTGCCTTCGTCAGAAAGCCGAGGGAACTTTCTTGTGGGTTGCGCTGGCCTGTCGTGAATTATCAAAACCCTCGGTATTGTCGATCAACACGGAGGAGACACTTTCTCATCTACCTTCTGGAATAACGCCTTTGTATACTCGAATCATGGATCAAGTCTTGACCTCTGGAGACGAGAAGTCGACTGTTTATATCAAATCGATTCTCCAGTCTATGATCGTGGCTCTGAGACCTCTTATGCTACCCGAGTTGGCTGTTGCTGCGGGCTTGCCAAAGCAATATCATCACAACCTCCACGTGCTCGCAGAATACGTCGACCAGTGTGGATCATGGTTACTATTCGGGAACGACAAGCTCACTTCGTTCATCTGTCGGCGAAGACCTATCTAAGACAGGCCCATTTCGTCCACTTGTCCGCCAAAACCCATCTTCTCGAGAATGGCATAGACAGTATTGTCTCTCACGACCTCCGTGCTGAGCACCGGAACATGGCCATTCATTGCTTCCAATACGTATGTGGCCAAGTACGCTCTGGTCCAAAGCCTCGTGATTCATCGCCATCCATATCATCACTTCGCAAAAACAGCGAGGTGGGGAAAGACCCAAGAGATGACATCTCATTCCTTGAGTATCCCATGCTTTTCTGGACAGATCACGCGCGAGATTCTTCGGATGATATCTGCGAACATTTTGACGTGCAGGAAGAATTCTTTCAAGCGAGATCAAAGGAATTCCAAGGATGGTTCGGCGCATACTGGGTCAAGACTCACGCTGAAAGCGAAAAGGTACCAGACTCGTTCACAGCAATGCATCTCGCAGCGTATGCGGGGCTTTCATGGTTGCTATCGAAGCTGATGGAGTCAGGTCGCGCGTCTGATATACACTCCCGTGACTCCCTCGGTAACCAGCCGCTCCTATGGGCTGCCATGAATGGGCACATCCAAGCAGTGCAATTTCTGTTGGCTCGCGGAGCCCAAACAGCAGCCAAAACAAACGAAGGTGTGACCGCACTTTACTGGGCAGCTAACAATGGACATGCGTCCATTATACAGCAGCTGTTGAACAAAAGTGCCAACTGCAGGCCCAAAGACAAAATTAAATGGACCCCGTTGCATCGAGCAGCTTTCAACGGAGACACATGGGTTGCACGCGTGATTTTAGATGGCGACGCGGATATTGAGGCGAAGGATGGTACAAAATGGACCACTTTGATGCGAGCAGCGATCAATGGGGATATGGAGGTTGTGCGACTCCTACTCGCAAGAGACGCAAATGCCAAAACTAAAGATATGGAAGGCTGTACTCCCATGCACCATGCAGCGTTGAAGGGCCATGCGTCAATTGTCAAGCTCCTCATAGAACGAGGCGCCGATTCAGAGGACAGGGATAACGACGGCTGGACAGCTGTGCAGCTGGCATCATGGAATGGCCATGAGAAGACGGTAAGATATCTGCTCAAGAACGGCGCAAATGTGCACTCCAGAGCAGATAATGGTTGGACAGCACTCTATCAAGCTACATGGAACGGTCACGCGACAGCGGTTGGACTTCTGCTCAAAGGCGGCGCGGACCCAAATGAGACTGATGACGAAGGAGAAACGCCTTTGCATCAGGCTGCCTGGCGAGGACATCCTGCAGTCACGAAGCTACTGTTGGAAGAAGATGCTGACATCAATTTGAGAGACCGTACTGGCCAGACAGCGCTTCATCAAGCCGCCAGTAATGGCTCAAAGTCGGTAGTGCAGCTGCTGCTCGATGAAGGAGCTGATCCACGTGTTGAAGACGACGATGACCGAAAGCCACATTCGCTAGCAGAGGAAAATTTCCATCACCAGATAGCCAAGGTCCTGAGAGATCGGGAAACAGAGGTCTATGGTCACGAAGTACTTCCTGACACGAACAATATTCCCCAAACATCCCTTCCTGATTCGCATGTGGATTCAGCGATCATTGCCATCCTCTCTGCAGATCCAGAAACAGCTGTGATTGAAGCGTATGGCCAGGCAGGATATTCTACTCCATCGAAGGTTACTACTGTCAAGGAAGGAAAGATTAGCGTCCATTTCATGAAGACAGGACCTGATGGCGAGATGTTCAAAGGTCGTACCACCTTTGTTCGGAGTACATGTTTTTGCTAGCTCACTGACACCTCGAATAGGAGAGCACGAATCGTTGACTGCCATTCACTCAGCCGTCCCTTCCCTTTGTCCTAAAAGCGTAGCCCATGGAAAGCTTTCGGATTCTCCCGGCTACTTCCTCCTCACCGAGTTCATCGACATGGAGGCTGTCGTTGATGGTAGTCAAAGCCGTGGTCTATCTCTTGCTCAAAAGCTTGCAAAATTGCATAGCTCCCCTACGCTGATTCCGGCAGGATTTTCCCGACCGGTTTTTGGCTTTCCGGTCATGACCTGCGTCGGTCGCACACTTCAAAATAATGCGTGGAGTCGTTCTTGGCCCAAATTTTTTGCCGAAAACCGTCTCCGCGCTGTCTGTAGCCTTGTTGAGAAAAACCATGGAAGCGACCCAGATCTGACCTCCCTGCTTGATCGGGTCGTCAAGGAGGTCGTCCCGCGGCTCCTGGGAGATGGACATTTGGGAGGGAGGCAGGGAGTTCAACCTGCGCTTGTCCACGGAGATCTGTGGTCTGGTAACAAGACCCGAGGAAGAGTCGGAGGCAAAGGCGGCATGGAAGAAGTCATATTCGATGCCGGCTCCTGCTTTGCGCACTCAGAATACGAACTAGGAATAATGAGAATGTTCGGAGGCTTCTCTGCTGGATTCTTCAACGAATATCATCGGCTGATCCCGAAGACGGTACCAAAAAACGAGTATGATGATCGTCTAGCGTTATATGGATTGTAAGGAATGCTCAGTCAGAACTCCTGTTCGTCGACAAGAACCTCAACCTAATTTTGATTTCAGGTATCAATGGCTAAACCACTACGCGCTGTTCTCCGGCGGATACAGAGAGGATGCGTTGGATTGTATGGAGAAGCTTGTCTCCAAATATGGCAAGGACGAAGGCGAGGGTGAAGGTTCATCTTCCTCCTAGGATGGGAGGCCCTCTTGCTCGTCGCGCCGGCTATCATCTGTCAAATCATGCACAGCCATCTCCGGAGCGAGCAATCTATTACTAGGTCAGGATGGAGTCCCGCGTGCGATACAGACAATTCTGTACTTTGAACAAGTACTGCTCGTTTTCTGATTCTTTATGATTCTATAAAGGTGACCTTGAGATCCATCAAAGTTAGGATATCGAGAGTCAAGAAGTCGGTACGTACGCAACACGTTCAACTCCAAGAACATCAATCAACGTCTTCCCACGAAGCGATATCATATCGTCGGTCAGAGAACGGTGGTCCCGATTGGCTTTCTAGTCGATTATTGCAACTTTGTGTTAAAGCCGTCAACAGCAGTGATCGGCCTTCGTCCATGCAACTTTGCCATGTGAAGAACACCGTCTGCACCATTACGCACGGTGAAGGCGTACGACCGTGGGCGACAATGACACTGCCTTCACCGGACCGCCCTACTTGTACTCCAACATCCGGCAAGGTGCCAAGCCTTCACTTCTCACTCGCCTGCAATTAAAACTCCCATTGTCTCCATTTCTCGACCAGTCTCCAACTTACGCCTTTGCCATCTTCTCATCTTCTTATATAGGATCAACCATCGACGCAACGATGTCGTCGGAGGTATCATTTGAAACTCCTTACGACGTCTCCGCTCTTCTCACGCAGATCGCATCCAACGGCGGTGATCTGCTGAAAGGCGGTGAAGAAGCACGTCGGGCATGTCTGATTGCCGCACGCAAGCTTCAATTTGCGCTCGAGAAGCCCACCGAGTCTATCTTGCGAGCCCGCGTTGCAGAGGTAGGAGCAGCACCCTTCATCGCATGTTAGACTGCAAAGCTGACCTCTCACGAATCGGGCAGCCAGCTCATCATGCTGCTTTACGCATTGCTGTCGACTTGGGTCTCTTCCAGAAGATGGCCGAGAGCGGGGAGAAAATCACGAGTGTCACGCATTTAGCTGCATTGACGGACGCTGATGTTGTGCTTTTGGGTATGTGATCTGGAGGAGTGTGTTTTTCCTCGACCCCGCCCAGCTAACACATCTTCTTGTACAACAGCGCGCTTGATGAAGCATCTTGCCTCGATGGGAACGTTGTACGAGGGCGAGATCGCTGGTACTTATTCCTTGACACCCCTTTCTAAGGCTCTCTCCCAGCACAAGAAGTTCCAAGAGGCCATTCCTTTAAGGTCAGTGAGCCACTTCTAATCAGCGGTATGCGTCAGTGTCGCCAAATCTTCGCTAATGCTCACCATCACACAGCTTCAACGTCATCGGCCCCTCCTTCGCCGCGCTCCCCGAATACCTCCAAAAGACCTCCTACAAGAATCCGCACGAAGACCTCTCCCAGACCCGCTACAGCAAGGACCACAACCGATACTGCGGCCCTTTCCAATTCGCGCACAACACGCCCAACGATTTCTGGGAATGGATTGCCTACCGTCCAGAACGCGTGTGTCCTTTTAACAACCAGATGAACGATCGGGTAACCGGACTGTCGAGCTGGGATGATACGCAGCTGCGTCCTTTGGAGGAGAAGCTGGGAAAGGAGGCGGGTGATCAGGATGTGCCGGTGCTGATTGTGGATGTGGGTGGAGGGAAGGGACGCGATTTGAAGGCGTTTCATGAGAAATTCTCTACGCTGCCTGGACAGCTTGTACTGCAGGATCGAGCGAGTGTGCTGGATGATGAAGAGGTGAAAGGGTTGGATGACAAGATCAAGGTCATGGAGCATGACTTCTTCACTCCACAGCCCATCAAAGGTTGATCTTCCCCATCCACCCAATCCGTGGGGACGCAACACCAGGACTGACCGGGATGCACAGGCGCACGAGCATACTACCTTCACTCCGTCCTCTACGACTGGTCCGACGAGAAGTGCGCCGACATCGTCGCCAACCTCAAGCCTGCCATGACCAAAGGCTACAGCCAGCTACTCATCACCGAGCATGTCATCCCCGACTATGGCGCGAACTGGATCAGCACCACGCTCGATATGATCATGATGTGCTGCTTTGCGGGTGCCGAGCGTACAGTCCGGGACTGGGAGACGTTGCTGGGGAATGCTGGATTCAAGATCACGGGCATCAAAGGGTGTGAGCCGGGTACTGAGAGTTTGATTGAGGCGGAGTTGGTTTGAATTGGATTGAATTGGAAGTGGAATACATGCGACTTGGAAGGCTTGATGGAGGATGTGCCTGAGAGCTAAGTCTAAAGTCGGTTCATGGATTCATGACATTGATACAGATCATGAGATATTGACACCCCAATACACGATTCATGATATCGACCATTACTATATGGATTAACAACCTGCTCTGGCCGTAGATCAGTGGGTTCGTTATGAACGTTGTTGGGGGTAATTGGTTCGTATTAGGTTCGATTCTAATGGCGCTGGTACAATGGTGTTGCGGTGCTTTTATTTTGTGTGAACATACTCCAGGCGAGGATTCTGGTGTGGGATTAGGCTCCGGACCAGGCTTCTTTGTGGCCTCAGAGGGCTTTTGGAACTAGTCTCAGAAAGGCCCCACGCAGTGGTCGAGGAGGAAACCCTGCCAAGCCTCATTTTTTTGGTGGTTTGGCTGATATGAGATATTCACCCCTGGGTATATATTAGCATTGGTAGGTTTCGGGGTAGCTTTGACCCGGAGCGAGCTACCCCGAAGCTACCCCGGAATTATTCTAAAGAAACTTAATAATCTATAACTTCGATATATTATTACTCGATAATCGAACCATCATTTTTTATAAAAATTTATAAATATATTCTTAATGTATATAATAATAATATATCAAATTTTCTAAACTTGAAGTTCGAAGTCTTTAAAGTTATTAAAGCTTTTTAATTTTTTTCTCTAAAAATCTTAAAATAATATAATAATTAAATAAATTCAAAAAATAATATTAATAAAACTTTATATATCTTTACTTATATCTATAAATTATTAAATAATAATTTAAAATTATAAATTATCTAATAAATTACTTAAGATAATAGCTTAGAAAAATAAATTTCAAGTAAAAATTTAATAAGTATTATTTTAAAAAATCTAGCCGGGTATATTCTATAATAATATTCTAAAATAAATTTATAAATATAATAAGTATTTTAAGATTATTCTTTGAGGTTTTAATAATACGCGTTAAAGAATAAGAGGGGAATTAAAGATATAGTTTTTAAAACTCTAATTTAAATCTTCTAAAAATAAATAATTAAGCTATTTTATTAAAAATCGAAAAAAAAATCTAATTCTACGATATTTAAATAGTTATTTTATAAATTTTTTTTATTAGAGTTCTTAGTAAAAAGTTATATATAAAAGAAACTATTTATTTTCTATTTCGATTAATTTTAATAAGGATTCTATACAAAATAACGATTAATATAGCGATTTTAGGGTTTTCTACTTAGACTCTAAGAGAAGAATATAACGAATTTTCGGCCCGGAAAAAAGGTTTTTCGACCTATTACTACTACTAACCCTTTCGAATAGAGTTTAAATATTAAGATTACTTTGAAACCTTCTTAATATAATTAACGTTATTAGAAATCTTAATTCGAGGCGTGATTATTTCATAGTATACTTAAGCCTTATGTCTTATAGGAAAAAATATTAATAACGTTCTCTTTTAGAAGTCTTATCGATTAAATCTTTTAAAACTGATCTCGCGCTTTATAGAGTATATTCTAGATATATCGTAACTGTAAATTAGTCTTAAAAAGGTCTTACGCAGTAAGTCTAAGTAGGAAACTCTATCAAGCCTCGTTTTTTTGATAGTTTAGCTGATATAAGATATTTACCTCTAAGTATATATTAGTATTAATAAGTTTCGAGGTAGCTTTAACTCGAAGCGAGCTACCTCGAAACTATTCTAAAGAAACTTAATAATCTATAACTTGATATATTATTACTCGATAACGAATTATCACTTTTTATAAAAATTTATAAATATATTCTTAATATATATAATAATAATATATCGAATTTTCTAAATTTAAAGTTCGAAGTCTTTAAAGTTATTAAGCTTTTTACTTTTTTCTAAAAATCTTAAAATAATTAAATAATTAAATAAATTAAAAAATAATATTAATAAAACTTTATATATCTCTACTTATATCTATAAATTATAAAATATTAATTTAAAATTATAAATTAATTAATAAATTAACTAAGATAATAGCTTAAATAAATATATTTTAAATAAATATTTAATAAATATAAATTTATAAAAACTGGCCGGGTATATTCTATAATAATATTCTTAAATAGACTTATAAATATAACGAGTATTTTGATATTATTTTTAGAATTTTGTCGGTATATATTAAAAAAATAAGAGGGGGGTTAAAAGTATAGTTTTAAAACTCTAATTTAAATCTTCTAAAAATAATTAATTAAGCTATTTTATTAAAAATCGAAAAAAAAAATCTAATTCTACGATATTTAAATAGTTATTTTATAAAAGAGTATTTTTTAATTAGAGTTCTTAGTAAAAAGTTATATATAAAAGAAACTGTTTATTTTCTATTTCGGTCAATTTTGGTGAGGATCTTATACAAAATAACGGTTAATGTAGCGATTCCGTGGTTTCCTACTCAGACTCTATAGGGGGGGTATAACGGAATCGGCTCGGCAATATAATGTTCCGGCTCCCCTCAAAAATGTAGAGTCTGAGTACTGAGGCTAGCTGTAAATATCTCTTGGATATCAAGGATGCTTCACAACTTCAAAGACCGCTACAGTAGAGAGTTTCAGACCACTTTTTTTTTGCTGTGGAATCGTGGAATATTCAGACTTTCAGCTATGACAAAATGGATTAGTCTGAATTGGTCTGAACACCCCCACTATCAAATAGGCTTCTTTGGTGGATTTGTGATAAATCCGCTTAGTCATTGCCCGAGAAAACCGTGTAATCTTCCCCGTATCTAATCCTTAGGGATTAACCTTAACCCTAACTTACTCGTAAGGGCTTTCTTTCGCGCCATTGAGGGGGGGGGGATTCCGCGACGGCGTGGTAGGAACGACGGTAGGAGCGACGGTAGGAACGACGGTAGGAAAGACGTAGACGTGTGGGAGGTGATAGCAATGGGAGGTAATAGTAGTAATGGGAGGTAATAGTAGTAGTGGTAAGAAGGAAGGCCTTCTAATTGAATAGATTTGCTACGAGATGTAGAATATCGACACGAGAAATCTATTAAATGGGCCGATTTTCTTCACCAATGCTACCCCAGGGTAGCATTGGTGGATGGCGTGGATTTTTCAGATCGTGGGAAAATGAGCGATTTGCCACCAACGGTTGGTGGCAAATCGCTGAAATTCCCACGATCTGAAAAATCCACACCTAAAAAAAGTGGTCTGAAACTCCCTAGTATTTGTTGATAGAAGATGTCCGGCGCCTCATGTTTTAGTTACTCATCTTTCCCTGCATGAACTCCAAGAACGTCGAAGCCGTTAGGGTTAGGGTTAGAGTACGGCTACTAGACTAGCGGTCGAGGCAGACTTCCATGCCGGAGAACGTCATCACAACCACAAGCATCGGCATGTCTCCCATACTTTCCTTCTATGACTGTCGAGCTCTTCTGATGTTCAAGCTCCTTTTCTTTTCCTTTATTCCTCGTCTCGATCTTCAACCTCCTTAGATATTCAGTCTCTATTTCTCCAGTCATCGCCTTCAACAATCATGTCTGATCCAAAGAATCCTAACATTGACAAGAGAAGCACTCCTCAATATGCCTTGTACCAGAGGGAAAACTTTTGGAAGACTAATACCGGGGAGGTGCCTCCGTTCAATACTGGTCGGGTTCCCCTTCCTCCAGGAGCGTACTGAGCGGCAATTGACATTCCTTCTACAGAACCTGGCAAGCTAGAAGAACTGGCAAAAGCGAAGCTCACAGAAGGTGGATGGTATGCACGAGAACTCTGTCGTTGTCTTGCAGCCCAGTTGACATGGCCGAATAGGTACTACGCTTCTTCAAATGCCGGTCAATCCTACACTCACCTTGCCAACCGCCAGGCTTTCTTCCGTCACCGAATCATTCCCAGGCAATTGGTTGACACGAACCTACGGGACACCACCACTACCATCTTTGGCCATAAAGGTATCAAACCTCACAGTTTCCAAACGAGCTCTGGTCTGACACATCCTCAGTGAGCGCCCCCATCGGCTTCGCTCCTATCGGCATCAACGTCATCTACAATCCGCTCGGCGAGCTTCCAGTAGCCAAAGTGGCCAAAGAGCTTAACCTCCCATACGCACTCAGCACAGCCGGCAGCAACCCCATTGAAAAAGTGGCCGAAGCAAATGGCCAAGGTCCTCGTTTTTTTCAGCTATACATGCCACACGATGACGAGTTGACCGTTTCCCTCCTTACGCGAGCCTTCAATTCTGGCTTCGATGTCTGCATACTTACTACAGATACATGGCAGCTGGGTTGGCGACACGACGACGTCGCTACGGGCAACTATGCTTTCTATCATGGTATAGGTGCGGACCTTGGACTCAGCGATCCGGTCTTCCAGAAGCGACTCAAGGAGGCAGGCATTGACCCTGTGAAGCAGCCGAACGAAGCCGGCGCTATGTGGATCGACAATGTCTGGCATGGACGCGCATGGAGCTGGGAGAAGATCCCATGGTTGATCGAAACATGGAAAAAGATTAGCGGTGGTCGACCGTTTTGTTTGAAGGGTATCCAGAGCGTCGAAGATGCGAAGAAAGCTGTGGAGGTGGGCTGTGATGGGATTGTTGTGAGCAATCATGCTGGAAGGCAGGTCGATGGCGCAATCGCCAGTCTGGACGCGCTTGAGAACATAGTTGCCGCGGTCGGGGACAAGACATATATCATGTACGACAGCGGTATCAGAGGTGGATCTGACGTGCTCAAGGCTCTTGCTCTGGGAGCAAAGTTCGTATGGGTGGGAAGACTTTGGGTTTGGGGATTGAGTATCATGGGGGAGGCGGGCGTGAGACATGTTATGAAGAGTTTGCTGGCCGACTTTGACATTCTGATGAACGTGGGTGGATTTCAGAACATTGAGCAGATTGATCGGACTGCGTTGGGTGAGTGCTTCCTTGACTGTGTGATGGACGAGAGATACTGACTTCTTTGCAGAATCTTATCCCAAGGCTTATGCGATGATCGCGGAGAGGTCAAAGCTATAAAAACATCTATGATGGAGTCCTCTTGAATCAGAAACGCTGCTCAAGCCGGGTACCTACCCGTAAGCCCCCGCCAAACCATCTCTCTCTTTGGCTTCAAATTCTCGACTTGAAAGATGTTTAGCATCGTCTCATATGTATTTGAATCTTCGGGGCTCACCCGCTGTCTCATTTTTCCATGTCATGATATTGGAGTCCTTCCTTGCTGCTAGATGCTATACAATTCATCACGGGATTGACATCGGTCTCAGGCTCAATATTCGTTTTCAGCTCCTTCACGACTATTGCCAGTGGATCCTTGTTGTCCTTTCGACGCGTACTCATGTGTACTCTACTTGACCAATCGTCCTTATCATCTCATCTCATGGAATTTTTGTAACTCCGCCTTGACGCCGACGAATCGCGGAGTTAAGGGTCTCGGGGTCTCTATCTCCCGACGCATTGGCACCGTGTAGTACTTGCTGCACGTCTCATCTTCCCCGCCAGCTTTTGGAGTCTTTTCTACCCTCGACGATATCCGTCCCTTCCATTGACACTCTTGGCCTCCACATCCAGCTCTCCTTTCAACCAAGCCGACTCACCCTTCCCCAACACTACATACAACAGTACATTGCCAAGTCTCCGCTACCATCCTTCCACCTCCACCATGGCCCGAGAATATGCCACTCGGCAGCCGCAAGGTTCTAATAAGGATCATTTGGAAAAAGTCGCCGTCGTTGGGGGAGGTCAGCGTTCCCTATAATCCCCACCCCCTTTTCCATTCCCATTTCCATTTCCGTTTCCGTTTCCGTTGCCATTTCCATTCCCATTTCCGTTCCCATTTCCGTTGCCCATGCCCATTTCCGTTGCCATTTCCGTTGCCATTTCCGTTTCCATTTCCGTTGCCATTTCCGTTGCCATTTCCGTTGCCCGTTGCCCGTTACCATTTCCGTTGCCATTTCCATTGCCCATCATTTCCGTTGCCCTTATTCCCATTTCCGTTGCCCATCCATTCCGTTGCCCATTGTCTCCATTTCCGTTGCCCTTGGTCGTTGCCATTTCCGTTGCCATTTCCGTTGCCATTTCCGTTGCCATTGATCGTTGCCATTTCCGTTGCCATTTCCGTTGCCATTTCCGTTGCCCATGCCCATTTCCGTTGCCATTTCCGTTGCCATTTCCGTTGCCCATGCCCATTTCCGTTGCCCTTGGTCGTTGCCATTTCCGTTGCCCATACCCATTTCCGTTGCCATTTCCGTTGTCCATTTCCGTTGCCCGTTACCATTTCCGTTGTCCATTTCCGTTGCCATTTCCGTTGCCCATGCCCATTTCCGTTGCCCATGCCCATATCCGTTGCCCATGCCCATTTCCGTTGCCATTTCCGTTGCCCGTTGCCATTTCCGTTGCCCGTTGCCATTTCCGTTACCATTTCCGTTGCCATTTCCATTGCCATTTCCGTTGCCATTCCGTTACCCGTTACCATTCCGTGTTGCCATTTCCATTGCCCGTTACATTCCATTACCATTTCCGTTGCCCATTTCCGTTACCATTTCCATTTCCATTTCCATTTCCGTTGCCCGTTGCCATTTCCGTTGCCATTTCCGTTGCCATTTCCGTTGCCATTTCCGTTGCCATTTCCGTTGCCATTTCCGTTGCCCATGCCCATTTCCGTTGCCCTTGGTCGTTGTCCGTTGTCCATTTCCGTTGTCCATTTCCGTTGTCCATTTCCGTTGCCCGTTTCCGTTGCCCGTTTCCGTTGTCCATTTCCGTTGTCCACATTTCCGTTGTCTATTTCCGTTCCGTTGCCCAAACCCGAAACCAATCCCCCGGCGGCCACGTCGGCAAAGCCTTCATAGAGGAGCCGCTCCAAACTCGGACAAAGCATAACGTCACCCGCGCCCAACAGCCCCAACACCGTCCCCCCACCGGCCCGGCCGTCCAAAAAGGTCGACGTCGGCACCGTCCCCCTGACGAATCAGACAGACATCCGTTTCGCGGAGCAAAGGGACCCGTCTCGTCTCATCCCACCCACGAAACACACGTCTTCCATACGGAAACCCGAACTTTCCGCATCGAGAAGAACAGCCAGCGGACGCCGCGACTGCGCGGTACGGGGCCGGGGGGTGGAGGAGATGCGGAAGGGGGGGACGTGGGCGGGGTTCGTGTACGCGGGCGTCTTCTGCGGGACTTTCGAGGCGGCCGAGGGCTTTGCGGGATGCAGGGGCTGGGTCTGCTCCGGGGAGGAGGTGGACGAGTACTAGTACACGAAGGTTGCGGTGGGAGGGGGGCAACGGCTGATGTAGATTTCTGAGGAAGGGAATTGGGGGGATTGATCTCTACTCGGACATGATAAGCTGATAGCGGGGAGTTATTCTGCTCGAGATTTATAGTGGTAGAGTTACTGGAGGCTCGAGAACAAAGGTTGGCAGGGAGATTGATAGATCCTGAGAGGCAATACCGAGGGTCAGTGTCTTCTTTTGTCTCGAATGATTTGTACTAAAACGACTGCCTTTCTTTTCAATGGACCTAGCGCTATACAGCGCAACACTCATCTCAATCCAATTCCATGCCACCGCCACTCTCCGAGCCATCGTTCTTCAAAGCCTCCACGAAATCCGAGTTGGCTAATCCGAAGTCCTCGCAATGCTTGAGCAAACGATCCGCCCTGGCACCCTGGGCGCGCTCCTTGATTCCATTCACGTTGTCGACCCTGATATAGGTGGCTGACCAGCTTCGCGAGATCAAGAAGTCTTGGGCCATGCTGTGAAGGCGGTCGAGCATCCACATGTTCGTACCGTCAAGTAGGTCCAGTAGCTCATCCAACCTGTCTGCAATCTCGGTGTTGTTTTCAGGGTCCTGCAGTTGTGGCCATTCGAATTCTCCGGTATACGCAAAATCGATCATTTGAGACAACGTGGTGGCCCGAAGCTCTTCGAGGTGGACGATCGCTTGGTGCTGCAAAAGGCGGCCCCATTCGCCGGCGAACTGCACTTTGCAGTATTTGGAAACTGCTGCTAGGATAATCTTGTGGGCCGGATATTGGATACCTTCGGCTTCAAGGACAACGTCAGTCAGCTGGCGTTGATCCCGTAGGCTACGCATTTCAGCCATTGCTGCGGCCAAAGAAAGCTCTCTAGTATCCGCTGATGGTCCAGGGGCCGCTGGGGTTGGTTGTTTTACTGTTTTACAGCCCAAGCCCATCAAAAGCTTTTCATATGGAACGAGAAATTTCTTGGCCGTTTTCACGGGTAGTGGATCGACTTCGCACATGGGTCAGTTCAATAATTCGTGCATGCGGAAGTGTTTTGCTTACCGGGACAATTCAAGCAAAGCAACTTTGCGGATGTTGGACACTGCAGGCTGTCTTTGGGTACAAGCTCGACCTGTGTAGCGTCCAGATTGAGCCAAACACGGGCCAGGTGAATACCAGGTATAAGCTTCGTAACCTCGAGTTCGTTTTGAAGATGCTCATAACACGCCTGGACATCACGAAGGTATTCCGAAAGGTCATACTGTGTGACTTCCTCGATGATGGCCATCAAGATGAGGAGATGCTCGTATACTTTCGCGGCAGGTGGGATTCCGCCTCGTGGAAGTCTTTGATAAACGTACGAGCAAGGGGGATTTTGCAAGAAGTTGGTTTGACTCCAGGCAATGCGGACATGGCCAAGGTCGCCTGCCTCTTCCAGAGCACAATGAGTTTTCTCACGTTGCATGCGAGTCCGCCGATAGCTGCTCTCGTTTGGGGAGACATCCCGCACACGGAACATCTGAGTTCTCGAAATCTGAGCCCAGTTGGACCAACTGCGGAATTCCTGTCGATCGAACTGCAGATACTCTGACACTGTACGAGCATCCTCTTCAAACATCTGAGTCGTATTAGCGGGGTCCCACCGTCGATTGATGGCTAGGGCACATTCCAGGAAGTGCTCTGGGATCATTGCGCCGGTAGGTGGCCGTGCTCGTAAGCCACCGGATAGCCAGAAAGTGTTGAGCGAGGCGGCGCGGAAGTCTACATGTAGGAACCGAATGTTTTCTTGGTCTCGAAAAGCTGCCTTGAAGATTCCATCCTGGTGATCATAGAGGCTGTAAACTTCGCATAGGACGGAAGCCCCGTCGGGCGCCACTTTCCCAGAGGGTCTCACACCATGGGCCGCGAGGTGTTGTATCATCTCAAGATACCGTTCTCTAGAAGCTTTGACCTTGACATTTGTAGGGAGATCTGCCTTGATCAGATCCCATGTTTGTTGGGCTGTCAACGACACAATGTGCAGTTTCGAGAGCGCCTGTCTGTTCGAATTCACCAGCTTTGGGCTGACAAAGCTTGCAAGATTGTTCACCCATGGCAACAGCAACTCTGTATGGCCACAGAAGTTGGCGTCTTCAGCAGCAATATGCTGAACCGACACCCCTGAGTCTGACGACCTCAGCCGACGCCAGACGGGAAGGCTGCGGAGAAGTGTAACATTGGAAGGACCCCCTATGTTCACGTGGTAGAGCAATAAGGCTTGTAGGATTTCTTTCGAATCAAAGTTTAGGCTCTTCCCCACGAACATCTTTGTTGGCGTTTTAGTCGTTCTTTCCAATTTCTCAAAAGCTTGTAGTAGACGTACGAAAGAGGCAGTGCGCTTGAGATCACCTTCTGTCTCTAAAAGGAGAAAAGGTACGCACTTTCGGTCGATAATTTGGAGACCTGGAATCTGCTCACAGAGTCTGCGTTGCTGGTCGTCTAGCGGTTCAATGACGCAAGGCTGAGCCTCGAACTCGCGCGGCGTTAGGTAGCACCATTGTTTGTTGGACCCGAATCGGTAGATCTTACGGTCCTGAAGGCCACCCTTAGCCAGCATTGTGTCCGAGGATACCTCAAAGGATGAGGCCAAAGACCATCTGGCGGCGTGTAACACACGCATTTTGGTGTTGACATATAGCCAAAGCTTAAGCATCCACGCATCGCGGTCATCGAAAGCGATCGATGGATTTGTGGGCGATTGTGGTCGTGCTAAAAGGTCTCCCAAGTCAGAGAAGTCCAGTTTCCGGACATTGAAAGAGGCTTTCAATAACATGCCGACCAAGTCACTCGCATCCTGGGACAACTCTCTGTTAATCATGGAGTCCGAAGCGAATCCAAAGAGGTCTTGCTCTTCGGTTGTCGCAACGTAATTACAATTTGAGCCTGGCGGAGCGTTCCAGAGGAGGAGCCCTAATGGTGCGTCAAGGTTTGGCCGAGGCAGCACTCTGCATCCGCCGAGAATACTCATTGGAGTCGTGTCAGTCCCGTCAGTCTGGGGTACCATCGTCTTGAGTAGCATTGCCATCGCTGCGCGTTTTCTCTCCTCGTGGCCAAGCCCGCGAATAAATTCCTCTAGTATTTTGCAGTTGTCATCATTCCTGAAAACCTGACAAAGGTAATCTGCGTGCAACTCCTTCGATAACCAAGCCGCTTCAGCAGCTGCTCGCTTATAGTCGGGCCACAATTTTCGGGGGAGGCGAACGAGAGTCGGACATAATTTGACAAGGAGCGGTCGAAGAGCTTGGGAGACGTCATCAGGAAGGAAATCAAATCTTGCTTCTGCCAGAGAGACTGCCTTTTTTGACACCTCATTGCCCACAAGCAGGCCATCTTGATGGTCTGATGTATAGTCTTGTGCATTGATTGGAAATAGAGAGTCAAGCTTCCGGCCCCGACTCAACAGGCTGTTCCAGAAAGCTCTGCACAAAGTTTCCGAGAGGGAAGGCGATGAATGGTAGGTCGTCATTGATGGCCATAAATCAAAAACTTTCTCACACATTCTTGGTGCCAAGTATTGTAGAGTTTCCACGTAGAGACTGGTCACAGCTGTCGTCAGGAGCCATTTGTTCCACGCAGAATTCTCCGCAGTATCTTCTAAGGCGATACTTCTGCGATCTCCAGTAACCGCGAAGCTGGCATGGAACGATACAGGAAGCGACGATGCCTGACCTGTAGGGAGTCTACAGAAGACTTTATGGTCGACAGTTTGGATCGTGCCAGACTCGACATCCGAAGACTGCCCGCTCATGATAACACCTTCTCCAACATTAGGAATAACAGTCCTCACACTCTTCAGACAAGCTGCAATGCCACATTCCGCGGATTTCTCGGAACCTCTTCCAACTCTCGTGATATCTGCCGGAATCTGAGTTATGTTTCTGCGGCCGACACACCAATTGTCTACCTGCTGGAGTCTGCCTCCTTGGATGCTTGTAATTTCAACGTCTTGGCAGGTATCACTGTCTTGGCATGGTGAACGACGGGCGATGACAGACCACTGTGGATCCTTCTGGTCCCGAGTGCGGAATTCGACCGACTCAACATTGCGGAGAAACAGCAACGCCGTACGGGCAACAGCCAAGTAATCTCTGAGAAGCGATCGTACTGCGACAGCGTCTACATGCTGGACATGGTCTTTCAAGAGGGTCTTTGCCCCGACTGCACGGAGAGGAAAGCGGAAAATCGTACCCTCGTAGTGATTCAAGTTCGGAGCGAAGTTGTACAAGCCCGAGAATGGGGCCAACTGATCCGGCGCTAGACGGTTCACAGCCGAAAGAGAGATCTTTGTTCCCACCTTGCGTTCGCGGCGTCTGTTGTAGTTTATAGGAAGGACCTTTTGCTGCGGGTCAAGGACCAGAAAGGAGTCACTGGAAAGCAGCATCGGCACGTCCGTGAAGTGATACATGCTTAGTGCTCCTCGCCCGAACATTCCCGTTGAATGGATGTCGTCTTTTTTGCCACCTTGTCCAATGTCTTTGAACCCAGCAAAGTCCTTCTTGGAGAAGACAGCATCGTTGCTTACTAATAGCGCTGCTCCTTGGAAAGGCTTCAGCTCGCTGGTCAAAAGAGACGAAGATCCATAGGGCTTTTCGCGGCACTCATCCAGTATCCAGGTAATCTTGGTTGCTCCAGCATCGTCGGCGTTTGCCAGGAACTCATTGAACGTCGATTCAACTGGATATCGCTCTAGTGTATCGGAAATCACTGTGCTGAGCTTCTCTTTTGGAGTATAGTCGTTCTCGTCTTCGCTGTCAAAATCGATCTTGAGCCTAATTGCTCTCTTTAAAGAATTCTCAACATCAAGCCGGCGCGCCAGATCGTTAGAAACTTCAGGATGCGTGAAGTTGAAATCAGCGATATCGCCAGTACTCAATGGATCTCCATGTACAATGTCTTTGAGTTCCCTTAGAATCATGGTCGCATCTGGTATCCGAAGATCCTGAGGATCGTATCCTAGACGCGTGGCGATCTCCAGAGTGGCAATCGCTATACCGAGATCAGAGTTGCTTAAATGACCCTCAGTGGTCTTATTGAGAGAATTTTGAACGCTTTGAAGATCCTGTGCCGACGGTTGTGACCGAATATCCAGTCCAATTACTAATCTGTCATGATCTTTCGCAAATTTGGCATCCAGTTCATCGAGATAAGGGGCCAGGGACCGCGATCGCAACTGACTTCCTGGTAAGAACACCTTATCTGATGTAAAGTACTCTCCTGAGCGACCGAGAAAGCATGGCTTCATTGCCAAAACCGAGTATTCACCCGGCTCTATCTGGCGGAGAACTTTATTAGCTTTGTCATAGTCTTCCATTGCCAGGCAGAGGTCCAATTGTCGCAGAAGCATTGTTGCTGGGATGCTTTGATCCCAACCTGGTAAAGTAAGTAACCACAAGAATGCCATGAAATCAGCGCGCTTACCCAAAACTTTCTTCCAACTTGCTTTGACAGTTATGTGCGTTGTTCCCCAGACCAAGTCAACCAAATAACTTTGATCCGCTCCACGGCACTCATTGGGAGCAAGCAGCGTAGATTCACCATTGAGAGATACCCCAGGAAGCCACTCCAGTTTCCTGATGTCTGCAACTTCAACTGCCGAGCTACTCAACATTTTCTCAATTGGTAGCTTCAGCAGGCAATCGACCTTATGCTGAAGTGTTTCAATGTTCACTCCACACTGTGAAAAGTATCTTACACGCTCTGCTGGTGTGGACCAGGTAGGCTGTGTAGCGATGCCGCAGGCTATTAGAGCTTCTTTGTGGCGTGAGAAGAAGTCTGGACAGGGGAAGACGTTCTCCTCCCCATCGTAGAGCTTTGCTAGTTCAGAGCTTGGATCCACCATTCCCGTCAGGCAGCGATACTCTGTCTTTCCATCCTTAGGAGGAAGTGGTATGATGGGATGGCTGATGATGTCTTTTACCCACGCTTTGTTTGGTCGCCGCGAGCCTTTCATGATCCAGTCAACCAGGTTTGCTTTAGGGATCTTCCATAGCGGCTCTGCATCTGATGAGATAGATTCCATCCAAGGCAGGAGATGAAGGGTTAACAAATCTTTGAGTGCTACGTCCTGGAGCGCTCTGAGCCGTCCCATCATCAGCCTTTCAATTTCGTTTTGTGGATCGTAGAATGACACTCTGACAATGTCCGGCAGCGGCGGAAAATCCGGAGGGGACTTGGGGGTCCAATACATATGGCCGCCTGCATCGAGACCGTGCTTCGTATGGCTACGCTTTCTGCTGTTGTGTCAGTCTAATTTGGCCCGCTAGATGGACCTCGAGGGGTGCAAATTCGAAACTTACTCGAAGGGCGAAGAGGAACAGATCTTGCTGTAAAGAGGTAACTTCCGCATTTGGCTCATAAGCGTGGGTGAAAGACCTGCTGGGAAATTGAAATTACGTGTCAGGGTCTCGAGATGGCTCAGAAGCATGGCCTTCTCCTCGTCCGAAGCCTTTGCTAGCATCTCTTTGCAGGCAACCAGCCAGTCGACGAAGGCTTCTGGGTCATCTACGCGGGTACACCGGGTATCCGTCTTCATGGGCTCTTTGTTGCGCAGAAGATCTCTTGCTTCCTTTGGCAAGATGTCGGTATCTAGCAACGGTGGCATTTCTAATGAATCCTGTTTCGTGATGGCGACCAGGAGATTGAACAAGGGGTCCTGCTTCTCGATTATAAGCAACGGAATCTTGAGAGCTTTGGGAGCGAACTGTCGGATTCGGAAGTCGTTCATTGGAACAAGCCACAGGTCGCGCGAAAGCTCGAGGACCATCCGCTGCCCTTCTTGGACTCGTTCGGCAATCCAGGCCCATATGTCATGAAGAACATTGTCGATACCGAAAGCTCGTTTTGCCCAGCCTCTGGAGTTTTCGGGGCGAGGCATCATGAGGTACATCACTGGCCAGTCTGTGGCCAAGTCCCCTAGGCCGCGAAACCTCATCACCACAGTGAGGTTGTTGATGTCATTCAGTAGCAACTTCCTGACAACAGGACTCATCATGGAAATGTCCAACGTTGCTGTAGCTCTCGACTTAGAAAATAGTTGCATTTCTGGGTCATCCCGTGGAAGCATCAGGTCAACATTGTTAGAACACGACAAACTGCCATTAACAGTCGGCCAGATCTGGATCCCATGGAGATCGTTGTACAAGTTTTCTCTCTCATTATGTTCCAGCGGGCTCGTGATCGCATCAAGAAGACAGAATTCAAGAATAATGGTCTGTATCTCCGATGATAATGCTGGAAGTCCGTGCTGACGAAAGAATTGGCGGACTGTCACAGGCGTCAACATTCTGACATTTCGCTGTAGAAGCTTCATCCGCTGTTGGAGTTTCTTTAGCAAAGAGCCTTCGAGATACACCGCTGGCAGGAGAGCCGCTGCAAGGGCTCGGCCGTATCCTTTGGCTTCTGCATCTTTAGGGGCGAAGAAGCCATGGTCGACATCCACACAACAACCATTCGAGGCGTTCCACACGACCAGGTTGGACTTTATCACTATATCAATGACACTGTCATCTAGATTGTCCCACAGCTCGGAGTGAGTGAATTCGGGTCTGGGCCATAGAGCAAACATCTCTTCGCGCCATGAGAGAGGGCTACGGTGAGCAAGAAGGCTTGCCCAAGCGATCGAAACGCATTTCCCGAACATGAAACTGTTCCATTTCGTTGCCAGATCCTCATAGCCAGGCGACTGTCCAGAAGATGACAGCCTACCACGATCTGGGGTAATTGAGAACAGGCCATGTATGTGAATAGGCTGATTTGTCCTGACAGGTAATCTCAGGGTAGAGAAAAGCCGCCCATAGAAAGGGTCACCAGCAGAATTATCATTCAGCGGTGCTGCTATGGCCACCCAGGGATACAGCTTGCGCTCACGAGCCCAGATGTCCAACTTCTTGTCGCCAGAAGATGTCATCATCGTATGTTGGACAACATATCGAAAGAGTCTTGGATTCGGATATTGCTTTGTGGATATTTCAATCCTCATCTCAAAAGTCTTCGACAGATCGTGAGTGGCCTGGGACGTGTTTGGCGCGTATCGTGTTTTGAAGTCTGTAGGTATCGCCATCCTCATGCTTGAGCTGTTGTGATCGTCATCAAGGATCTGGGCCAACAGCACAACATCGTGGTTCAATCTGATGATGATCTTGCGGACATGCTTGAGAAACAACAAGCCGCCCTCTTGGATCTCTTGGCCAAAATCTCTGAGAGCGTCTTCAATGTTCTGGATGCTAATCTTCTGTTGGAAGATTCTGCTGGTTCTCGCCTGTTCTTGGGTACGCAACGGAATCCGGATGATTGTCTCGTCATTTGAGCGCGTGTAATCAAGGTCAAATGCCCCCAAAGTATTGAGATGGTTTTGAATCTCGGCGCAATCGCGACCTTTGACCACATCCCACATGGGTCCTCCGGGATCATCAGGACTGAAGCTCCTTGACCATGTCTTGTGGGGGTCAAGCATGAGCAGCAAGCTACGTGAGTAGACCCATGGGCCATCCGTGAAGTGGTAAACCTGCGGAGAACACGATCAGCCCAATTCCTGACTTATGGAAGGCGCGAAAGCAGAGTTAGGATGGCCTACCGAGTTGAACCCCTGTCCAAATTTGCCAGTAGACTCCGCATCGTGGCGCTTCCTAGAGTCGCCAACTGCACTTAGACTTGCGAGATCTTCGTCAGTAAAGACGCTGTTGTTTCTCGCCAGTAAAGCCGGTCCCTGGTATTCTGCTAGCGCTTCATGCAATAAAGGTTCCCCAACGTAGGTATTCGTATCAAGGATATACTCAATCTCGGTAGCTCCGGCATCGTCGGCATTTTGAAGTAGTTCTCGGAGACAAGTGTTCGGAGGGTACGACTCGCAGATCAACCTCAACAAAGTTGTGAGTGGTTGACTCTGCGGGTTGTTTCTCGCCGCTGGCGGCGGCGCCATTTCCTACCGTCGTATGGCAGACAACACGCTCCCCGATACTCACTCAAGGCGGTCGTGATATGAAGTGTGTGGCAAAAAGAGTCGCAGATTAACTACGATATGTCTGTGAGTGAGGTGAGAGAAGTTAGGCAAGCTGTAGGAAAGAGTGGCAGTTGACACCTTTTCAATTTCAAGTCAGATTCGGGTATCAGCCTAGAAAGGTGCGCCGTCCGTGATCATCTGTTTGATGGAAAGTGTTGAACAGCGAAAGAAAATTCCTCCTTGACATTGATTTTGTCGGAATGATGAGGATTTGTAGCCGTTTCAGCTGTCACTTTTTCTGACACCTAGCCAGAAGTGTGGTGGGTTTGGACTGGGGCTTCAGGACAAAGTGAGGTGAGAATGTAGGCTTGAATCTGGCGGTGACTGAGCTCTTCGGGCGAAGTATCCTTAATTCTAGTACCTAGATGATGCAGAGCCCTGAACACGGTGAGGACTGCAGGCAAGCTGCCAGGAACAGTGGCAGTATCAAGCACGTGGTCTTTCAACTTGAATAGAACTTATGGGTATCAAGCCCAATACTTCCGTTGTCATCACATGTATCGAGCTCAGACAGAGCCTTCCCGCAAAGAGATCTGCTCCTCTCAGTTGTAAACCTTGATCTCTTTAGGTCTCACGCAGCTACAACTGCCATTTGTTTGGCAGTTCAATGATCGAGCAGGGCTTGCTCCCAAAGTTGGTTGAAATAGCAAGGGATTGACTGGGGCAATTCACATCTCTCTATGGAATATATTTCCATTGTCAATGCAGCACGGACAGGCATGTGCAGCCACTGATCAAAGGAATGCATGTCTATAACAAAAGCCTTCTAGGAAGGCCTAGTATGAATTCGTTCAATCATATTGCGCACGGACAACTGCCTTAGGTCTCACCTTGAGTTGGCAAAGACTCAGATGCAGCAAGCCAGGCTTAAAGGAACAGCATTTGGCCACGTTTATGTTTCCTGGCTCCATATCGTTGGTTTTCAACTGCTTTGCGGTATTGCTCTAGGTGAAGGTTATTTTCATAGCAGGTTCCTCTTTGCTTTCAGCGTTCTTTGCTGAAGGTCATGTATCTAAGGAAAGACGGTGGAAGTCGTTGATTGCATGCTCGTATGCAGCCGCAGTTTCCCCACTAGACCGCATTATTGCGCGCTAGTGTAACGGTAACCCTAAAAATAGTTAGCATTGCGACGTCAACGAAGGCTCCAACGCTCTATACAATGATCAATCACAAAATCCATGCAGATCTGAATGAAGCAGTCTAAGTTTGTTTGTCATGTCTTTCGACCGGTCGCCAGCTCTGGAGAGCCAGGTACGAACACTCAAATGAGTCTCACAGGCTCGCGCTGACAGTCAAACAAGCCCACTACATACCGCCGCAGCGATGACCCCGAGTACCGCGACGACCCAGAGTTCAGTCGATTTAGCGAAAGTCTGTCCGAACAGCTCTTCTCTCTGACCTCCAAGATCGGCCGTCTGTCACAGCAACTGAATCTCCTCGGCACAAAGCGGGACACGGAAAGAGTCAGAGAAAGAGTGCACGATCTTTTAGATGAGGCGAGAGACGGATTCAAAGAAGTCGGGGAGGGCGTCAAGAAACTGACGACGTGGGAAGATTTGAGCGTACGATGCTAGATCTCCGTCTGATCGGGCCATAGCTAATAGCGATTGCGAACAGGCATCCCAGAAGTACACCCAACAGAAGCTATCCCGCGAATTCCAAGCATCAGGCACCGAGTTCCAAGCCATACAACGTCTCGCCCTTGAAAAAGAGCGCGCATCCGCCTCCGCCGCTCGTACAGCCCTCGACTCGACCGACGCTTCAAACCAGCCATACTCCGACAGCCCCTCACAGCAGCAATCGCAATTACAGGAGCAAGACCAGCTACGTCTAGCCTCGCAAGATGAAGTGGACTTCCAAGACTCATTGATCGTAGAGCGCGAATCCGAAATACGGAATATTGAGCAGAGCGTTGGGGAGCTGAATGAGCTGTTTAGGGACGTGGCGCACATTGTGCATGAGCAGGGAGCGCAGCTTGATACGATAAGTGGCAACGTGCAGAATGTGGCTACGGATACGCAGCACGCGGACATAGAACTGAGGAGCGCGAATCGGTATCAGAAGAGTGCGAGGGGCAAGGCTTGTTGTTTGCTGGTGATTCTTGCGGTGGTCCTACTTATTATAGTTCTGGCTGTGGTACTAGGATAAAGAGGGGGATGCTGGTATTCGTGGCCCTGTCGTCCTGTCTTCCCAGTTCTGGCGTTTTGGAGCATTGCAAGCAAGCATGAAGCCTGACACCTTTGTACATCCTGTTCTATTATGCAAAGCCATATATACACCACACCTTTCCTTCTCCCTCTTCTCACTCTTTTACATCCCCATCAGCCTCCCCAACCTCATCCTCCACCCCTCCCAACTATTCAACTTAGGCCTAACATCCAAATAAAAAGCCAACCCCCCACCCCTGCCCCTATAGAAATCAATCACATACTCCACCCCCCTCCCCTCACACCTCTCCACAACCCAATCATGCCGATCAAACGGGCTCTCATACCCCCACAACCCCAGCCATCTCGCCCTCGGACTAACCTTCCCGCTATCCCCACTAAAGCTCCGCAACTTCGGCCCACCGCATCGCCGATCCCGCGCACCCGCGAACCGCCGTTCCCAGTCCTCGATCTCCGCCCACGCGCGCTCGTTGACGGCGTTGTGGATCGGCACGACCGTCGCCATGTCCGCGGCGTCGGGGCTGTGGTTCTTGCGCCGCATGGCTTCGAAGAACATTTTCTCCGAGGGGTAGATCCAATTCGACGACGACGCCGCCGCCGCGTGCGGACTATGCGGTGGTGGGGCCGATGTGGGCGTCGGGGTTGTGGTGTTTGGGGAGAACTCGGCGCGCGGGATGGAGCTTGTGACGCGGTCGGAAGCTAGGGGGCGTGGCGTGGTGAGTTTGGGTGGAGGAACGGGGGACGGGGACGTGGATTTGGAGGTTGAGGGGGAGGGGGAGGGGGGTGGTTGAGGGTGGGTTTCTTTGGCTGCGGCTTCGAGCCATGCTGCGCGGGCGGAGGGGTCAACTGGGCATGCGGATGGTGGGGGTTCGTTTGGAGGGGGTGGAACTTTGCTCGAGGAGGTGTTTCCCATGGCGATGGAGTAGGGAACGGAGCGGCTGTAGAAAGTGCTGAGCACGAGGGAGACCGAATCGAGCAATCATCGAAGTCCGAGGCCGAGGTTTACCCATGGGATTCACGAGCTTCGGCGAGAGGATTCAAAGGATTCTCGGTCAATTGGAATACGAGTAGATCCAAATCAAATGACTGGACTTTGATGGTCTTCAGCGTACGAATATAGTGATTCCGACGACATGGCCGACCAGAAGATCTACCGCGCAAGCACGACCGCTCCAGTGAACATCGCAGTGATCAAGTACCGCTCCCCCCCCTTCGCCTCTACAACTCTTGAGCAGCTCTGACAGAATACTTGTAGATACTGGGGCAAACGCGATCCCTCCCTCAACCTCCCCACCAATTCCTCTCTCTCAGTCACCCTCTCCCAATCCGACCTCCGCACCCACACCACAGCTTCCTGCTCCTCTACCTTTGAGGGTCCAGACACCCTGCTTTTGAACAATGCCCCTCAATCTCTTTCCACGGCGCGCTCACTCGCTTGTCTGAAGTCTCTGCGCGCTCTCCGCTCAAAGCTTGAAGATGCCGAATCTTCGTTACCAAAATTATCGACCTATCCCCTACGTCTAGTGAGCGTAAACAACTTCCCTACCGCCGCCGGTCTCGCATCTTCAGCTGCTGGCTTTGCAGCTTTAGTGCGTGCTATAGCGGACCTATACGAACTCCAGCAGTCACCTACCGAGCTCTCCCTCATAGCGCGCCAAGGCAGCGGTTCGGCGTGCAGGAGTCTGTTGGGTGGTTATGTCGCATGGGATCACGGCACACGAGACGATGGATTGGACAGCCGTGCTCGGCTTGTCGCGCCAAAAAGCCACTGGTCAGACATGAAGGCTCTCATCTTAGTGGTCAGCGCTGCGAAGAAGGGCGTGAGCAGTACAACAGGCATGCAGACGACCGTGCAGACATCGAGTCTTTTTCAGACGAGAACGAAGGAAGTGGTGCCGAAAGAGATGGCAGAGATGGAGAAAGCGATTAAATCAAAGGATTTCGCGACGTTTGCGAAGGTGACCATGAGGGAGAGTAACTCCTTTCACGCTACTTGCTTAGACACCGATCCGCCAATCTTCTACCTCAACGACGTTAGCCGAGCTGCTATCAAAGCTGTTGAGGAACTGAATGAGAAGGCCGGTCGAACGATAGCGGCGTACACATTCGATGCAGGACCGAACGCGGTCATTTACTATCTGGAAGCTGATGAAGATGCTGTGCTGAAAACCTTTCTGCCGATTCTCCGGCAAAAAGAAGGCTGGGGGAAAATGGATACCAAGATTGATGGTCCTGGGCCTGCGAGTCCCCAAGTGGTAGAGGTGTTGGAAGCGGGTGTTAGCAGGGTTATTTTGACGAGCGTGGGAGAAGGACCGATCAGTGTGCCGGAGCATCTGATTGATGATGAGGGAAAGACTGTGGATACTTGATGATTGATGATTGATGACAATTTTGGTTGCATATACCCGCTATGTCGCAGGCTATCGACCAAGAAGTGATAGTCTGTCGAAGGCTTTCACGGATGGTGCTTCTCTTTCTTTGTCCCCTTCCAGAGTATCCCACAGCACCCCTTCTCCTCCTTTTGGCCTACGCTCCTCTTCCTCGATCTCTTTCTGCTCGACCATCTTCTTGACATCGCTCTTAAATACTTCATCGAGACATCCCTTACACAGCTCCACAACCTCAAACATAGCATTCTCCACAGCTCCAGCCCTCTCCCTCATCCCTCTCCTCATTAACCCAACAACCAACCTCTCCACTTCTTCATTGGCAGTATTGATCCTGTCAATCAGTCTTCCAACGCTATTGACCAAATACTCCTCTTCATACACACTTCCCTTCTTACCTCTAGCTCTCTTCCTCTCTTCCCTTCGCCTATTTTTTGACGTTCGCCTCGTAGCATTCGTACCTACTGTTCCGGTCCGGTTTGTATATTGCGTCAGTAGTGTACCTCCCATGGTAGACGCATCAGTTGTGGCGAGAGAGACATTGTCCGGGATATCCGCGCCACCATTGACGTCGCCATCGAAGAATGCTAGGGGGTCTTCAGCTTTCTTCGTCCGCAGTTCGCGTAATCGAGGTATCTGTGCATTGAGCTGGCTTTTGCAGTCAGCTAACAGCTCGGTCACAGATGCCATGCCTTCTACTAGGCCCGTGTCGATGACTGACTCGAGCAAGTCGGGTCGCTGATGAAGTCCGACAATGCGGAGGGCATCAGCAAAGAAGTAACCTTTGCAGAAGGTACGGCATGCTGTGGCGATATCGACGAGGTAGTCGAGATGGATCGTCGCAGCAGAGAAGAAGTCCTTGGATTCCAAGAGGCTATCTGCGAGTGTCTGGGCGAGAGAACGGAGCTGATGTTGTGGCAAAGGTGTGAGGGTGGCGCAAGAAAGAGATTCTTTCCAAAGATGGGCTTGACGGAAAGCCTCGCTCGCAGAACTATAGTCGTTGAGATACTCATAAGCTACTCCAGCTTCTTTGAACTTCCCATTTTGCTGTAGGAAATCAGCATACAGGCGCATCATCTCCTTGTGCTTATCTTCTTGGTAGCGGTAGAAGTCTAGAGCCTCTGGGTACAAGCTGCGCTTTATGGTGTAATCCTTGACCTCGTCAAAGGCACTTAGATCACACAGATGCCTCAGAGCCTTCTTGAACCGACCAAGGTGATTATCAATGGAGTACTGTCTTCGCAGGACCGACATCCCTTGCAAATTTCGCAAAAAGGGAAGATACTCTTTGGGATCTTTCTGAGATTGCTGAGCAACTAGCAATGCCAGCTCAAGATCGTAAAGTCCAAGTGCGTTGTCATAAAGCCGATTGACGTCAGCCAGGAAGCAGATGTGCTCTATCGCGGCATCTACTAGGTCCGAGTTCTTACTCCTCAAGCCAGCGATCTGAGTCAGACCAGCTTCGAGATCCGGGGGTGCCTTACAAACATGGGCTGTGACGACGTTTTGAAAGTGGGTTGAGGTGCGATTCTTCAGAGCATCCAGGAACGCGTTACATATCCGATTGACCTTGGAGATACTGGCCTCTGAACTCTCAAGAACTGACAAAACTTGCGAATGTTCGCCTCCCGGAAGGGTTTCTTTGTACATGGTCTTGGACACATCCTCTTCCCTGAGCTGCGACAGGAAAATATCAACATGCTCCACCTTCTTGACTTGATCAATGAATAAGTCGACATTCGAAAGGAATTGCTGAGTAGCATGGTCGTGCAATATATTCATATCTACCCTTTGATATCTGCACGCCAGGAACGCATTTTTGTAGTTTTTCTTGTTGATGTTATCTCGAATCCCTGCAAGCACCAGCGCTCTGGGATAGATGGTTTCCAGATTACCTCTAGGCATTTGTAGGATCAAAGCGAAGATCGAGGGCATAACTGTCACCAGTTTGGCACCTCGTTCAATGCTACGGCATCGCTCATCTGATTCTGGTGTATCAGGAGGTATCTCGAGGTCTATCGAAGAACTGTTAGAGTAAAGGACGAGAAATTGGGTCTATAGGTACTCACCTTCAGTCTCCTCCGTGAGGTGGACAAATTTCAGTAGATGTTGGCCGGTGGTGAATATCAGATGCGCGGGGGTCACGAGGAACGACGTGCAATTCCTTGCGAGGCGGCGCTCATTGGCAAAGAGGAACCCATTGTCGGCAAGACTGAAGATGATGTCTTTTGTGGCCGGCGTTTCGCCTCCATTGACCAAGCTATTGACAGCGTGCTTGATCTCGAAGCCGCACACTACGGTATCAACCCTCTGCGCTGAAAAAGGCGAGAGGGCCAGTTCTATACTAGCCACACCAATATAATTGAACCCTTGAACCCTCTCTTTTAACTTTGATTTGCCATTATGGTCCAGCACAACGTATGTTTTCGACTTCGAAATCCATGAATTTCTGATCATGCCTTCAACGTCTGTCTCATGCAGAAAGATTTGACCCACATGTCCGCCGTCTTCTCCGATGACAGTAAATGAAGAATTGTCCATGCTTTTAGAGAATAACAGGCTTGCATTGCCGCTGAAAGAAATTTGTAGATGCAATCTATCTCGAATTGTGATCGTGTCTGTATCTGTCGACCAGAAGCCATTAGTGAACCTGCAAACCGGTGGGTTCTGAACCATTGATAACAGCGACCACTCGAATTGACTGTATCCCTCGTGGTGTAAAACCCCAATGATAGCCCTAGGATGAGGATTTGAGCAGACCGTAACGGCGACGTCGATGATGTTACTGCTGATCTCAATTTCATGCAGTGCCATAGGAGGCGGAACGTTGGCCACTCGCATAGGAGTCAACTTGAGGCATTCTGCACACAATAAGCATAGTAATCATACGGGATATCTGCAACTTACTTCCGTCAGCAACAGCAACAATTCCATGATCATTTGGCGGTGACGTAGGACTGGTCGTGACAATTGAGGCGTAGGCGGCTCTTTGAATACTTTCTAATGATACTGCTTCAGTATATTCCGATCAGCACAAGGGCCCAATTACAACGAGATGCTCACCTTGGCCGTGCAAAGTAAAATGCAATGGTTTTTCTGGATGCCATATCAATGAAACTGGTTGCGTGCACGTTTCTTTTGAATAAAGCAAAACCTCTTGCTTCAAGTAATAATGATAGTTTCCCATGATCCATAGCTGAATCCTATCGTTGAAGCGTACAGCAAGCACGGACGAGTCAACATTCCAATTTAGAGAAATTTGAGCGCCCCAAGTACTCAATTCTTCTTGTTTCAGCCGCAAATTGAATTGCCCGTGGCGTAGACCGTTCCTTTCGAAGAAGACGACTCTGACGCAGTCATTGAGACGCTGTATACCGGCCAAGAGATTCCCGGCAGGTCTCCAGCTCAAGGCACCTAGCAAGCCATCAACAGGCTCGCTGACGCTCTCAAGGACACCTTCTCTCGAGAAGATACGAACGACTCGACGTGAGTTTGATTCAATGCTATTAATTGCAACGTAAGTACAATCTCCGCGCCAGCTGATGGTCGTCTGTTTTGCATCGTTCGCATCGAGTACGCCTTCATCAACTGTCTCAGGGACCGTAGGATCTCGGAGAGCTCTGGCTTTTTTCCCTTTGAATTGAGTTTCCTTCTTTCCCCAACCAACAGAAACATGATTTGAGGCTTTCAGGTCATCAGGAATTAATGTAACGTCGGTAACATTCTCGAACTCTCTCGTCATGTAGAGTAATGTAGAAGCTCTTGTCGTGATAGCAAGAAGCTCTTCGTCGGGGGACCATGCAGTGGCGGAGATACCTGCATCTACAGAGCCAACGATCTCTATCTTCTCTTCCCCAGCCTGTGGTTCTTCACGGACAACAATAAGATCCCCACCTGCAAGAACCAGACATATTGTGAAAGAATCAGAAAAGTAATGCAGATCCAGTATCTCGTCGCACTCGAGGTCTGGCAGTGGACACGGTGCATCCCAGGCTGCTATGGGCTCGTAGATTTTCTCATATTTCTTCCAGCGTTTGAGCTCCAGTAAGACATTGTCTTTGGTGGGCCCAAAGGCGCATATCACGCTGTCACTTGCAACATCCCAGGCGGAAGCTGTTAATTTGAGTCCTGCCGGGCTCGTTAACAAGGAGCGATGAATACTTCTAAGATTACGCATCACTCCAAGGAAGGTGAATGCTCATTCCAGAGTTGCGAAGTAAAGTATGTAGCAGAATATCTAAGTATCAAAGTGTGAAACGTTGGAGTTTTTCACGCAAATTTTCGGGTCACCAACGTGCCTGAGATTATGTAGCTATCACATTATGTGAGATGTAAGGAATCGTAAAAGAGAGCAGGACTCTGTCTCTAGCCACTGTCCTCTTGAAAACAACAGATTGGGGAGTTGTTTTTTCAACGTGCCAAAAATCTTGCGCCGGCCTTGCGAGTACTCTGTTCTAGACCCGATCGGGGGTGGGGTGAGCGCCGCTCCATGCACGCTCTTAAATCCGATAAGATTAAATCCGACATCGATAGCTACTACTATCATGGCTACCACTTTCTAGAGGCGTTCGTGTGACGCTCTCTGTTCCCTTTATTTATACAACATCTCTTTAGCTACCCTTTTCCGTTGTCTCGGCGGCTTCGGCTTAGCACTTCTTTACTTCCTATTGTGTGCTTTGGCAATATTTATATTTAAAGCGTACCCATTTTATATCGTATGCTTGTTTGAACAAGCGAATGTTTTCGATATATCTCAGAGAGCTGTGGAGCTCGGCCGCGCTAGGCTTATCGCGCCAATATCGCTCTTGGCTTACAAGTAGTGTTAGATAGCTCTATCAACGCTTCCGCATGCTATGGAAATCGATCTTTACCCTACTGCCGGCAGCAGCAGAAGCATATGAGATGTGATCTCGTGGGCTTGAACGGGGTTACATTGAAATGTCCTAGATTGCCAAGAGTATTACCTAACGAACCATTTACCGGGGAACAAGGAGAAATCATTCACAGTGTAGGCTGGAGGGCATGGATGTATCGACAAGGCTCTCGATCCTTCAACGTAAGTATGATATACCTACGACGCATGATTTATTGAGCGCGCGCTCACCTAGGACATTATAACGCTTCTACACGCTAATAACATGCTAAGATAAATGGGGAAGATACTCCGTGTTTGAGCTCCTCTCCAGCTTCGCGCTCCAATAGAGAGTTATCCGAGACAAAGTGTTCATATTGAGAGGGCAGGATGATTTGGAGTATCCCAGGTTAGAAAGAGGCTGATGGTCATCAAAGTAATGTGACTTGTCTTAAATCGCTATGTAGAGGCAGAAACCTTCAGGCAATCGTTGATAAGAGTATTGAACTATATACGGACGATGGAGCAAATCTGCCTTTCAGCTCGGTGTGTTAGCCTCGATGCACTCGCCAGCTACCATTATATAAAGGATGTGCTTCCCTTCCGTTCTCTCGCTGTCGACCCATAAATGATCTAGCTTCCTTTATGGCAATGAGGACTTCGTCGAACTGTTGAGGTGCCGCTTGTACGCCTTTAGGTCGTCTCTAGGAGCAATTGGAATAGACGAGGAAGAAAGGATGGTGGCAACGATGTTGAGCTCGCGTG